CATGAACAACAGAGCCCAACGGCTCAGAGCCACATAGTGGCGAGGATACTGGTCGGGTTATTCAAGACATTAAAAACGTGTATCTGAAGTTATTGATTTATTTAGAGGAGTTAATGATTCAATTTCAAAAAACTTCTATAACCCTCGATGAAGAGAATAAATTAACAGATTATATATTCGTCATTATTGCAGAATTAATGAAGAGAATAAATGAAAAAGAATTGGTGATATCATTAATGTCAGCGATGTAATGATGAAAAGAAATTTGACTCATTATTTACAAAACCGAAAACAGAATATAGTCTTTATGACGTAATTACCGAATTAATGAAAAAGATTAATGATAATAAGAGTTCTGGCGGAAGAGTTGAATTAGAAGTGAATGATGTTAATGAGAAATTAGCCGAAAAGCAGATAAAAACCACGTTCATTATATAACTTCAGACGAACAGATTATAACGGACTACCATGGATATTTAACACGAAGTGATGAAGCGAAGACAAAAAATGTTAATGAAAGAAGATATAAATACATTCGTGCTAAAGGTTATGACATAAGCTGTACTGTACAGTATGACACAGGTAAAGCACAAGAAACATTTGGTTATAACAATGAAATTTATGCCTCTACTTTCAATGTTAACGGTGTATTAGTTGAACCAAAATTTACTTTGAGAGTTAAGTCAAAAATAACGTTTGAAGATGCTATTAAAAGTAAAGCTGACAAAGTTGAACTTGAAGCAATGAACAAAGTTTTGAAATCTCATAAACACAATATCTCCGATATAAATGAACTTCAAGCTACATTAGACAGTAAAGCAGACAAGAACCATACACATAAATCCTTCACTACTGTTAGAGCAGACGACATAATATTGAACTTTGACCTTGGTTCAAGTGCACCATTAGAAAATCCAAGTACAAGCGTAAAAGATACTCTTAACAGTTTAGATAACAGTTGCAGGAACATTGAAAGTCATGCCAGAAACTTTGAAGCACATGAACTACCAGCAATGTTAGATAAGAAAGCAGACAAGAACCATACACATAAATCCTTCACAACTGTTGCTATAGAAAGTATTGAAGGAACGGTTGAAGAAACTGGTGGGGATGCATTATATTGTAAACCTCCTAACTTTCCACAAGGTTTAACATCGGATGACGACATAACGACGATGAGAAACATTAGATGTAAAGATGTTTATGTCATGAAGGATGAACATAATATTAAATTCACTGCTCAAGATTTATATGACAAGAAAGCAGACAAGAACCATACACATAAATCCTTCACTACTGTTAGAGCAGACGACATAATATTGAACTTTGACCTTGGTTCAAGTGCACCATTAGAAAATCCAAGTACAAGCGTAAAAGATACTCTTAACAATTTAGATAAGAGTTGCAGGAATACCGAAGATCATGCCAGAAACTTTGAAGCACATGAACTACCAGCAATGTTAGATAAGAAAGCAGATAAAACTTATGTGGATGCAGAACTAACAAAGAAATTTTCGAAACCAGATACAATGACATTTACAACAGAAATTATAAATGGTGAACCAGCAACTCCATTTGAATTTGTTAGAGGTCTTCAACCAGATACTTTTGAATTTTTCTTGGATAATTCTATTGAACTAACATTACATTATAAAAGTGGAACAAATGCAACATTTCATCCGGGAGATACATTCCAAATGGTATTTAATGACATAAGTTCTTTAGAATATGTTTATAGAGTTATGAGCATATATGATTTAATATATCCTATAGGAGCTGTTTATACGTCTATGAATCCAATAAATCCAAACACTTTATTTGGTGGTAGATGGTATGAAATAGTTGACAGTTTTCCATTCTACACTAATACGCAGTCAATGAAGATGGGAGGTTCAAAGAAAATAGGTATTGAAAACCTTCCTTCACATATGCATAGGTTCAGTGGAAGAACATCTGTGGAAGGAAACCATTCACATTCAATAACAAAAAGAGGTTATACAAATCTTGCAGCGGGTTCGGATAGACAGGGAATGCATAGATATGATATCACAACTGACCCCAAAGATGTTAGCACAGGTATTTTCTGTGGAACTGCAGGAAATCATACACATGTTGTAGCTGGTATTACAGACCCAGCAGGTAATGGAAAAGATTATATGCCTCCTTATATAACAATGCACGCTTGGATACGAGTTGGTTAAAATCTTTAACTTTACATAAATGAGTTTGAAAGAAGTATTCGAACAACATCCATGGAGGTCATTTAAGAAGTTCAATGAAGCTGCAAAGAGTTCGGGATTTACTAACAGAGCTGAAGTGAAAAGGTTCTTTGACAAAAATGTTGTACATCAAACAAAAATAAATCCTTACGACTACTTTTTACCAATTTACTCCAACACTCCTGACGCATACCAATTTGACACTCTCATTCAAAGCAGAAAATGTGGTCATAACCCATTCCTCATCTTCATAAATGTTAACACTCGTAAAGCATATGCGTATATAATGAGAAATAAAGGAACTCATGAAGTGTTAAGAGTTTTACAAAAGTTTGTAGCAGAACATAGCCCAAGTATTTTAACATCAGACCAAGACAGTGCATACCTCAGCAATGAAATCACAGATTTTCTCATTAAGCATAACATAACTCACTACACTACTGAAGACCATAACCATAACATACTCGGTATCATTAACCGCTTCATAAGGACTCTCAGAGATTTAAATCAAGAGCGAGACTTTACCGAAGAAACAATGAAACATTTTCTCGAAGTATATAATTCCTCAACACATTCTACAACAGGACATACACCAAATTCAATGACACAACAACAAGAAGAAAAGTATATACAAAAGAAACGAAGCCAAACACAAAATATCAGAAATTCAACACAATTTACTCTCATTCCTGGTACAAAAGTTCGTGTAGTTCTTGACGACAAACCATTGACAAAGAAACGTTTAAGGTTAAGTCGAAATTATTATATCGTAGACTCTACGCAAGGTAATGGATATCTTATAAAAGCTGCTGACGACTCCATAGCATTTTACCCTCGACATAAATTAGTCGAAAGTAGTAATGGCAAACTTGCTGAAACCATTGACGAAGCAAAGCGAGGAGTGGTTATTGAAATACTTGACTATAACACAAACGATGACACTTATAAAGTAAGATATGAAGGAGGCGTTGAAGATGTTATACCATCTAAGAACTTGAGAGAATCTAAACCAACTCATCTGGGACCATTAGAGCGGGAGTACTGGAAAGACAAAAATATGCCAGAAAGAATAAGAAAATTCTTCTAAACTTTTTCGTTGGATGTAAATCAGACAAAAATATAATTTAGGTGAAGAGGTGAGATGTCACCTGTTTTCTCACCTCTTTTTTCACCTCTTGAATTTTCGTGAATTTTCACAAAAGACCAAAAAAATAAAGTTAGTTTTATTTTTATTTATTTTTTTATTTTGTATGTAAGAACAGAAATGTCAGTCGAAGCAAAAACATTCACGAACAAATCTAATGGTGAAACATTCACAAAAGGCACTTATAACGGTATTGAAGTCTTACGTAGAGACAAGGATGGTTACATTAATGCAACAAAGATGGCAAGAGAAGCAGGAAAGTTAAACCATTTAAACAGATTTCTCAATAGTACTAAAATGCAGGAAATTCTTGAGTTTTGGATGAACGAATACGGTGGAGCCAAAAGTGGCTCGACCTCAAAACAAGCATTTTATGAGCTTACAAAGGGTGTCATGAATGAATTCAAAGGTATTTACATACATCCTAACCTCGTTCATTTTGTTGCTGAATGGTGCTCTGTAAAGTATGCATTTTATGTCAAAGATATTATGGACTCCATAGACAAGAAAGTTCATGAGAAATTAGATGAAGAAGAACTTGAAGATACAGTAGAGAATGCTAAACCTTTGTTCGAAGAAGAAGTTGGAAAAATGTGTGAAAAACAATTAGAACATGAACGTGAGATATATTATGGTTATAGAGATTCTCCATACGAACTAGACCAATGGGAACAAGAAGATTTAAAGAGAGAATTTAGAGAATATGAACTCGCTAAGATAGCATTTGAAGCTGCAGAAAAGAAGTTAAAAGTTTGGGGTCGTTTTGTACAAAAATATTGTGAGTAAATGAACCATTTATTTTTGGTCAAAGCTTCCACGAGAGAAAAGATTCCTCATTCGCTAAGGATTCCAAAAATGAAAAAATCATTGATTTCGGCTGAGAAAAAACAGCAAAACCCTTCTTCCACGGGAACAAAGAAATAAAGAAGAAATAAAGAAGAAATAAAGTAAATTTTTTATTTATTCCCGTGGAAGATAGAGCACTTTTATGACACTTTTTATTCACGACAAACAAGACAAACAAAGAAAATAAGAAAATACGGCGCTGTCGCGGTTCGAACCACAGACCCTGACCCCTCCATAACACCACCTTAGACCACTGTGCTACGTAGCCTGTCGACATAAGATTTTATAAATTGCATATTTGACGTAAATTTATTTCCATCTGGCTTCCCACTGCATAAGATATTCATACGTGTTTGTAAGACATTCATTAAACTTCTTTTCTATTGCATCTAATCTTGCGTTATTTTTTTCAATAACTTGTCTGTATTCTTCATCATCTCCAGCAGTGTTTGGGTCTTCACGTTTAAAATATTCATTGTTAACCAATTTTTTATCTACAAATTTTATTAGTGTTTGATTCACTTCGTTATGATAACGGTCATATTCTTTCAATACGTAAGTGAAGACAAAATGCGTCGTACCTTCAATCTTAAAGCTTAAAGAACTTTCAACACAGTTTTGAGGGTCTGTCAGTGCGTCAATGAGATAGTATTCGAAGTCAGTCAATAATCTTTTTAAAGTCATTTCATACAGGATAAAATTTAATGTTGTGAAGAAATAGTGTTTATCTCAGAAAAAATAAAGTTAGTTTTTATTTTATTTATTTTTTTATCCTGTATGTAAGAACAGTAATGTCAACATTAGAGAACACAACAACTGCTATCGTTCATGAAGCCATAAATGAAGAATACGAATACATACAATATAACAAACAATTGAGACTCATTCGTTCAGTCAAAGATGATATGTATCAAATGCAAAGTATAATGAACGCTCTTCGTTCTACAAAGCAAGCATATCATTGGTTTGAAAACCAACAGGCAAAAGAACTTTTAGAAGAATTTCCTCATATGATTGCTTCCCTCGGAAAACCGAGGGAAGAGATTCCGTACGAAAATCGCAAGAATTTGGCACCTGGTTTGAAAGGTTATTATGTTCATAGACTTTTAGTAAATGCTGTAGCAATGTGGGCTTCACCTCGTTATGCTTGTTATATTTTCATGATGTTAGATGAACTATATAAAGCAGAACGTGGAGAGATGGAAAAGAAACTTCAAGCAAAAGATGAAGTCATTGAATCCAAAGACAAAAGCATACAGAAAAGAATACCACGTTCAGTACCAAAAGGAAAGGAAAAGAGTTATAAGTATATGATTTATACTGAAGAGTTGGAGAAAGAAGAAGATAGAGATATGGTTATGTTGCATTTAGTCAGAAGAAACAACAAAAGCTTTTACGACCTTGCTAAAATATATAAATCTGACAGAAACTGGTTCTATCGTGAAAACTTACCGATTTCAATGACACGAATGAGCAAATAAAAGAAATTGTCAAAAATACTCTTCCTCAAACACACTATGACATCAAAGGTTGCACAATACTTACCTTCAAAGAAGACTTAACATTACTGAAGGAAAAAATAACAGAATATTTCGATAACTTCAAAGAGGAAGAATGAAGTCACGACAACATTAACGAAGAAGTCACGACAACATTAACGAAGAGAGAATGAGGTGAAAAAACAGGTGATATCTCACCTCTTCACCAAAAATATTTTTGGTTAAATAGCTTCAGGGTCAATTTCTTCAACCATTTCACTTCCTTCGTCAATGTCAATTGAAGCTTCTTCAACCTTTGGTAAGAACTTTTGTATAACATCTTTGTTCGTTATTGTCTTCAGAGATGAAGGATAATATTTCACATTTGTTTCACCCTTCTTATATTCTTTCTGTTCGGAAAGATTCATAGCAATACTGAAGAAGTCAATGTTGGAGTTCTTTATGACAGTATAATGAGTATCTTTGACATTCACGAAGAAACCCTTTTGTTTCAAAACTACTGCTAACTCTTGTGAAGTATAACGTTTGCGGTCAATGACGATAGCTAATGGTCTGACATACTGACCAAACTTAGATTCTTTCACAAACTTCTTGTTAAAGATAACATTAACGTTTGAAGCATTATTGAACTCATTCTTGATGGCAGTAGCGAGAGCATTGTATGAAAAGAACTTGCAATCTTGCATGTGTTTCATTAAAATAAAATATTAAATTATTTTGAAAAATAACTTAAAAAAATCTAATCTAATTTTTTCAAAAAATATTTTTTATCCGATAGAAAAGATGACAGAAAAATTAACTTTTTACATAGCGCCAGACCCTTCTTGCCCACATCCTTTTAAGCCACAATATATAGACATAGAACTAAATAGAGAAAGCGAAATTCTACAAATAGAAGAAAGCGAAATTCTACAAACAGAAGAAACATATAGAGACCTAGATAACGAAAATGGATATGCGCTATTCTGGTTAGATTGTCCTTATAAAATGTATGAAAAAAAGGCTTTATATGAAGAATATAGAAAATATTGTCATGAAAACGATATAAGACCAAGCTCTAGAGAAAAATTCTATGCTGGTATAAAACATCTTTTCGAAGTTCGGAAATGGCAAATATAGAAAGAAATAATTTTTCTAAGTTTATTTTTTCAAAAAATATTTTTTTTTTATTTCCTACTAAAGATGTATCGGAAGTTGTCTAAGTTAGAACACTCGGAAATAAAACAACTTCTTACAGAAGCTAATATAGATGTTGCAAAGCATTACACAACAAACAAAAAGGCACTCGCTGACATCCTCAATGACTATAATGGTGAAATAACTTATGATAGAATTCATGAGTTCATAAAGCCGCAACGCGGCGAGGACGAAGTCCATGCAAGAGCATTTCCTTTAAATGACGTTGCTATTGACTTATATCATAGACGTTCAATACCTCATGAAGTAAGAAGAGAGATGTTTGACATAACAAATGCAAACGTTGGTGAAACAAGAAGAAGAGACGACACACTGAAACAACAGAGAAGAGAGATGTTTAAAAGTGCTATAGAACAAGTTCGCAAAGCTAACGATGTCATTCGTTCCATTGACGACAAACCAAAAGAAGGTGAGAGATGGTTAAAGAAAGATGAAGAGAATAGGAAGAGAAATGTGAAGTCAGGCAATAGACTCATTGACTTTAACATCGAAGCTTTAGATGAACCAAACAGAGACTACTTACACAAACATTTTGGTAAGGTTTTCATGAGACTCTTAGAGAAAATTAAAATAAACTCGCAACAGAGATGGATGGTATGTTATAAACTTGGTGGAAAGTATGAATGTTCTACGTTAAACCTCAATAATATTGGAACATTACTACATCAGCTCTTGAAGGAGAACTTTATATCAGAGATAGAAGCAAATGCCGCAGGTATTGTTGAAATGCACTATGACTTCTTCTTGACAAACATAAAGAATCTTACTGAAATAAAGATGTATGATTTAACAGAATATGAAGGCTTAACGATGTCAGATGTAAAGAAAGGCAAACCAAAAAAGAGACCATATAGAGATGAAAGCACACTGACAAATGACCAGAAAGCCATTTTGGAAGCTCTTAAGCAAACAGGAAACCCAGCACTTATAGAAAGCTTTTGGAAAGATAATGGTGAAAAGAAGTTTTATAAGAAGAGAAGCGGTCAGTTCTGGAAGTATCTTTGCACATTACCTATAAATCTTGAACGCTACCAAATCTTCAATGAACTGAACAAAAGAACTGCAACACTTATGACAGAGGACAATTGTTTCGTTTATGCTTGCATTCAGGCTGGAGTAAATGAAGAAACTATTGACCACATGAGAGAAGTCATTCGTGTTAGAGACTTTCCTCAAAGTAAAGTACAAGAAATTTCTGACGCAACAGGTATAGCATTTAATGTTACCATTGGTTATTTCAATGACTCAAGACATAATGAAATAAAGAGATATATACCAAAAGAATGCGAAACTGTTAGAACTATTGACTTACTTCTTGTTGAAGACCACTACATGCTAAATGAAAGACTTCCAATGACAACATACTTCATTCGAAACTATATAGAAATCAAAGCTTGTGGTGGAATGAACATTGAGAAACAGATGAAGATTTATACAAAGAGAGAAGATAAATATGTAGTTCGTTATGATAGAACAACACCGTTATGGGATGTTATGAAAACATTGTGGGAGTGCAAATATTTCGAACCTATTTCTTATGGAGAACTTTTCACATATACTACTGACTTATATAAACAGAACCTTGCACCATTTAAAGATTTGACATATGCTCCAAAGTATTGTGTACAACTGAAGAAGAAAGCAGAGTCAAAAGAAGTAAATAAAGCTAAATGTAAATTCATTCCTGAGCACGTTTTCTTTGCTGACTTTGAGTGTAGTACGGATGGCTTTCATAAAGCTTTTAACATCTGTTATGACAGTGAAGATGGTTCAGTGAGTGAAAGCATTTGGGGTCAAAACTGTGCAACAGAATTTTTGGAAAGACTTCCTGACAAGAGTTTAATATATTTTCACAACCTCAGTTATGACATAAACTTCATCTTAAGACACATGACAGAAGTGAAAGGAACTCCCATCATTAAAGGTTCACGAACAATGCAAATAACTGGTTTATATAAAGGACGGGCAATTATTATAAAAGACTCTTACAGTGTTATAAATAAGAAGCTTAAACTATTTCCTGCTATGTTTAACTTACAAACAGGACCGAAAGAAGTATTTCCATATAACTACTACAGCAGTGTTTTGTTAGCAAATGACAACAGAACTGGTGTCATTTCTGAAGCATGTAAGTTTATCCATGATGCAGATACATTTATGAAAAACATAGATTCCATCAAAGGTTGCAGAATAGATGAAAACCACTTCGACTTAGAAAAATATAGCACGTTTTACTGCAAACAAGATGTAAGAATTTTAAGAGAAGGTTTTGTAAAGTTCCGCAATGACTTATTGAAAGAGTTTGATTTAAACGTTTATGACTACGTTAGTATTTGTTCTATTGCTAACAAATTGTTTGAGAACAGAGTATACTTCCCGAATGGAAATCTTTATGACCTCTCAAATAAACCAAGAGAATTTATTTCGAGATGCATTCAAGGTGGAAGATGTATGTTGTCAGATAACATGAAACAAAAGAGCAAAAAGAAACTCATTGCTGACTTCGACACTGTTTCATTATATCCTTCAGCTATAGCAAGACTTTATACTTTAGAAGGTATTCCAAAAGTATTGAAGGAAGAAATGTTAAGCACAGAGTATCTCATGAGACATTTATTCGATGATGACCAAAAGGAACCCATTGGTGAAAAGTTTATGTCTGGCTTCTTTGTTCTCATTAAGATAACAGAGATTGGTATACCCAGACACTTTCATTTAATAGTTTGCGACCCTGAACTAAATCCAGAACTTAACGTTCCAAGAAGTTCAAACACTTGCTGTCTCATGTATGTTGACCATATAACATTACAAGACCTCATAAAATATCAAGGTGTCAAATGTGAAGTGTTGCAAGGATACTATTACGATGGAAACAGAGATATGAGAATAAGAGATGAAGTAAAGAAGTTGTTTGAGTTAAGGTTAAAGTATAAGAAAGAAGGAAACCCCTTACAAGAAATTATAAAACTCATTCTGAACAGCATTTATGGCAAAACTATTCTATCTCCTATTGAGTCAAAAATAACCATAGTAAATGACAAAGATGCTATAAGATATGCTATAAGAAATTACAACCATATAGTGAAGTTCGAAGGTTTGGATGGTTCAGATAAAACTATTTTCAAGCTAACGAAAAGCATTTGCAGACACTTTAACTTCTGTCCACTTGGTGTTAATATTCTGTCTATGTCAAAACGTATTATGAATGAAGTATTCTGTACTGCAGAGGACATGGGTCTTCAAATATTTTACCAGGATACCGACAGTATGCACTTATATAATGAAGACATCCCAAAGCTTGCAGCAGAGTTTAAGAAGAGATATGGTCGCGAACTTATAGGAAAGAACCTTGGTCAATTTCATAGCGACTTTGCAGAAATAACACCTGGAAAACAAAGTTTAGCTTATAAAAGTATTTTCTGTGGAAAGAAGACCTACATAGACTTACTCACGAATGATTTAAATGAAGTTGCATTTCACTGCAGAATGAAAGGCGTGAAGCAAGATGTTATTGCTTTAACCGCTAATGAAATGTTTCCTGAAGCTATACAATGCTATTACAATGAAGATAAGAACATTCACATACCTGTTGGAACATATGACAAAGACTCTGAGTTCAGTTTAATGAAACTTTACAAAGCACTTTATGATGGTCAAGAGATTGCATTCGACTTATGTAAGTCATGTCAACCTTGCTTTGCTGAAAAGTTCAACTTTTCAATAACGACTAAAACAAGCTTTATTCGTAAGTTGAAGTTCTGAGGTCATGGGCTTCGCCCTTGCCGCTAGCGGCTTATTTTTGTCAGCAATGAGGTCATGAATGAGGTCATGAATGAGGTCATGAATGAGGTCATTCGTGATAAAAATAAAGCTAGCGTAGATTTTACAATACTGCGATGGTAGAGTTTAAGAGTTGTGCTTCAATGTAGAGACAGTCCTTATGGTCTGGAGGCAAGAACACTGGACATTTATGGTCATGAGTGGAGAACATGTCTATCCAAAACTCACGATTGAAGCCAGTTAATTTATAGTATTTAGGGTTAGGAAGTGGTGAAGTTCTTGTATGACCAATGAACTCATTTTCAACGCCTTACTTAAGTTTGAATATAATATAGCTTGCTTTCTATCCCAAATGCCAGGTGTTACAATCTTTGAAAATTCATTTTTCCTCGGAAGCATTGCATCATAATTGAAAACATTCTTAAAATCATCACTTGGTTCGGAGATTTGAAATCTTATACGTAATGGATTTTTTTTCTCTTTAGCGACTTCATTGAATGGTGAGAATACAATGAATTGACAGTCATGAGTTCCATCTTCATTTTCATTAAATTCATAATGAAAGTCTATAAGTTGTGGCTGACTACCTTCTTCTTTCAGTTGTGCAAGAAACTCACGTAAAGGCTGTAAAGTTTGTACTTCAATGTTGAACTTTTTCTCGAACATCTCATTAAATGAAATCATACATTGCAACAATGTTGTATCGTCTTTAAAGTATTTGTATATGTGAATGTTTTGGGCGCTTAAAGACTGTTCGTCATTTTCTATCTCGACTTGAAGTATAAAGTCAACCTTTCTGAAAGCACGTGTTATATACATAGATGTTATGCCAATGTACTTCTCTTCATTTATGTTCACAATCCAGTCTGTTGGAAACTTAAACGTTACTCTGTTCCCCTTTATTTTGACGTCAGGGTTTTCACTACTGAACGCAACAGATAAAGGTATTTGTCTATACATTTAGTTTGGATAAAAATAAACCATTTACTCTTTCTTTGCTTCAGCTTCTTTAGCTTTTTGCTTCTTCTCTGCTTTTTTCGCCAGCAAACGTGGGTTCTTCTGTCTTCCAGCAGCTAATGCAGCTAGTTGTTTTTCACTAAGTTTTCTCTTTGGTCTCTCTGGCTTTTGTTCTTGTTTTTGTTCCTTCAGTTCGGATAAAATTTGCTCACGAATTTCTTTCTTCAATGCTTCAACATCTATGACCCTTGGGTCTTGTCCGTAGGGCTTGTCTGAGTCATTTGACTGCAGATAAAAAACTAAATTAAAACTTTAACCGATGTAAAATGAGCTTGTCAAAATCAGAGCGAGAGTCTATTATATTAAATGACGCAGAGGAATACAACATCCTTTCTATTACGTAAGTCAGAGTAAAGATGGTAAAATATACGTAAGAAAAAGAAAGGTTCCATTAGCGAATGCAGAGAGCGACAACATTAAGGTGCATGGCAAGGGTGAAGTCCACGAAGCCCATATAAAACCTTCTGTTCAAACTGAAAAGTCAATAGAACAAGAAGAAAAGAAGCCAGATGTTCTTTCAATAACGAACCAAGAGCTTATTGCAAAGTTCGTGAATTTCATTGAAAAACAAACCGAGTCAAAGAACCCTGACCCGCCAGTGAAAGAAGTTGAGACAAAAGAGAATGTACAGTTCATTGAAAATGTCAAGAAACAACTTCCACCACGAATGCCAAGAAGAAGAGTGAGAATAATGAAGTAAATAGATATTTTTATCTGAAGTAAATACATGCAGAACGAACAGCTAAACGAATTTACTCCAGCAGAGCATATTCATCAGATTCGCTCATATTTCGATATCATAGACAATGCAGTTCAAATTGGTGACACTAATAGAAAATATTCTGACGCAAAGATTCCATCACAACCTGGAACTGCTAAAGATAACACATGGGTAACATTCAATCTCTCACCTCCTGGTGAAAATATGTTGGACCTTTACAATACATTCATTACGTATAAAATGGAAGGTCAATTTATTGTAGATAAAGAAATTGGTTCAGGTTCCAATAAAACAAACCCACCAGGATTTTGGATTGGTTTCGATGACGCTTTCTATGCAGTTGCTGGATATCAAATCCTTGCAAATGGTCGTATCGTATATTCTCAAGACAACGCAAGAGAAGAAGCATATATAACTTCAAACTCACAAACTACCGAACAAATAAAGAAAGTAGATGTTTTCTCAAAGACTCGACATGAAGATGTATGGAGTCATTCGGGAACATGCAGAACAGGACAAATTGTTAGTGGTCCAATTACAGCAGGAAAATCATTTGATTTTAAGCTTCGTTTAAGAATTCCTGTTAGAAGATTCCTTCCATTAGAAGCTATTCGATTTATTCCAGCTTTTGCAGGAAACATTCAGCTTAAAGTAAAGTTCAGTAGCGACGCCTTACAATGCACATCTATATCTGTAAATGATATCATTGCTTTCAATCCAACTCTTAAAGTTGCATTTGCTTCAGATTCAAATCCACCGACAAATAAATTTGTTCCATGGAATGAACCATTCACTATGATAACGAAGGCAGTAGAAGCTAGTGGAACAGTTACTATTACAACTGTAAACCAGCAACTATTTCGAACAAAGATGGATTTTAATGAATGTTTCATTCATCCAAAGTCATTCTCTTTAGACCCTAACATTTATACAGAACTTGTAGAACATTATACAAACGAGGCTTTATGTTTTCCTGTTAAAGTTATGGATTGGATTCCTATGGACGGTTCATTCTCAAAGAATACAGATAGTTCAAGTGCAACATTTACAGCAGCTTATACGCCTATTAATGTTAAAAGTATTTGGGCACTATTTAGAAAGAAAGACAACTATTATGTTAATTTTGAGAACCCTAAGTTTAAATATCTTCAGCTTTCCATGGGAGCTTATGGAAATATGCCTGCAGAACCTGAAAAATCATATGGACCTGTATTTTATGAAATGGTTGCGAACGCTTGCAATACAAACAATGATATGATAGGATTTAATGAAGATGTTATGAGGTCATTGGTGGATGATGGTAGTGTGGAACATAAATGGGATAGCTATGACAACACACATTCATTATTTTCTTATGTGGTTTTCCAACAGAAGTGGACTTTTGCTTCCAGCAAGGTCAAACATCTACTGCTCCAATAACATACAAATTGTCTGTTAAAGGACCTATTGAACTAGCAACTGAAAACGTACCAAAGCCACTTATTGGATTTATGAGGGATTGTTGCTTTGCCATTCAGGTGCGTGCTAATGGAATCCCAATAATAAGATTAGATGACTATAACTTAGCCACGGACGACAGTGAGGAATAAAGGATGAACGTTTATTTTTAAAGCTTATAAATGAGTTCTTCATCAAGCTCTCGTGAACCTTCACCATCTATGAAACAAACTTTACCAAACGATTATGGAGCACCTATTGAATATTTCTTACGAGCTGCACAATGGCAAAGAGCAGTCTCACCAAGGTTAGGTGTTCCACCAGCTCCTGTCAAAAATAGCATTTGGTCAAGTCCTTATATAAATATGGTCTCCCACTAGGTTTGCTAGCTACAGCAGGAGCAGTTATGATGTTGAAAAGAAATAAAGCAAATGTTATAATAATACTGAAGTAGCTGAAGTTAAACAAACTCCAACACCTCACAAACAACACCTTCAATGACTCCTGAACCTATGGAAAGTACAAACTCCTGTTCAAAAGTCAACTCCTAAACCGACTCCAACATTTAAACCAGAACCTACTCCTCAAATAAATCGTAAAACTCCTGCGTTTCCTTACTGAAAAATAACGTTATTTTTATTTAATATTAAAATTTTTATTTGATTGAAATGACGACTAAAGTCACTGAAGCAATGAAACAAAAGTTTTTGGTAGAATACATTAAATCAGGAGCGGTTCCAGAAGGTTTTTTACGTTCATACTATGAAGGATGGTAGAGTTCAGTTTAGAAAGATAAAGCAACCATTAGATAAGAAGGTATATTAAGAAGATTAAACTTCATGAGGACAACATTGCTGAACTTAAGAAGAAGTTAGAAGAGTTGGAGAAAGGAAGAGAGTTATAAAGCAATGAATTCAACAGGTAGAAAAGGTAGAAATGAGGTGAGTATACCCTTCTACCTAAATTTATTTTTGCGCTATGTTTTCATACGTGTGAGGGTGGTGATATCATTAATTTTTAAGTTTATTTTTTTATTTACTGAAAATTTTTATTTTTATTTGGATGTAAATGACGAAAACTATTGAGATAACAAACTACAACGGTCATGAGTTCAAGAATTTGTTCTTCGTTCCTCGTGAAAATACATTCTATCAGATACGAGGGAGAAAGGGTAAAGTTAGTTTGAGCGTTTATGAAGGAATGAAGAATGGAAAGTTTATACAAGCATACGATACAAACGGTAAGCGTGTTTCATTAGCTTTGTCAAAACTTACTAACATTTATTTTGACAGTGATTTTGACCTATATGAAGAAGAAAGTGAGTCAGAAGAATATGAGCTGTTATGTGAAGCACAGCAATGGGAGGAGTTGCAATACTTTTGTAAGTGAGAACGTTTATTTTTACATTAATGAAGTCATTAGTGGTTGGCGGTTTTGTAAATATTTAAGGTTAAGTTGGTGTTTGTGTTTGTGTTGTAAAATATACGTTAACGGTTTTGTAAAGTGTCAAATTCACAAGTATTGCGTACGGAGGAACGCAGTGCCACAGTACACGAGACTTGTATACTAACTTACGTATGAGAAATTTGAACAGGGAAAACTTTTACAAGTGAATTTGCTTGTAAACTTAGAAACAACTCTTCAAGCTTTTCAAGAAAAAATAAACGACATCTATATCGAATATGCAAACCAGTATAAATTGACGAGGAGAGTACCATCTCGATATTATATATGAAACAGGAAAAATGCAACTGTTAAAATCAATAGAATAGAAGACCTTGGAGAAAACGTTTATATTTCTACAAAATATAACAACTTGGCATGGTATAGATTTATGAGGATGTTAAATCAGCCTGCAGAATATCCAGTACACCCGGACTTTTATGAAGTCGAAAACCCTAATGGAACATATGAAAATGTTTTCGACTCAGATGCTATTATAGTTCATGCTTCATTTTCTGGTGCACAAAACTCTTTCTTATGTTTGGCAAATGACTTTTACGAAAAACCTACAAAGCTATATGAACCACCAAGTGGAAGTATTTCAGACTTTCAAGTATGGTTTACAACAGATGGAAGAAAGAGAATAGTTCCATTATACCATGCGTTTTACTTAGAACTTAGTTTCATATACAACTACTATCGAACGGTAAAAATATAATTTTTTAATACGGTTGAGGTGTTGGATTTGGTTGCCAACTAGACTGTGGTGCAGGTTCAGGCTGTTGTATAACAGGAGCTTGTTCTTCTGGTTCAGGGTCTTTAGGTATAATACCAACAAACTGACCTACCCTTTTACCAATATTTTTGACTCCGTTCCAAATTCCTCTTCCTACGGTTTTTTATTCCATTCCATATACCTCTTCCAACTCTTCTGAAGAAGTTTCCAATACTACTGAAGAAACCATTTTACTATATGTAAAAATCTAATGTCGCGCTAGTCTCTTACGTTTCCTGTTGAGTTCCATAGCATTCTTTAACTGGAGCTCATACATTCTGTTTCTCTTCTGGTAGAAAACATATTTCTGGGTCAACTCCTGTGTTCGCGTCATCTGCATAGAGTTGTTTATATCCCACTTCGGGGTTTTGTATAAAACTCTTTCCATCTCATATTTGCATACCATGGTGGCAAACCTAACGCAGCGTCATTTGACATGGCAGTTTGCATTTGTTACATCTGTTGGCACCTTGACCATAGTTTGCCATTGCAGTTTGTATTCTAACTTCATTTGGAATATTCTCTGGGTTTGGTTGTCCAGGTTGCTGTGCATTCGCTAAGTTCTGTGCGTCCATTTAATATTAGATAAAAATATCTCTTACGAGTACATATTACTGGACATTTGCAGGCATTGGTTCATCTTCATATTCTCTGTACCTTTCTGCCACGTCAAATAAATAAATGACACAATGGAAAAACCTAAAACAAGTAGTCCTATTTCAAACCACATTTACTTACTAGTAAAATTTGCTTTATTGTGACACTTTCTCCAGTTTATAGGACCTCTCTCATATTCTATCTTGTCATATATAAACTCATAGTCATGTATGTCCTCTAACCATCTCATAACGGTTTCCAAACCACTTTTATCGGATGTAAAGTAAAAGCATGGATGGTTATGTAAACGTCTAAAGTTTCTAAAGAGTCTCTCAAAGTCCAGTCTACTTGGTATTGAAAATCCATGTGTTATAGAACGGCGGGTCCACTATAAAAGAAAACATTTTCCTTGTCTTTATATTTTCATACAACTCTGTCCAATGACATCTCACAAACTCTATACCCTCAATATATTTTTCTATGTCCTCTTTGAAAACATTTGTATAGTTAAGATATAAAACTTTTGACATAAGTGTTTCAATGTCATGAACTCTTATAGCACCACTATATAATAGTCTAGCAGATATACTATCCCAGTCTATATATTCTGCTTTTTTCAAAACCTCTCTCACAATATTTTTCTTATCTAATGGTATACGTTCCATCTTACCTAATAGGTATCTTTTCTTTTAACTCTTTCAATAATTGTTTGTATCTGGTATATGTTTGAGACGGTCCATATAGTTGTCGAAGTCATTGCATATAATCTTTGAGTCTGGGAATATTGTATGGCACAAATGGATATATAGAAACTTCCACCGAACAAATCTACAAATGTTAGACCATTCGGTAGTTTCTTAAGTTCTCTCAATAGAATATCTTTACATCTACTCTTATTTCCAAAGAACGGTAACGGTGGTTTTGTAAAATTCATTTATATATAATAATAAAAATGTTTTTTCCTGAAAAGTGACAGAAAAGTGACAAAACATTTACGAAGAAGAAGTTTATTTCCTGGACTGTTGTCAAAATGTCATGTTGTCACCATTTTCAAAAAGATGTTAGTTGACCGAGGGACCGAGGGACCTGGTGACACCTTCAGTTCTTCAAAACATTTACGAAGAAGTCTTGACAAAACATTTACGATGAAATCATGACAAAAACATATACGAAGAAGTCATGACAAAACATATACGAAGAAGTCATGACAAAACATGAAAACATATATAATTTGTGAAAAGCGACACATTATATAATGTTTTCGACCCAGAAGAAGGCTTCTCAAAGTATACTTCCTTGGAACGCCTGTAACTTTTCCTGTAGCGACGATAGACCCTTACTTGTCCGGACAAAGTTATACTAAACATCTTCAGGGCTAGAGGGCACGAAGTGCCTGGAGGCCCCACTACCTTTTTTTTTTTTTTTTTTTTTTTTTAATTGCGTATTGTACGTTTTTTTCGCAAAACGAAACCCTTATTTAATATTATTTTGATAATGAAGATTTTATTTTGCAATAATATAAACGAAATTTTTTACCTTATGAACTCTTGATGGAAATATTCAAATTTAAAATAATAAAGAAAGCCGCGAGCGAAGCGATCGGCTTAGTTCGAAGATTTTGATTCAAATCTTTGCTGATCTGTAATTCGCGGAAGCCGCGAGCGAATCGAGCGGCTTAGGTCTAAGATTTTGATTCAAATCTTTGCTTATATTCCTTAAATTCTTTATGAAACTCGCAACAGTTCCATAAAAAATTTTAAATTCTAAACTGTCGAAATTACCGATCGGTAATCACACCCTTCACGGGTGTATCACTTTTTACAAGTGTGTCACTTTTAGCTAAAATTACCCCTACTCATCAAAGTCAATAATATAGTTTGTGGAATAGAGAATATGAATTGACTTGCGTTGTAATTTTTGATGACTTATTCATTCGTTCAGTTATTTAGGATTCAACAATAAGAAATTTATATTTTATGTTGTAATGCATAATTAATGGGTGTTATAATCTTACATGGATGTAGATTTTGTATTGGTATTAGGAGAAATAGAAATTATTTCAGAAAAATAAACAAATTTATTTTATGTTAAATACAAAACATCATTAGCAATACGGAGTTGTCCGCCAACACCATATATAGTCAACTGTCTATAGAATTTACACATTTTATCAGAATCTTTTTCAAGAGCAACATTTCCAACGAGATTCACAGAATAAAATATTCCGCAGACAAGATTTATGCTCTTGCTTTCAATTCTGCCTGAAAAACCGCTCGGAAATATTACTTTTTGGGTGGATGATATATTTACACTTCCCTGAGTGACAGATTCTCCTGGTTCCTTGCGGCTAAGGTTCTGATTGTATGATATGAGTGCAGCAAGAGGTTCTTGACGTGAACAATTCCTGATTATGAAGCTGAAACAAGCATTTTGCAAATAGAAGTCACTTGTTGAGCCAATATCATTATTTTGTGCTGACCAAAATTTATCTAAGAAGGATTCAACCTCTGAATCCCCTTGGGAACTTCTATTTTCATATCTATTTGATTTTGGTTGAGGAGGAGGAATTTCAATCTCTGGTATGTCTTTTGGATTTGTAACATCTGGAAAACCGTTCTCATCTTCGTTGTAAAGTGATCCTAACTCTAATCCGTTGAATCTAATGATCATTCCTTTCATTTTCTCGGTTAATTGTGTGGTATCTTGGATAGGATTCTTGTCAAGAATAACAGCCTTCAAATTCGGAATGAAATTATGTAATTTTGTGAAAACATTCACATTAGAGATTCTATTATTAGTTAAATTAAGAATATCAACTTCAAAACCAAATTTTCGAGAAAATGATCCGATGAAAAAGAATAAGAGTTGAAGATCAACGTAATAATTTGCATTAAATAAAGGAAGATGCGATCTAATATCTGTTAAGTCAAACATTTTGTCTGTATAACTATTTTTAAGATAGTCTACGATTTGTGAATGCAATTCCCTGTATTTTTCCATATTATATTGAGTAATTAATAAAGAAGTTTCATTATAACTGATTCCATTGAGATTAATAACTCCATTCATGTCTTTTGCATTCTTGAATTTAATGCATAAGAAATTTTTGAATTTAATTGGTTCATTATCAACGGAAAAACTGTGATTATACCGTTTTGTGAATTCCTTTGAGATAAATTCAAATGTTTCATCTTTAGACAATTTTGGTCCCGCATCAATTATCACACTAAATTCAGTTGGTTCTTTATGAGGATGCATTTTGGCACTTTTTTGATATGAATGGTGTGATATGAATAACTACATTTATTAGTTCTTAATTGAAAAAAAATGTAAAGCACCGCTGGTCTAATGGTAGAATTTCACCTTGCCAAGGTGGGGGCCCGGGTTCGATTCCCGGGCGGTGCATTCATTTTTAAATATATTTTTTGTTAAATCTCTCGTTATCATACGCTTTTCGAGAGTATTCTTAAGTTTAGTTGCTTCAACTTTTGAATAAAAATGGTTATGATGGCATTTTTATCTTATAGTATCAAACACTGACGATATATCATTAAGGGTCCACTATAAGGCCAAATAAGACCTATCGTCGTCCCAAAAATATTGCTCAAGATGGTGTTTTTACTAAGGCCCAAAACTTAAAAAAACACAAAAAAATTAACTTTACTCTTTTGAGATCCTTATCAGATGTGCAACAATTTGATGCAGTATCGCAATTCGAATCCGATTTTTTAATGTAGATGTACTCTAACATTCTTGAAAAAATGCAAAATGATATTAATCAAGCTTTTCATTTCTGTATCATACACGAAACAAAATCATTCATTATACTAAAATTTATCAAAGTTTGAATAATGAAAAAAATAATATCTAAATTTTTACATTGAGTCGGCTATTGATATGGTCAATATTAAATCGTTTAAAAATGGGCATTGGCCAGAATAATACCCACTAAAATACACATTTTTTAAAATTTTATCAATTTGTTTTGGTATATCTTTATGATAATGAATAAAATGCTTATCTTTCATAAGTCAATACATAATTTATGCTGAAACACAAAAAATAACACGAAAATTTTTGGCCAACATTTCAAAACGAAGGATAATGCTTTGAATATATAAACAATAATACTTTGTCTAGAGAATTAAATTTGTGCTATCCAATTGTCAATTCTTTGAATTTTTTATAAAATGCACGATATTCCGGCATTAGCCTCAATAAATATAAACTACATGCATCACAATATTAGGATGTAATGGCATTAAAGCGAATTTCCTAATTTCTTCTCAATTAAATTCCTAGAAAAACTTAGGAATTAATGATTGGAAATAGGTCAAAAAAATTCCTAATATAAAATTTATACTTAAATTAAAATCAAAATTCGAAAATATCTATTTTTCAAAACACGCATCCAGAAGCAAAAAAATAGGAAAAAATCATGTTCTTATAAAACTCGCTGATTTTGCAATTTTTATGTGATTTGAAGTGATAGAATGTATTATCATCTTACTAAAACATATACTTTATTGTTAGATTCACAAAATATTAATCAGAACACTAGGAAAAGTGGATTTTCGAAAAAAGACAATAATGATTATTTGCAAATCGCCTCTCAATTTTGAGAGACTTTCAATTTTTACATTGGACCCTTAAGCAATCTCAATATCATTTTTCACTGACAAAAGTAAAGAATATTTTAGAAATAGAAAGTTTATCAATGTTTTTATAAATCGAATAAATTCGGAATAAATTTTAAACTATTCATAAATCAATAATTATATTTAATATAAATGTGCAGCACCGCTGGTCTAATGGTAGAATTTCACCTTGCCAAGGTGGGGGTCCGGATTCGATTCCCGGGCGGTGCATTACTTTTTCTTTATTTTTGGAATAAAAGTGACAATATTTAATTAAATAACGTATAATAATGACTTTTCGATATACTCCTGAGGAAATTGAGGAGTTATGCAAGATTCCTCCATGGACTGATAGTCCACTTGACAAGCAGAATAAATTAATTTATGATCAAGTTCCTTTAACTAGAAAATGCATTGTCGACCAATGTTTGTTTTGGTGCGACGTAGCTCAAAGATTCAAACATAACTTACATTTTAAGAGAAAACACCCTACAGATTCACAAAATCCTAATGCTTCAGATCCCTATGGTGAATTCATTGTAGGTATTGTTGGATGTGGCTCTGTAGGATCAAAATTCGTAAAAGAATTGCTCAAGCGTGAAATTGTTAGACCTGAACAAATTAGAATCTCTTCTCGAACTCCATCAAGAGCAAAACAACGCTGTGGACTTGAAGTCGTACAAAATAACGTCGAAGTCGCTTCTCATTGCACAATTCTCTTTTTGTTTGTGTTACCATTTCATTTTAGAAACTTTTCAAGAGAAATTAGAGATGCAATTCAAGGTTCAAGACCTTTAGTCGTATCTTCTCTTGCAGGCTTCACACCTATGTACTTACAGCGCGCTCTTAATACTCCATTTTTGATTACAACGGGAGTTGATATGGATACAATCAAAGCTGCAGCTCAGCATCTTGATGAAGAATTCCCACTTGCATCATTTGCTACTGGTGAAGAACTTGTTCACTTCCAAGAATACTTTGTTGGTGTTTTTCAAGAAGTTAATCAACAAAATTCAAAATTAACCTTTTCTGATTTAAATCCTCAACAACCTGAACAAGATTTGAAGAATGCATATAATCCATTCCAAGCCACCATTAGTAATCCAAAAACTCTTGCAAGATTACATCGCGCTTCTTTTGCAGCAGAAAGCCTTGCAAACTGCGGAATTGACTTCTTAAATTCGACTATTACTGCTCTAAAGGATTGGATTTCACTGGATCCTGCTTATACAAGAATTCAAATTAAAGAAGAGACTTACAACAAACTTTGGGCAAGAAGTTTTATACCATTGTCATCTCTTACACGTGTTGAATCTATCTATACTTCAGGAGCTGTTGAACAGCAACTTCCAGTAAGATTTATGCTTAAAAGAGCTTTTATTCGTTCCCTTCTTGGAAATGCTCTTGGAATGAATATTCAATCAGAGCAAAAGGTTTCTCAGGGAATGCCTCTGCAGATTCCTTCAGAAGAAAGGCCGGAACAAAAATAATTTTAATCTTCATTTACTTTTTCTTTTTTTGTGTTATGTTTAAATATTGTATGATATATTTTTCTATAATTCTCATTGGATATTCAACAATTTTCTGTTTTCCTTATACATAATTTTTAAATCAGTTGAATTGTGTATTACACTTGGAAAACAGACTTATTTTGAGTAAATATTAACTTTATTATATATAACAAAACAAAAAAGGATCATGAAATAAAAAATACAAATTCTTTTCTGCTTATTTCAGATTTTCTAACTGAACAAATGCAGAAAATAATATCTATGAATGTGTGTGAACTGTGTTATTTTTGTGATTTTTGCAAATCATCATATAACTTCAAATAATAGCTTGCATGCTGATAAACTTCATTGTCATCTGATTGTAATAATTCCGAAGCATTATGTATGCATTCTTCAGTAAAATACCTAAGTTTTATCAATGATATCAAGCTAAGCATTAAGATATCATGGTTTTCATAAGTAAGTGATTCTTCAATGATACCAAACAGATCATCTGTCATATTCTGGCAATTTGTAGTCATTATTATTTGTAATATGACTTTTAATGTTGAAATTTTAATATTAAATTCTGAACTTCTATACAAATCAATAAATCTATCCATATATGGAAGTAATTTGTTTCCCCATGGCGATCCAGCAATGAGAAGTAAGAGAGCAAGAGATAATAATAAATTGTTTGATTCAATCAAACCTTGAAGAACAATTTGTTTTCCAGCTAACAATCCACAGAAATCATCGTTATCAGATGCTAATTCTAGCAATAGTAAAAGAACTTGTTTGTTATATGGAGAAAAGTCATCTGAAAATAGCTTATCAATATCTAAAATGAATATATCTTGCTTTGCTAGAATTTGATGACATTTAAAAAGTATTATATCTAAATCATTGATACCGGTTGGGAATTTAGTTAATTGAAGTATTTCAACAACCATACTGTTTTCGGTTCTCTGTATGAGTTTATAAATTTGGTGTATTAAAACTGAAAAGAGTTGTTTGTTTTGAGTTTTTAATTCTTGCTCAAAAAATGGACCAAAATAATCAAAATAGTCTGAGTCTATTGTGCAAATACATGTAACAAGTCTAATTATATCAATTTTTAGTTGGTCTGAGTTAATTAAATCCAAATAAGACAGTGTTTTCTCTTTGATGTTCGAGAGATCAACAATTTCTAAGTTTGTTTCATCTGATGCATGTTCCATTATGTATATAAGTACTCTCATTGCTGCTTGTGAAATTTGTTGATTTTCATCATTATATAATTCGACAAATGTTTTAAGGAGCGATTCTTGGCATATGTAATCCTCTGGAAATTCTTCTAATGACTGTAAATAGAATGGAAGATCTAAAAATTGCTTTTTATCAATGAAAGACCATTCAACGACCTTTTTTAAATTATCATATGCCTTTAATTCCTTTTCGTTATCAAGTATTGGATAGGCTTCATCACATTTATGATTTTCTTGACCTTCTTTATATTCCATAATTTTTGTTACAAATTTCGAAAAAGTGCACGTTTATTATTTTCTAAAGTTGAAAATAGGCCATGATTGCAATACAAATCAAATGCTTGTCTGGGATCATAGTTTTTAAAACATATTGTAATAATTAAACTGAATAGCATTATAAGCCTGGATTCTTTTATTATAACGGAAAAAGCAGATGAATATTCATTTGAATGTTTGTCATTCATTTAGTACTTGTATTAAGGAGTTTAAGATGTGGTCAGGTTCTTTTGAGTAAGTTCAAGAAACTTAATTACCTTAAGATTGGATAGAAAATACTAGATTATCTCTGATCGCGTAATTCACACATATATTTCATATTTCCATAAATATCCGATTCAAATATTAGATATTACGTCTGGATAAAGAGGAAAAAAAAATCAATATTAACAAAAAATGAAATATAACGTGGCATAAATGCGTAATATAAATACTTTATTTCATACAATAGTAGATTATTCACTTAAAATATAAAAAGTTTCAATATTTTATAAAGTGAAATAAAAATTCTGAAAGATTTTAAAAGAATTTTGTAAGTGATGATATGTTTCCTGGATGCTTGAATAAGGACTGTTGGTCTCGTTCGATGAAATTAACATATTGCTTAATCATTTCTTGGATTATTCGTTTTCAAGAAGTTTAATTAGAATTCCTAGCTTGTTCTTACAAATGTAAGCTTTATAGAATGCGGTTCTTTACCCAAAGTCAATGAGTTCAATGAAAAAACTCTATAAAAGGAAATAAAAAATATCTCAAAAAAATATATATAAATGTAAACTAACTTTACAAAAAATAAAATAAAAATAATAGATGACGGTGAAAGAAGTATCCGAAAAGCTGCGTCGCTTGATTAACGAGAAATATACAATTGACCAAGTGGGTAAGGTACTATCGGCCGCCGATCAAAACCACGATGGTTATATTGATCAGAAAGAAAATTTTGCCCAAGTTATGCGTGAACTTGGCATTCAACTCACCGATCGCGAAACACGTAGTGCGGCAAAAGCACTCGGAGCAACAGAGCAAGGAATTCGTATTGATACTTTCTTGGCATTCTTCAGCCCTGCAATTCCTAAAGAAAGAATGAAATTTATACAAGACGCCTACAAAAAACTTGATACCGATGGTGATGATGTTGTAGATATTGACGAGCTCGTTACTCGCTTCGGAGATGGAGACTTTGTTAATTTCTTCGGCAGAAGAATGACAAAAGAAATGTTTAAATCACACATGATGAAATGCTTTGATGCTGATAGAGATGGAAAGTTCCAACTTTCTGGATTTAGTACATATTTCCAAGAATATAGCCAATATATTAAGTCTGATGAAGAATGGGCAAATGTTATGAATGGAATGTGGGGATTAGCCCAGTAATTCCGCGTACTTATTTTTTATTTATATTTTACTACTTGCTCTTTTCTAAATAATTTACTTATTTTTGAATTACAAAATCACAACAAATTAATGTTAAATTCTTGATTTTTATTCACGGTTCATCGAGTAATTTCTCTTTCGTGGCAATAAAATATAAAAAAATTAGTATTGAGCAATCTAAAAAATTCATGATTTCAATAAAAAATCAATTATTTGATATTTTGTTTGTTAAAATCACTATTATCATCCATAAATTAAATGAAATTAATAAGCGTTGTAAAAATGGACCGCATAACACTCTATATTTGAACATCTTGGCTAATTTACAACGGATAATTATTTCAACATAGGATATTGAATGGAAAAATTTAGTTGGAGAAAGAATGAACATTTGTTATAAAAAATTGTCGATCCAAAATTTTGCAAAGTAAATATTATACACTCATTTTAGAAGATTTTCACATATGTGCCAAAAGATGACGTATATTTAAAAATGCGTTGAAAATGCCAGACCAATTGATGATTTTTAATTTAATCTCAAGTGAAAAAATCAAGATTATGAATAGCTTATCTACGAATAAAACTCTTAATGACCTATATATAAAAAAAAGGAAAATAATTTATCAATATAAAATCATTTGATTTTGTATAAATTTTATTTATTAAATTCCATTCTGATTCATAATCGAAAAAATCAGATAAGAAAGAATAGCATCTTATATAGAAATATTATTCTTTTGCACCATGTGAAAGAAGAAGTTCGGTTGTTTCTTTACGATTATTCTCTGCTGCATGATGAAGAGCGGTTTTTCCATCTTCATCCTTTTCATTGATGTTTGCGCCATGTGAAAGAAGAAGTTCAGCTGTTTCTTTACTATTAGTATATGCTGCATCATGAAGAGCAGTTCTTCTATCTTCATCTTTTTCATTGATGTTTGCACCATGTGAAAGAAGAAGTTCGGTTGTTTCTTTACGATTATTCTCTGCTGCAAAATGAAGAGCGGTTTTCCCATCTTCATCTTTTTCATTGATGTTTGCACCATGTGAAATAAGAAGTTCGGCTGCTTCTTTACCATTTTCACTTGCTGCATAATGAAGAGCGGTTTTCCCATCTTCATCTTTTTCATTGATGTTTGCACCATGTGAAAGAAGAAGTTCGACTATTTCTTTATAATTATTTTTTGCTGCATTATGAAGAACCATTTCTCTATTTTCATCATTTTCATTGATATTTGCACCAAGTGAAAGGAAGTATTCGCAAAAGGATGGAATATTAAACATCCATGAATAAGCAAAGCATTTGTTAATATCATTAGTTTGATCCAAATAAACTAAAAATGATTCAAGATTATTGTAATTTCCACAATCACATAAATCAATCTCCATATTGTATTCATTCATCAAGAATGTAACAAAATCAATGTTGTGTGAAATAATTGCATATATCATGCAATTATTGTTTGGTTCTTGATATTTCAAACATTCACTCATGATCTCGGGATTTCCTCCTAAAAATGATAATGCTAGACATGTATAAGATATTTCTTTGTCAAATTTCGTTCTTAAAAATTTGAAACAATCAACTGCTCCATGGTAACAACATAATTCAAGTAATGAATATCTTTCATCAGAATCTGGATATAAATCGCTTTTAAGTCTTTGACATCCATCAAATCCTTCTCTTTCTGTGAATGTGATGAATGTTTCTAAGTCATTATTCATAATTGCTCTGTAAATTGTATTTTCTGCATGAATATCCAGATTATTAATTATAAAATCCTCATCTTCGAAATCATATTTGCCTAATTTAATACCGTATTCTTTGTAAAATAAGTATTTAAAGATATACGCAACATTATTGACCGCTTGGACATGATAATCATCATATATAAGTTTGGCAAGAGATAAGTATGACTTTGTATAGCGATTATTATACGGAATGATATTTGAAATATCTTCTATGATCCTATTAGGTGGATATTTCTTTGAATCAATCAATTCTGTTTTGATCATTTTGTAAATCTCGTTTAATTCTTCGTCTTTTCCAGTTTTTAGCTGATACAATGCATTGTATGAATCGATGTAGTACTTATAGATACCTCGCAATTTGCTGTATTTATTTGAATCAATGTCTTCGTCAGACATTAATAATTTTTAAAAAGAACACAATTGTATCTTACCATATAAAACATTCTTAAAAAATCATTGGGAGAAATGGATGCTATACGATACATGTGAAAAACAATGACCAAAAGATTTCGGATATAATTTTTGAATTTTAATTAAGTTCATAAATACAAAATTACATAAAAAGAATAAGAAAGTCGAACTCAATAAGATTTTCATCCAGATACATATATTATTATTCAAGCAGTCCAGCATTTCGAAGTTTTTTATTGGATTTATGCATATTTTATAAAACTTAAGTTTATCATTATAAGCAGAAGTCAACAAAGTATGATTCCAAGCTAAAAAATAATTTTAATGTGAATAAACATTTTTAGAGTAGTTTATGGATTGAAGTCTCAGTTTTTAAAGTGAAAGGAATTCATAGGTTCGATTTTTTAGATGATAAGAGATCTCAATTTTGGCAAAAAGCGACTTATGTGGGAGAATATGATTAAGCATGAAATTCATGCTAAATTAGATGTTGTAATTTATCCCTATCTTTTTTAAACTAGAAGTAAAATAGGGAATGCTATAGGAAGAAATACTAATTTAAATCACCAAATTAACTGCAGTTCTTATTGAATCACACAGCCTAGATAAACAAAATCTAAATAAATGGAGTGAATGATCTTCATTAAGCAAAGTAAAAGTGAGTATGTATAAAAAAATTAGTTGATCAATTATTGAAAAACAATGACAAAAAGAAATATTTAAAAATTACAAAATGTAGTTAGAAGATAAAGATCGAACGAGTCTCATTGCGACTTCCTTGACAGTATCGATACTTCCTGTCCTGTATTTCTGCGCAATCTCATCAACTCTGTACGTAGCAAAGAAAGCTTTAGGAGATGGATTCACATCAACAAAAAGTGCCAAAATATTGAAAGTAGACAACAAAATTTCTGGGTGACTTCTGAACACTTTTCCTCTCAAAACTTTCATTACTGTTCCAACGAATTCGGATGTTGACATAGAAATTGCTAGATCAGGGCATTTCTCAAGAATAGATAATATCTTTGCAGCGCAATCCGCCTGCATTGTTGTTCCGACGCTTGTTGTGATCAATTCAGCGCAAATCGCTGGGAAATCAGCGTGTTTCATCAATTCTTCCTGTATTTGCTGTGGTTTCTGAAGAGCCCAAGTTTCGAAGCCATTTAGAACTTGGTCTTTGTGGTTGTGAGTGTGGAACAATGAATACAAGACACCTAAAGCGTTGTATGTACTCAATCTCTGTCGGACTTTGGAATCGCTTGAATGTGTCTTAATTAAATCTAAGAAAACGGTTTTTGCCAATTCCGTTAACAATGATTGATGCTTTATGATGTAAACGAGCATCGGAATGAGCGGAGCGATCTGGGAGGCCTCTTTGTGGGTCATGCAGCGTGTCATGTTGAACAAGGCGGAGAAGCAGTTCGAAACTAACTGGGTCATTGACACTTCGGCCTTATCTACTCGTAGATAATTCAAGAGCTTGTCACAAAGTGTTGTAGACCACAATGCTTTGGCTACCTGCTGGTCCATCGTGATGTTGTTGATGGCTCTTGTCAACATAATAAGAACTTCATCGGATAATTTGTTATCGTGGCCGGCCACCTTCTCTGCCTTTGTGAATATGGCATCGATAAACTTAGGAGTAGCCATGTTTAAGCGGACAACGCTGTCTGCTTCTGAAAATGTGACAAATAATTCAGCGATGTAAGGCATTGTTTCGGAATTAGCGTCGATATCTGCATACCTTTCAGCAAGTAAGTCGATCAGGCCTGCTTGTGAAAAGATTCTGGACAATGCTGATTTGGATGTGGACATTGGAGCTTTGAAGACATATCGGACGCATCCAATGAGAATTGGAGTGAGTTCTGGACGCTCTGAATGCCTGTTTCGTCTGAAAATATTTGTCAATCCGACCAAACCTCCAGCAGAAACGAATAACTGAAGGAGATGGTAGTCGATGTTGCATCCGAGTGCACAAATGTATGAAATCATCTTCAAAGCGTTCATTTGTACGTTCGGACCGTAAAATCTTTTCTCATCTACCCAATCTTCAGCGTATCTGAGGAGCGGAGGCACCAAACCCATGATGCAGAACGATCTCATGAGGGTTGGCTGGTCTTTTACGACTTCAATTACAACCGGAATTGCATGCTCAAGGATTTCTGGGACATCGCACTGTACAACGGATAAGATTGGAATAATACCGTGTCTTATACCTAAGTTTGCGCGTAACTTCGCATTTTCGTGGAGAATTTTGATAATTTCCGCGCAAATTTCGTTCGGTCTGCGTTTTGTCATTGCTATTAAGTTCTCTGATGATTCAAGGGTCTTGAGAGTGGCTTCATCTTCGTCATCGTCATTATGAGATGCTCGAAATTGATCGGCGTACTGGATCAAACCGTCTAAGTCGTTGAGGATTGTATCCATGAGCTCGCTTTCCTTCTGGACGGCGTTATCTTCGGCCGCTGAGAAAATTCCGGTAAATAAGTCGTCAATGTTCGCTTTTGGCTTATGCTGGTTGTTTCCCATGATCTGTAGAGTTGGCTGGATCTGCAAACCACCGGATTTCGGTTGTATCTGTAATCCGCCAGATTTTGGTTGAATCTGGAGTCCTCCTTGTTTCGGCTGTATATGCAAGCCTCCACCACCTCCACTGGACTTTCCTGGTAATGGTTTGAGACCGGATTCTGATGGTTTTCTTGGACCATTATCTTGGATGTTGAACATTGGCTTCTTTTTTGGAGAGAATGGCTTGCCATCGCTTATAGCGATCGTTGGCTTATCGGATGTCCTGATCTTTGTAAGGGTTGGTGAGGCAAGTTTGAGATCTCCGAAGTCGTCATCATCATCTTCCGCAAACTTTGATAGCAATGGCTGTGGCTTTATCTTTCTGGCTGGTTTAGGTGCCGCTGCCGCTGGTTTGAGATCTCCGAAGTCATCATCGTCGTCGTCTTTGAATTTGTCGAGTCCTGATGCGGCTGGCTTTGGCTGTAGACAAACTGGCTGAGGTTGCTGGATCTTTGGAGTGGCTGGTTTAAGATCTGCAAAATCATCATCGTCATCTTCTTGGAATTTACTAAGATCGTTAGCAGCAGGCTTTGGCTTTATGGCTGATGGTCTTTGTTGTGGCTGGCTTGGCTTCAAATCTGCGAAATCATCGTCGTCATCTTCTTTGAAAGAGCTCAAAGAAGTTCTCGGCTTCTTTAGATTGAATGTTTGATCGTCGTCATCGTCTTTTTCTGTAAAAGTGCTAAGAGATGGCCTTGGTTTGTGAGATTCCATGTTTTTCTTCGCATCTGCGAGATTTATGTCCATAATATCATTGAAATTGTCATCCTTCTCTTGGAATGAACTCAATGATCTCTGTTTTGATGATTTACTCTCAAGTTTTATTGGTTTTGAAGAATCAAGGTCATCAAAATCGGAAGAACCCTCTTTAAACAAGCTGAGAGTGCGGTTCCTTTGTGGAGGGTTCTCAAGATTCTTTAATCTGTTGATTTGGGACTCAGGATCTGCTGGTGGCAAATCCAAAAAATCGTCATCGCCGCTTTCATCTTCTGCGAAGCTGGCAAGTGACGTAGGGCCACCAGATTTTCCTCCCGCAAGCAATGGCGATTCCTCTGGCTCTTCGTCGCCTAATGAAAAATTACTGGTTCCTTCTGAGGCTTTTTTGAGATTTACGTTTGTAGACATGAAAATATCTTCCTGTAGATCGGTGTCTTCTTGGAATCGACCAAGTTTGCCTTCAATTTTTTGTTCTCCCATTAAATCGTTATGTTCTAAAATAAATGGATGTTTTAAAAGCTGTTCTGTATTTTTCCTGAATGTTACATTCTTTGTTAAGCATGAAGTAAGAAAATCTTTGAAGTTTGCGCTAATATCTTTTGGTAATGGCGGTTCTGGGTTCTGTACGATCTGAAACATAGCGCGGACTGCATTTAGCTCAAAGTATGGTGGCTGTCCTGCGAAAAGTTCGATGGCAGTAATGCCAAGAGACCAGATGTCGCATTTTTCTGTGATAGGTTCCATCGAAATAACTTCTGGAGCGGCCCAAAATGGACTGCATTGAGAGAGTGCATCTGGGTTTTTGTTATCTGTTAATTTTACTGAAATACCGAAATCTGATAATTTGCAATGTCCTTTTGTGAGTAAGATATTTGCTGCTTTAATATCGCGATGAATGATGGACTGTTCGTGCAAGTATTTGAGGCCAAGGAGAACCTCGTATAAGTATTTAGACGCTAAGTGTTCGTTGAAATTTTCGAACTTTTTCTGGACGTTCTGAAGGGATCCGCCTTCTGCAAACTCCATAACAATATATAGAAAGTCCTTTGTTTGATGACTTGTAATGTATTTAACAACATTTGGATGTTCTAGCGGTGCCATTAAATCAATTTCTTGTTGCACCGAATCCAAAGCATCTGGAAAGCGTGTTAATGAGATTGTCTTAATGGCTACATAATCACCTGTGTCTTTATTTAAGCCTTGATACACGCATCCAAATGCACCACGTCCTAATTTCGGCCCTAGTTGAAATTCGTTAAAATCTTGTGGCTCAGCCTCAATAATAGGAGGTGGTATAATGATCGGTTCCTCTTTCTTTACTTTCTTTTTCTTTTTGATCACCTTCTTACCATGAGGTTTCCCTGACATCGTGTGAAACCGGCTTTACTTTTTAAGAGAACTACGATAAAAATTCTCTCAAAATGATATCGAAATTTTGGTAAATATGTTTATTATTCGTTATATATTAATTTTTATATAATTTTTTCTTCAAAAAGTTGAACGAATTTTATCAAAATTTTCACCAAAAGTAATTACATTTGTTATGGTTGGTTGAAAAAATGTTTGAAATCTTCAAAATCTTGAAAATCTAAAAAATCAATGAAACGAATTGAGTAGGGGTAATTTTAGATAAAAGTGACACACCCGTGAAGGGTGTGATTACCGATCGGTAATTTCGACAGTTTAGAATTTAAAATTTTTTATGGAACTGTTGCGAGTTTCATAAAGAATTTAAGGAATATAAGCAAAGATTTGAATCAAAATCTTAGACCTAAGCCGCTCGATTCGCTCGCGGCTTCCGCGAATTACAGATCAGCAAAGATTTGAATCAAAATCTTCGAACTAAGCCGATCGCTTCGCTCGCGGCTTTCTTTATTATTTTAAATTTGCATATTTCCATCAAAAGTTCATAAGGTAAAAAATTTCGTTTATTTTTACTAAGAAAAAAAAGGTTTTTGATAATAAATTTATTTTATTTCGAAAAAGTAGCAATAATCGTAAAAGGGTATTGATAGGCTTGCTAAAGTAACTAATTTTAGCTGTCAAATACTTTTGTATTTTGAAGTAAATTAATATAAATTTGTTTTTACTTTTATTTCGAAAAAGTAGCAATAATCGTAAAAGGGTATTGATAGGCTTGCTAAAGTAACTAATTTTAGCTGTCAAATACTTTTGTATTTTGAAGTAAATTAGTATAAATTTGATATTATTTTAACTCCCTTTGAAAACCTCAATTTTCCATACAGAGGGAACGGGAATAGCATCCAATATTCCCTGAGAATGGTTGCGCATTCTCAGTTCCCTCTATATTTCGAACGAAGCTCTCATCGGTCTTTTTTTTAATACTAAACGTTTTTTTTCCTGTCACTTTTAGCTAAAATTTGGGTTTGCCGAAACGAATTTATCCAATCTCGAATAATCTTTCGATAACTTTTATTCTATTAATGAAATACAAATAAATCTGATATTTTAAAGTCGATTATGCATATTTTAGTGTTCGCTCGGAAACGCATTATTCCTGAATATGAGCCGAATGATTCAAAATTTGTATTTAAAATCTCAAGGCAGATGATATTTTATGATTCTTGTCTCAATATTCCAAGCTTTCTCAGTATTATTACCTTTATTTTCATTTTATCAAGTTAATGTAATGGGATAAATCTATGTTGATGAATTAATGTTCAATTTATGGAAAGTTATGCCATAGAAAGTGTTTATTGTGAGCAATTTATCTGATTTTATTATTCGAAATGAATTAATTTATTGATTTTTGCACCATATGAGCGAAGGAGCTCGATATTTCTTCATTTTGTTAAATTTCTGTGACTTAAATAGTACTAAATCCTTTATCATTTTTAATATTGATATCAGCTCCAAGTGAAATAAGGATTTCGGCAACTTCTTTGTTTTTACACTGTGCTGCATAATGAAGAGTTGCATTTCCATTTTGACCTTTAGCATTTATATTTGCACCATGTTTAATTAGTACTTCAATAACATCTTTGCTTTTTTCTTGCTTCGCCGCACAATGAAGAGTGGTTTCTCCTTCTTTGTCTTTTTCATTGGGGTTATATCCCCAATTTACGTCAACTTCATGGCATCAAACAGAGCCCCAGAATTAATATATCTCGATGATTCAGTAGAAGATATGATAGGAGATAAGTCAATGATTAATAGAACTTTAGGTGCTTCACGCTGATAGTTGACACTTTTTATCCTAAATGACTGCTCCTTTTCCTGATTTCGCAAATGAAGTTCGTTATGATGAGCAGTATTTAAAGAACTTCATGGACAATGGTTTTGATAACATGTTCAAAGAAGTGTACGAATTCATCAGCCAATATCAAAAACCAACAAAGAAAGGCATCTTTTCAAAAACTCCACTTAAGCGTGTTCTCACTTTGTTGGAGAGTGTTGAGTTCGTCCTAGAAAGATCAAAAGCCCAGCATTACCATAAAGAAATGATTCCGGACATAACTAACACTTTTATTGCAATCCTTCACCCACTCACACCACCAGAAATCAGAACTATAGCCGTACGTCTTTATGTTATGATTAGAAATATTCTAGAAGATGAAGCAGAGCAATATGTTGAAAAATTCGAAAATTTAGTTTTTGATTTTACACTTCTTCCAGAAGAAACCGTCAACAAATCAAAATTAACAATCAATATCGACCCTGAACTTCGAATTCAAAATACAGATCCGATTATTCGACCAAATAATTCACTTTTAGAGCATGTAGAGTACGTCTTATCACAAGTTTTATTACTCAAAGACAGGACAAGTGCATTCAACTGCTGGTGGAACATAATTCAAAAGAGATTAATCAGTGTTGCTTATAGATCAGTCACTGAGCAGATTAATCCTCAGAATGCATCATACGGAATTAACGGACTTGTTCCATGGGTTCTTCAGAAACTAATTTTAAGTTTTATCACTAAAGTTTTTCAAAATCCAGAATATCTCACTTGTATCCTCGGAACAGCCAATACACCAGCATATTTATACGCTATACTTAACCAATGTGCTACAGATGATATCAATCACACAGAAGCTTTCAATTTTATCATTAATTTTATCAAATTAGTTTGTGACAACATAACAGTCTTAGATTCTCTCAAGAAAGCACATCCCATTATATTCCCACACATTATTTTCTGTTTACAGAAGCTTTTCGAACAAACATTTATTATGAACGATACAAAAGCAGACCAGCGCCTTAACATATGCGTAGATACTCTCAAAAGAACAATTGTAGTGTTTTACAACGCATTTGATGCAGAAGCTCAGTACAAATTGTGTTCACAGTTGGCAAGTTGGCCGGAGATCAAAAATATCAACTGCTGCCTTCATGTCTTATCAATACTACTCTCCTCGAGTGTCAATTTGAAGATACAAGACCCGAATTTCTGGAATTGCATCGTAAACGGCGGCGGATGCCAAAGACACACGTATTTAACTGCTGTTGCTGATTTTGCCTCATTCTACGCGTTCAACATTGTCGACAAGCTCTTAAAGTTCCCAATTCCGAGTATTGCCGACGCAATCGCTGGTATTCATCAAGAAAGCGACTGGACAGGTGAAAACGAGATGTGGCTGGAGAAGTTGCTACCTCTTACAGTCAATCCTATCGATATTTTCTCGTTCTTCCTCTCTAATAGAGACAAATTGACAATTTCTGAGATCGCGAACGATAACTCTATTCAAAAAGTGAAATTACAACCATTGAATATTTCCGAATGGACATTAGAAGAGTGTCTTTCCAATTCCAGAGCATTTATTTCCGCTTTTGACTGGACAAAATTTTCGGACGATATCGACACTCAATTTTCCGTATATTTGGTCGGAGCCTCTTTCATACATCCCTTACTGAAAATGACACAAGTTTTTCCTCCGACACTTGAATACGACAAAAACTTTTTGATCAAGGAATACATGGCATGGCTGGACAAGGCTGCTTCACCTAAAGTAACGAACAAATTAATCGTCGTCCATGCACTCAAAATTTTGGGAGAAATTATGTGCAGAAGTGAAGTGAACCAAATTTTGAATGATTTTCAGTTGTCGAACTTCTATCTGACACTCAAATCACACATAGCCGACGACAACATGAAAGTTAAACAGACTGCATTGGTCTACGCCTGCAGATCTATTTTGGTCGGTTTGAGACATTCAAATATTTTGATAACAACCGTTTGTAATTCAATACAGACATTGTTGATTCCTGTTGAAGGTGGCGTAGCATTGAGTGGGTCTGAGAAGAGCCAGTTCTGTCTAGCTCTTTTCTCAACAATCGATATTTCAAATAAAATCGATTTTGAACCAAAAAGTGACAAAAATAAGGTTAATTGTAAACAAAAACTATCAGAGTTTTGTTTCGGACTGAATCCAAGACTCCGCATTGCCACGTTGATAGAAATCATCACTGAAGAGTGCATAAACAAGAGAAGTGATGTGACAGAAAATTGTATCACTTCACTTTTGAAATCATTCAATCAGCGGACATTAGAAGATGTCTACGCCTTCTTTGGACTGTTGAATTCCTTCCCATATCTCGAGAAGTCCTCTCCTGGTTCAATTACTCGTGTTTTGCAGACTTTCTTGAATGCAATTGAGATTTTTAATGAAGGAGATGAGTTTTTGTACTTTTTGACAGTTATGTTGACAGTTGAAAGTCTCATCGACTCTTCTTTCATCATAGACGTCTCCCAGCACTACAAACATTTCGAAGTTATCGCTGCTAATTGGTCACTTCACATGGAAAATTGTAAATTCACTTCACTTTGCCAACAAAGGTTAGATTATTCACTTCTTTATTTGTCGTATCATTTCCAGAGGTACCACTTCCCAATCGAGAAAGATGTTGTTGGCGGAGAAATGAATGATTCAACTGTTTTCAAGTCAAATGAAATTGACAACATTCTCAGACTCAAAAAAGAGAAAATTGTCACTGATCTTCCTGTTGCAAGAATGACTTGGAACTATAAATCATTAAACCCACAAATGGTGGATATTTCTGTCAAACCGAAAACCGTTTTAGAAAACGTGACAATCCCATCTGCCAGTGACATTTCCGAGCAACAAAAATACACGAAACATTTCACAGATTTCGTTGACGATTTGTTTGACAACAAATTACTAAATTTGGGTCTCAAAACAAAAATTTGTCAACCTTCTGATTTTATGTCACTTTTGGATAAGTCACCTCACCTCACTTCCAATACATTACAACTTGTGAAAGCACAGAACATTCCAACGAATAGTTCTGGTCATGAAAGTGCTTCTTTCATGACATCTCTTGGTTTCTTTGACAAAACGAATGTTTTTCCGTCAATTTCAGCTGAATCTTCCCAGAAAATGAAAGAATTGGACAACAAAAAGTTCATGCACACTATTCCTGCGAGATTTGCGAAATTGGCACCTTCTTTGAAGTCATCTGAGTTATTTGATGATTTCAAAAACGGTTTGGGTGTCAAAACCGAAAATGGAGACATTGTTCATTCATCATGGGCGCATTCTATTATATTTAACGAGGAGAGGTCCATTGGATCTGTTTTGATTGTTTGGGGAGAAGAAATGAATCGAACAGAGATTGTTCAAACGTTTTCTCTCGAAAATCCTTTGAGAATTGAAATTTATCCAACAAAAAGTGGTTTGTTTGATGTGAGAACTTGTTCTATCCACAAAATTGCTGAGGATGTTGTTCAGATAAAGAGGGCTTTCGTAACTAAAAGAGCTCTTCCTCTCTTCGTTGTTTCGCAAATTAATTCTGCAGTTCACGCAATAAATATCAAGGATAATAACAACCACGAATCTTTCTTGTCGAATGGAAACATGATAAGAGAGATGAAGGAAAAGGAATTCCATTCTCACTACATAATGTTGTTGTGCGAAAAGAAGATCCTTCAGGAAGTACAACAATAAATTAAAAATATTTTTTTGTATCTTTATAAATTCATCAATATTTTGGGTTTTCATATAAGTACAAAAAATGCGCAAAAACGATTATTCTAAATTCAATCTGTGCATCATTTGTGCATTTAAAAATAAATCCGTGTAAAATTGTTAAAAATGAAAGAATTGTTTCTTTTATATTTTTTGCATACGCAATTGTTGTTATTATTTATTAATGGATTTGATTTTTAATAATGACCAACTCCAAAATTTTTCAAATACGCAAAAAATGTGCAAATTAAATTTTAAATGATGATTTTTGCGCATTTTTTGCACCCTATGTAAAACCCAATTTTTTTCAACAAGTTTGTAATTAATTGTTTAGGTATAAAAAATAAAACTAAAAGATAAAGATCGATTAGATTGATTACTTTTCCTATTCTAAAACCATTGTTTGTCCAGAAATAACGTTTCTTTAATTAGGTTATGGAGATTAAATAGAAAGTAAATAATCTTTAACGGCATTTTTTGCAACTGATAGTGCATTTTTTCCAAATTTACTCTTTACTTCTTTATTTGCTCCAGATGAGATAAGATATTTAACAACTTCAAAGTGATCTTTTAATGATGCCCAAATGAGTGGAGTTTCTCCAGATTTATTCTTTGCTTCTTTATCAGCTCCAACTGAGATAAGATATTTAACAACTTCAAGATGACCTTCTTTTGATGCCCAAATGAGTGGAGTATTTCCCTCTTTATCTTTTGCTTCTTTTTTAGCTCCAGCTGAGATAAGATATTTAACAACTTCAAGTTGATCATATTCTGATGCAATAATGAGTGGAGTCCATCCTTTATTAGAAGTTGCTTCTTTATTAGCTCCAACTGAGATAAGATATTTAACAGCTTCAAGATGACCTTTTTGTGATGCAAGCATGAGTGGAGTATATCCATCATTATTCTTTGCTTCTTTATTATCTCCAACAGAGATAAGATATTTAACAATTTCAATATAACATTTATCTAATGCAATAATGAGTGGAGTACGTCCAAATTTATCCTTTTCTTTTATATTAGCTCCAACTGAGATAAGATATTTAACAATTTCTAGATGACCATTATTTGTTGCTGTAATTAGTGGAGTGCTCCCATCACTACTCTTTGCTTTTTTATTTGCTCCAACAGAGATAAGGTATTTAACAAGTTCGAGATGACCATTTTGTGATGCACAAATGAGTGGAGTATACCCATCATTAGCTTTTGTTTCTTTATCAACCCCAATAGAGATAAGATATTTAACAACTTCGAGATGACCTCTATCTGATGGAAAAATTATTAGAGCCCATTTGTTACCATTTGGCTTTTAATAGCTCCAATAGAGATTAGAAATTTAACAACTTCAGCATGACCATTTTCTGATGCAAAAATAAGTGGAGTCCTTCCATTAGCAGTTATTTCTTTACTAGCCCCAATATAGATAAGATATTTAACAACTTCAAGATTGCCTCCAATTGATGCATGAAAGAGTGGAGAATTTCGATTACTCTTTGCTTCGTTTTCACAGCCGGCTCTTACGAGGGATTTAACAAGGTTGAGATTTCCTCTTTTACATGCTTCATGAAGTCCATTCCTTTCATATTCCCACTTGTATTTTTTAGGAGCTGTCTTTTTCGAAAGCCCTTCTTCATATGCTTTTGAAAGAAATTTTTGATTTCCTTCAGATGAAAGTTCATCAAGGAAATTGTAAATACTTTCAAAATCATCGGATGCTTTTAGTTCTGAAATTTTTGATAGAATTTCGTTATCACTTTTTGGTTTTTGGATTTCGTTGTCACTTTTTGGTTTTTGGATTTCGTTGTCACTTTTTGGTTTTTGAATTTCATTATCACTTTTTGGTTTTTGTATTTCATTGTCACTTTTTGGTTTTCGGATTTCGTTGTCACTTTTTGGTTTTCGGATTTCGTTTAGCTCTGTTTGGTGTTTTTGGATTTCCTCTGTAGAGTCAAACATTTCTTTATATTTCTGATCTAAAAAGTCGATAGCGCCATTAAGTATTCCGAGTTTCATGTACTTTTTGATTGATTTCAGTATTGAGATGGTATCTTCAAAGCTTTGTATAGAAATATTAGCATCTCGAGTACAAACATATAATTTTTTTGCTCTGATAGTATTATGTGATTGCTTAAGAAGAGTAATGAAGTCATTTGTAGTTAAATTTGAAAAGTTCATGATCTTTTTGATGTCTTCGATTGCAAAAGCATCAAAGAAATTCCCTGCTTTAATATAATCACTGATGTGAGCAGCAATGTATTCATAATTCTAAACAATATCTTGATCCATCAAAGTGAATTATCGTAACTTTACAAATATTAGGCAAAATCGCAACCGAATTTTTAAATCTCGATCGCAAAGAAAAATTTCGATTTTTTATAAAATCGCGAACTTCTGAAAAATTGCGAACAGAAAAAAATCGCGATTGTTTTTGAAATCGCGTTTTATTAGAAGTACGCGATTTTATAAAAAATCGAAATTAGATTAAAATATAGCGTCTAAAACCAAATTGCGAACAAGTTATGTATTGATTAAGAAAAATATATTTAAGATGAAGAATTGCTTGCTATGATGTACTGATTCATGATCAGTACATCATAGCAAGCAATTCTTTACATGAAGTTCGAAAACTTGGGTGCAATCAGATCTGATTGCACCCAAGTTTTCGAACTTTGTATAGGGAATTAAAGGGTGAGAGATATATAGTCTATCTATATATCTCTCACCCTTTAATTCCACCTCTGTAAGCGATAAAATTTTATCAAATATTTTATACTACGAGAAATTATGGCTTTGTTTCAGAGACGTATTGAATTTACCGATTGTGTTAAAATGAGATCGCTTAATCTTTAAATTTATTAAGTTAATCAAATTTTTGATTAAACGCAACGCTGTTTTGTGAAATCAAAACGATAAATATTCAATGCAAACGCACCTGAGCTATGTTCCTTTATTGCAGCCATTAAACATTTGTCTGGCTCACAATTTGAGAGCACTTCACCTAAATAATGCTATAATGAAAATTGAATTAATAAAAATCGTTTCTTCAAATAAACTTCACAAATATATTATCATTATGTGAATTTTTACTTATAAAATTAAATACATATTTAGTTTCTAGTATTTTTTTTCTATTGTCATTCAAAATATAGCTACAAAACGAAGAACCATAATTTTGATAAACACTAAATGATAATATGATTTATAATATAAATAAAATATTTTCAAGTCCAATAAATCAAAATTGATATTTTTAAAAAAACTAATTAAGAATTCAGTGATAATTTTATCAAATATTACAAGACAATATGATTTATAAGCAGAATAAAATGGGGAGAAGCTTCCTAAACTTTTTAATCCCATAAATATGGTCATTATCTGGAATAAAGAGTTAAGCGTCATATGTCACTTTTTGTACTAAGGAAACATCGACTTTATGCGTTATGACTTTTCGATGAGGAAACAAGTGTTCACGTATTATAAACTTCCTTATTCCAATAAACCGACCCTAAACATAATTAATTCTAAGCATGATAATGGTCTCTTTTCTATGATAACCAAATCAATTTGGTTATCATAGTAAAGCACCAAAAACTGGAATAGGAATCGGCAATATGGAATCATGAAGCAACTCGGATAAAATAAATATGGAACATTCATACATCCATTCCCTATTTTTAACCATATTATATTTTCAAACAAAATTCTCGTACTATTTTCAATAAAATTTGCATAACCTTGTTATTACTCTTAGGCGAAAGATGATTTTAATGTTAATTTTATAGAAGAACTTTTAATGCATAATAAAATAACCCTTTCCTATAAATTTAGACTTAAAACGGTGACAATAAACAAGCTTTAGTCTAGAAATTAATTTTCTACTACTATAAATGCATCTTTATCTTTAATTAGAAAAAAATTTATCAATTTTATTATCCAGATGAAAAAAGAAGTGACATATGATATTTTATCTAATTTAAAATCTTTTATTGATTGTTTTTAAAAACTTTGCATTTTGTATGAGTATTTCATGTTTAAATCAGTATAAATACGCAAAATACTTATGAAATTCCAGCTGTTATTCAGTACTATTCATTTTTCAGCAATCATTAACTGTGGAAGAGTATGGCAAACGTTCGATAATGATCATGTATACTCAGATCATCAAGAATGAATTAAAGTCAATGCAGGGAAATGGATAATCCGATTAAAAACCCCAAAAAGGAAAAAGATATTATATGAACGTCTCACAAATGGTTAGTACTAAGCTCTTTCCTGATGATTGAATATTCTTTCATATTTTTGTATATTGTAAGGGATTTTCTCCCCAAATATATAATACCTTCCTTATAAACGATCTACTTTCTTTGAATACAAGTATAATTTTACATTTTAGGAAAAAATTTATTTTTTCAAATTTATCTTATAACAATAGAGATTTATATATATGTGTGTCAATATAGGCTTTAGTGGTATAAAATTGGGTAGATTTTGTTTTATTTTGAGTAAAAAATTCAAAAAATACTACCTCATTTTGCGTGCAAAGGAATAGTCAGAGCTATTTAATAACATTTTACGAATGAACTATGGAATTACTATAACTTTTGAAGAAATTTCAAAGTTAATAGAAGATTGTATTTTAGAAATCAGCTAAAAGAATGATGTGCATACATCAAGCGTTAAAGTATCCTAATCAGAATATAGTAATATACAATGATTAGCAAAGCAGATTTGAATCGGCAAGAAGAGTTGCTTAAAAAATCAGTTGAGTCTTCTCTAGTTTCCACACTGCCTATTCCTGTTTAAGTGCGGTTATTCCTATTCCAGTTTTTGGTGCTTTACTATGATAACCAAATTGATTTGGTTATCATAGAAAAGAGACCATTATCATGCTTAGAATTAATTATGTTTAGGGTCGGTTTATTGGAATAAGGAAGTTTATAATACGTGAACACTTGTTTCCTCATCGAAAAGTCATAACGCATAAAGTCGATGTTTCCTTAGTACAAAAAGTGACATATGACGCTTAACTCTTTATTCCAGATAATGACCATATTTATGGGATTAAAAAGTTTAGGAAGCTTCTCCCCAATATTTATTATTAAATTTGAAAAAACACTTTTTTTATAAAAAAAAATTCGGGCTATTTATCTTATATATATATTATACAATGATTTGACATATATAGTATAATAGAAATATCATAAAAACTAACATCCATTCGAATATAATAAACAGAAATTCATCAAAAGTGACAACTCTCAATTTTTTGACATTTGTAAATTCTAAATTGAATGAGAAAAATGAAATAATACTAAGCATAATACAATATTCTAGATTTAATTATAATTAGGAAAAAGTTAGTTTTGAGAGTACTTTTCATAGGCATATAGAATGAAATCTTCTGAAAAATAATATCACATATACTCATATTATTTTCTAATATATAACTATTTTATATAAAAATCAAATTCAATGATCTTAAAAGCGAAGGATAAACCTCAAAATTTACGAATATAATGAGTGGGAATATAATGCTTATCTATCATAAAACCATATGAAATATCAATTTTTGCTTTACGCCTAATTTTTGACGACAATTAGCAAAAAATGTTAAATGTTAACACTCAGTCCATTTGAATATGAAAAATAAAATTGACTTTGATTAAATGTTTTTATTTATCATGCAATTCTTCTTGCGACCAAAGATTTGAATAAAACTTAAAAAAATAAGATAGCTTAAAAAATAATATACGGTAGTGTTTACTAATAGATGAATAGTATATAAATTCTATTAAAATGGATTTGATCCAAAAAAAATATATAAAATTTGATCATAAATAAAATCGTTTTAAATTACTTCTTCATTTAAATTATAACAATTATTTTTGGTTTTAATGTATTATAGTCCATACAATACTATTGTAATCTCTTTTCTCGAATTTAATTTTTCAATTAGCAATTCGAGAAAAAAAATATTACTTAAAGGACGACTTATCACTCCGAAAAAGACCAAAATTAAGGACGTGATTTTTTTGAAAGTTCGCGATTTTTCAAAAAGTCGCAATTTTTTCCCGAATCGCGATTTTTTAAAAAAATCGAAATTTATCGTTCAAATCGCGATTTATTAATAAATCGCGAAAAAATTCTGTTCGCGATTTTTAAAAAATCGCGATTTAAGCTAAAAATCACAATTTATCATCAAAATCTAGATTTAAAAATTCGGTTGCGATTTTGCCTATTTTAAATGAAAGAATCGTCGTAACAGTTTTTCTAAAAAAATATACTAGTCCATTTTCACTTTGGTGGTTCCAGAAGGCATTAGAAATGGATGAAAATAGGTTGTATGCTCCCTTATTAATAGTAGATGTATCCTACATCAATGAATTATCTGGGAAACGAAGTTTTTCACTCCAAAAAAAATATCATATTAACAACTTCAAGTGGTTTAATTGTGGAGAGAAATTGAAATTTTCTTCATGAATAGTAGTTTAATACTTAATAAGTATATATCCAATCGTTCTACTCTTTCAAAATGCAATGCTTCAGGAAATTGTATAGCTTAAAATTTAATAATTTGCGCCACTTACAGAAATTGTCGTGAAGAACCCAAATATAAAGTTATTCTATTTCCAGAGATAGTTATCGAGTAAAATAAGCACATTTTCCTGTAGTGTTATATGAAATAAACAGCTTTGATTAAGAATTTAAAAGTCTGATGAGTTTAAAAATCTTATTTATTATTTGTTTGCATGAGATATAAAACTTCTTTAGTATTAAAAAAAAGAAAAATTACAAAGTTCTACATAAATAAAAATAAATAAATTACAAAAATAAATTAATTAAAATTAAACACAGTCTTTGATCATTAACAAAGAGCATTCGTCGCTCTTTCTGACCTTTTCACGTAATCTTTGTGGGATATCTCTATCCAAGTAGAAACAATGTAATTCATCTTCATTCGAGTTATCCAATGAATGCAACATCATTCCTAATTCAGGGAAGAAAACATTGAATTTTGCCTTGTTGATTGAAGGAATTCCAATGAAACACATCTTTGCGTATGCAACAGAAGCAGAAATAGAAATTCCATTGCTTGAGCATTCACTGTTTACCTGTTTGATGATTTCCAGGGCCTGTTCCATTGGTTGTGTCATTGATCTCTTTTGAGATTTGAAGTTAAATATCACGAAATTCGTCATGTTGTGTTTCTTTGCGATTGCGCAATCATCACTGGACTTTGAAGCATTAATTATAGATTTGTTGAAGATACTCATCTTGTTGAGTGTCACCTTGAGTTTGTCGTCATCATCATCTTCATTGAAAGTGATGTTTTTAGCTCTGATTGCGAGAACAAGCAAATTTTCGAACTGAACAGTTCTGAACAAATTATCACCAAAGATTTCTCTGAAATCGTGAGGAACTAATCTGTAAATGATGTTCTTGAGTTTGCTCTCTGTCTTCTCGCGCTCTTCCTTCAATTGTTCTGCAACAATATCTCTATGAATAATGATAAAGATGTCGTTGTTGTTTGTTTGAGTGATGGAAACTGCTGCTTTGTATTCTTTTCCATCATCATCTTTCATTATTCTTTCTACTGATTCCATGCATGGCTCATTAGATTCAACAACCTTTCTGAATTCATTAGGGATGTTTCCAAAGAGATCTTCGACATTCTTAGCGTGTACAGCGTTCTTTGAAATGTTCTTTGCTGCATTATTCATCTCGATAATGTCGAAGTTCTTTGTTGTCAGAATTACAGGATCATTTGTGTGTTCTTTCAAACACTGGATGTAATGTGAAGGAATAGATTCACTCTGCTTATCAGAGTTGAAGTCTCCTGCAACAATATCAAGTAATCTTTCATTGGATTGAATGAATTTTTGGTCGAGCATTGACAAAGACATAATTGTGAATCTGAATGTCCTAAGAACTTTTCCTTGGTAATAAACAAAGATACCAATGAAAGTTGCCAAAATAAGGAATCCAACAATAGGTGTAACAATTGCCAAAGCAACTTGTTTCTGGATGACATCATTCATATCAACGAAAGTGTTGCTAATAATTTTATCAAGAATTCCTGTAGATAAGTGGATATCGTTATAATGCAACATATTGTTCAATCTTTCATTATCTCTGTTGAAGATGTTTTTGTTTGTTGCTTTGTCATCGAAGAATCTGATTTCGCTGGCATCGACTTCGATACTGAACACGTATCCGAACTTAATCATGAAATCATGAAGACTTGTTCCTGTAGAGTTTTCGCCTGAGAAGAAAAGATTTCTGGAATTTGATTTCGTCAAAAGATAGCCATAAGAAACATTTGTTTGTGATGAAACACCAAACAACATTTGGTTAATGGAATCTTCGATCTTTCTTGTTGTTTCTGGCCAAATAGTTTTACCAAGATATGATGTATCGGTGTTGAATGAAAGATTTTGATTTACACCGAAAACTCTCTTCATTGTAGCCATTTCATCATAAATGTGGTTTGCAAGCAATGCACTGTTCATCATCTGATATGGAAGAACTCTGAATGAATCAGTGGATTGTGTCAAAACTAAATAATTAACAACATAAATTGCGGCAAAAATTATAATGCAAAAACCTGACAAAATTGAGACCAAAACTGTCTGAATTCCATGAGAATTCTGAATTTGTAAAGCAACTTCAGCTCTGTTGTTTTTATCTTCCAAGGAGTTATTTGTGAGTTCAGAGATGTGCTGGATAATGACTAATGATGGGATCTTGTGCATTGAATTGATGATGTAATCGTATTTCTTTGCTTGTATTCTGAGCATGATTAATGTGATTGGGAAAACCAAAACAGAAATACAAGAGAAAACAATACACATTATCATTGCGAATTGATTGATTTCAGTAGCGAAATCAAGCATGTTCGATGCTACATATTTAGAAAGAAGATCCAAAGCATCATTAACTCTATAATTGTTTTCTAACATGTACATAAACCACTTCTCTCTCTGATAACTTGCAGCGTTTTCAACAAATTTTTGAGAGAAACTAGAAATGTAAGAAGCCTGTACATTCATGGCTGCCAAGAGAGGAATGTAAGGTTTGTTGTTATTGAATATATTTGAAGTATTCAAATATATCATGTTATATTTAATTTGAATGTTTGTAACTAATTCTGTTACATTTCCTATGTAATCTTTAACAGTTGGCTTCAAAGAAAGGAAGTTTGCAATGTTTGTATTCAGTTCCATTATGTCAGAAATGATGAGATTCGATGTTGAATTTAATGTTGCCAATTCTGATTCAGCACCTAAAAGTTTTGTCACTGTTGTTGTATTATAACTCAAACCGAGTTTATCAGCAACAAAAGAAGCCATGTAATAAACAGTTCTTGAACTGTAGAACAACATCGAAGTGAAAGAAGAAAGGAACTCAAGAAGAGTCTTGAAAACTTGGTACTTTTGGAGAATGATGACATTTGTCATTACAACACCTAATCCGAACAACAAAATGAAGGAAATGATGACAAATGCTGTGATGCAGTAATTAATAGGAATTGAAGCTCTTTTACCCATTTCATACAAAGTGTTTTGTTGGGCAAGTTCCGCTTCAAGTTCTTCATTATCGTTCAATGAGTTTGATGAACTTCCTGCAAGAGATGCTGATAAAACAGAAGCACCATCATTCTTGTTGTGGGCATCTTCACGCATTGCATTCTCTGGATCAGGTAAAACCATTGGTAATAACGGGAATAACTTCTTTGCACGGATTTCTATGAGATCGATCTTACGAGTTACGCTTCCTAACGCTGCGTACTGTTCGCCTTTCATCCTGTTGTTGCAGATGTGGTTAATGAACCTGGAATACGACTTGTAAATCAAAGATGCGTTCGGCCATTTAGTCAATGCTGAGTCGTAGACCTTTTCTATCTGGTCCATCTGCTTCTGTGCGGATGCGCCGTATGCGTATGCACCTCCTGGATAGTCGCTTTCGATGGCTTCCCAGTATTTGACGACTGTGCCTTTGAGCATACGAGTTTGGGTCTGGATATTCTTGAGGATGGACTTGCATTGCTTAGTTACCTTTGGAGATCTGTATTCTATGATGTGTTCGATGCCTCTGACAAATAATATGGATTGAATATCGGCAAATCCGAGACGCTTGAACTCGGAGCAAGCGTTCATGAGATCGTAGATACGGCTGTTGTAGATTGCAAGTACTCGGAGATAGAACATCCATACTTTTGAATTGGTATTTTCATTATGAGCGCCTTCGACTAATGGTTTGAAGGTAAGAAGGTAGGGATGGCCCATCTTGAAGGCTTCCATGCAGTATCTTAAGTATTGGCCATTTATTTTTGGAAATACATCTTCGAAAGTTAATTCTTCGTTTTCCATGGCTGTAAAGATTTCGGATACTTTCTTTTGTTGACGCTTAAGGATAATGTTAATCACAAATGTACCAATTGCGATGATGCCAAAGAATATAAGTAAACGGATGACCCAATCAAGGCTGATGAAGATACCGAGTACATCGAGGACAAAACCAGCACAGAAAACTGCGGAAATGAAGGCTGAGTATGTACGTGAATGGTTGATGTTATAAAATATAATGATGAAAATGCCAATAGCCAATAAGATAGCTATTAAAACACGACATATCTTGGCAACAATTGTTCCGATTGTTGCATTTGCCGATCTTGCAAGAATTCTGATGACAATAATGATATTTAACTCAAAGCTCTGGAATGCCGGTGTTAAAGCTGAAGATCTACCAGGAACAAATGGAATGTATGATGCAAGGAACAAGCTATTGAAAATAAACGTAACAACCACCCAAAACAACTGGATGATCGTATATAACCAGATTATGGAATTACGGATATCATCATATAGCAAGCCGACATTATTTCCGATTTGGCTACCACTAGTCAATAAAATGAATGGCATAAGGAATTCGATGCAAATAACGTTGAAAGTTGTCGACCATTTTCGCATATGACTTCGTGTTGCGTATACAATTGAGCAGCCGATGATACTGGAATAAATAATAACATTTAAAATCAAGTTGATGATGAAATTTATTGTTGTCCATTGATCATCCAAAGCTGTGGCGTAAAGGTTTAAGAAAACTTCTAATGGCTTAATACCTGTTCCAGCTTGATGGAAGTTTGTAAAGAGCAAACAAGTTGCAAATGTAACATAAACTTTTGCAAAGGGATATAACCATGTAGGAAGAATGAAATTGTCGAGAATATATGTGTAATAATCATATATGGTTTCACAAGCAATCTGCTTGACGGTTCTCGGGAGGATAGTGCCTCCTTTTTTCATTCTATTATAATGTGTAAATTTTTTTTGAATAGATATCTAATTTTTTTAATATAAGTTCTGAAATATAACGTGTTGATTTTCGGATCTTGATTGATTTCATTAAGGTTAGATAAAACCAACGCAAAGAAAATAATCGATAGATTCAAATATTGAATAAGGTTTCATTTTTTTCAAGAACTAATTCTCGTAAATTATATAAAATCTTATTGGTACAGGATAAAACGATTGATATATCATGGGCGCAAATTTGAATGGTTCCGATGTTGTTATGAAAAAATAAAAAAATGTCCTATAATTCTATATAAATTATGATGTTACTTAGGAGGAACAATTTTAAATTAAAATTCATAACGATTTTTTTCTCAGCATAAAAAAATTTTTGTTATAGACCGAAAATAGATTTTTTCGGTTTTCTCTTCAAATAATTGAAAGAATGATACTATTATAGGTTTATTATATTATATAGCATATAATCATGCTATAGCCGAAAATTATAAGTTTTGAGAAGATTGAATATAACACAAATAAATTTGAATGTAAGTTAAATTGCTTGTTGTTTTTAATATGTATTTAATGAGAAATCCAATATTGCAAAATTCAAATTGAATGATTGAAAGAACAGAAAAAGTCATTCTTTTCAATTTCGAATATGTTTCATTATATTTATAATTATATGGCAAATAAGATATTTAAACTTGATTTTTGAAGGAAAATTCACAAAATTGAATATATTCAAATAATTTTTATTCAAAAATAAACTAGTTATTTGAGTTTAATACTAATTATCTATTCAAACTACAAAGTTTGTAATTTAAAATATTTTGTGAGATCAGATTGAATTAATTCAAGGTTCTTTTCAATTAATATTAATGACCATATTACGCATTTTCGAACATTCTAAACGAAATATATAAAAATGCGAGACGAATGTTAAATTTGCTAGACATAAAGAAGTTGTTTACCGAGTTTTAGCTCTTATCTCTAACAAAAAATTAATTTTTAAAAAAATGACCGAATACGTTTCACAGCGAGAAAAAAATAAAAGGCAAGATAGAATTTTCTAGACATAAAGAAGTTGTTTACCGAGTTTTAGCTCTTATCTCTAACAAAAAATTAATTTTTAAGGGTGCCCTATAGACGATAGACCACCCTCAGAAAAGCACTTTTAAGGCTATTATATTGAGAACTAGAATCTGGATAATCCATTCATTCGAGTTCTAATAAGGTTAATTTTGTGATGTTTACATTATCGTTATAGGGCACCCTTAAAAAAATGACCGAATACGTTTCACAGCGAGAAAAAAAATAAAAGGCAAGATAGAATTTTCTAGACATAAAGAAGTTGTCTACCAAGTGTCAGCTGTTACTTCTTCTCAATACTGATATAAAATAAAAATCTTTATTATTTATTTAACCTTTATTGTTTCATTAAACTTCATTTATTTTATATTATAGTTTTATTCTTTTAGCTACTTGTAAAATAATCTAATTTTATATCATCATTTTACCGGATTATTCTTCAGTACATCGATTGTGTATCTAAAATAATATCATTATCCTTATTCTGTTTTTTCCAAAATTCTTTTAAATATCTTTTTTGGTTAGATTACTTTATACTTTTTACTTTTATTTTTTAATTTCAAAAAAAAATTTGGTGATTGTTCTATTCTGTTACAATGTGCATTATCATATTCTAATGAATTATTCATTACATACATTTAAAAAAACTTGTTAAAAATGAAATTAAAAAATTATGTTTATTATTACGCTGTGAATGTGTCAACAGCGGTCATGCCTGTATCTGTATCCCATATTTGCCACAACCTTTCTGTATCTGCATTTGTATATTTCGGTTTCAGCTAATACATTTGATTTGGCGTGTAATTTGTTCCAGTTAATGGATTAATTGGGAGATCTTCATGCGGTGTGTTATTATTGTACTCCCAAATAAAGGCAGGAATAGCCTGAATGCTTTGGCAGCGCTCCAATGTCGGCCAGAATCTCTCAATCTTCCCATTTTGGTAGGGAGAATGAGAGTCTGTATGCCGCCATTGGACGCCCCAAAGATCAAGTAGATCTTGAAAGGCGCCCCTATTTTCTGAACCGTTGTCGGTCCAGAAACAATAAGGGGCGCCAAATTCAATGAAGGCGGAAGCCGCAACGTTCGCTGTCGTCGCTGCCAGCATATCTGGTATTTTGTATACACGCTAGACTTTGCGGCTAAAATCGTCGATTATGCCATAAATATACTGGCCACGAACACCCCTAAAATAATGAACATCTGCGTGCCAGATAAGATTGGGTGAAAGCGCCTAATATCTTACTGCTGTTTCTGGCCCGGCATGCTCTAATCGCGTCTTGGTGAAATGATTTTCTTTGAAGTATCTGCGTACTTCTCTATAAGATACATCAATTTGTTGTAATTTCAAACGTTTCCATTGTTTTGTTTGACCACAGGGAAAGGCCCAGTGGTCATGTATCACAGCAAGAGCTTTGATTTGGTCGGAGGGATTGACCCTACGACCTTTCTTGCCTTTAGGCAATGGGATATTCTGTAAGCTAAATTGATTTTGTAAAAAAGATTTTGAAACAGCTAAATATTTTAAATCATTTGATTGAAGGGTTGGGCGATGGAACATGGGTGCAAGCTTCTTCCCATGTCATTTACCTTCTTCAATCTGATTGGAATACCAATTAGGTAAATTCGATCGACATACCCTTTGTAAGGATTCATTCTAATGAAGTACGTTAACAATCAAATATTCTATAAGTGTCTAGTATGGAATTCAAAAGAATAAAGAAAATGGTAACGTAAATAAACGTATTATGAAATAATTTATAATTAAAATGAAAAAAAGAAAAAATAATAAGTAAAGTGACTGGAAATGAAAATGAAAATCAGTGTACAGTTTTATTTTTTTCTCGCTGTGAAACGTATTCGGTCATTTTTTTAAAAATTAATTTTTTGTTAGAGATAAGAGCTAAAACTCGGTAAACAACTTCTTTATGTCTAGAAAATTCTATCTTGCCTTTTATTTTTTTCTCGCTGTGAAACGTATTCGGTCATTTTTTTAAAAATTAATTTTTTGTTAGAGATAAGAGCTAAAACTCGGTAAACAACTTCTTTATGTCTAGAAAATTCTATCTTGCCTTTTATTTTTTTCTCGCTGTGAAACGTATTCGGTCATTTTTTTAAAAATTAATTTTTTGTTAGAGATAAGAGCTAAAACTCGGTAAACAACTTCTTTATGTCTAGCAATTTAACATTCGTCTCGCATTTTTTATATTATTTCGTTTAGAATGTTCGAAAATGCGTAATATGGTCATTAATATTAATTGAAAAGAACCTTGAATTAATTCAATCTGATCTCACAAAATATTTTAAATTACAAACTTTGTAGTTTGAATAGATAATTAGTATTAAACTCAAATAACTAGTTTATTTTTGAATAAAAATTATTTGAATATATTCAATTTTGTGAATTTTCCTTCAAAAATCAAGTTTAAATATCTTATTTGCCATATAATTATAAATATAATGAAACATATTCGAAATTGAAAAGAATGACTTTTTCTGTTCTTTCAATCATTCAATTTGAATTTTGCAATATTGGATTTCTCATTAAATACATATTAAAAACAACAAGCAATTTAACTTACATTCAAATTTATTTGTGTTATATTCAATCTTCTCAAAACTTATAATTTTCGGCTATAGCATGATTATATGCTATATAATATAATAAACCTATAATAGTATCATTCTTTCAATTATTTGAAGAGAAAACCGAAAAAATCTATTTTCGGTCTATAACAGCATAAAAAATTTTATCAATGACATTGATTGCTAATACATTATTATTTAACTTTTGATTCAAATCAAAATGGCACACAAAAACATTTACTTTTATTAGCGCTGAATTCAAAGAAATCTGGTAGTTAACAAATTTTTGAATCAAATAAAACTCAAAAGTGAGCACACTATTTTACTTGATCGTTTCTATAATTTTCTATTAAAATTTCAAAAAATAGCAACTGCAAATTTTTTGAATAAAAAAAAATACAGGCGATAAACTAATTAGCTATTCATCCTCTAAGACTCACTTCATACTTATCTAGGTGTATGCTCATTAGAAGCGGAAACTCTTAGGTTAACTCAAGAACTTAGTCATTGAAAAAATCAAAATATCAACAGAACGTAGTTTGGAGAATTGCATTTAGCGTACTATTGTTTACTCATATACGTTGAATTGGAGTAATTATGTCTAGGAATTGAGACAGCTGTATTTGATGGGAAATAATTAAACTTAATACCTTATTAAACTATTATATGGAGTAGGTAAGTAACAATATCGTATATTTTTGTCTATTTCGATACATATTTACTCAATTATTGTGATAATTTTGTAAAGTTATTGGAGTTTACATTAAGATATTCATATATATGCTGTGTAATAGTAAATTCATTGATTGATTGTGTTTGATAAAGATATGACATCAAGCAATAAAGTCATTTTGAGAAAAATTTATCAAAGAATTCAAGAATTTTCCTTAACACTAAAAGAATTTGAGGTTTAAGAATGAATTCTAAAAGAAATTTGGAATATTTGTGATTGAAAAGCAGCATTCTAATTAGAATAAGAAGATAATTCCTTATGAATCTATATGTATATTTATGATTCTGCTGAATGCCCTTTAGAATTCTTATTTAAATACGAGATCAAAGGAATATAATTTTATTTAAAGAAATCATTATAATTTGCTGGGAAATTTGACACATGTCGCCTGCTTGATCCAGTTATTTTAGTTATTCGATCTCAAAATTTTCCAAAAAAAAAATTGAAATTTTAAAAATAAATATAATTTTATATAAAATTATAGATATATTTAGAAATATGAAGATTTTTTGGAAAATTTGAGACTATGAAACTATTATATATTATCATTAAATATTAAATGCATTATGATTATCATAAATTCACAAAAAACTTTAATTTTTATTGCTAAATCAATGAAAATATCCTCATTATTTCATAGTATAATTGATTCATGATCCATCATAGAATTTAAAAGTTTGTTCATATTTGATCTATATTATTTTACAAATCCAAAATCTCTTATTTTTTCGATGTAACGAGTTTTTTCGTCACTTTTGTAAAGATTTTGGGATGTCGAAGGAAAAGCTAGAGACGGCTGATGAAGTTTCCTCGGGCCCCGAATCAGCTGAATCAGTAGAAAAACACATGTATACTCGACCGGCCAATCCGTTCAGGATTCCCGAGGACAAAGAAGAATTTGCACTGCATGATCAAATGCGTGCATCATCAAATAAGGCAAGATCTCGATTGCTTGATGTGAAATCAGTGCGCGAGAACTTCCGTCATTTAACACAAGTTTCAACTCAACCAATTACTGCTGAAGAAAAGGCATTGGATCAGTTAATTCCTCCACCAGACTCATCAAAGAATAGAGAAGGACTTAAAGAATTCATTTCTCAGAAGCGCGAAATCTTTCTTGCTCAATTAGCTATTGATACAAAACAAGAAGAATTACAAAGACTTGAAAAGCTTGAAAAAGAGGAAGAGTCAGCTCTTAAGGCAAAAGCAGCCGAAATCAATCTATTTAAGACACAATTCGCCAATTTTATCGAATCTGATGGTAAAGCTACAATGGACGCTGGAAAAGCTGCCGAAAAGAAGGCAAAAGAAAGACTCGAAGTTTCTATGAAGATCAAGCAAGTATCAGGACAGATATCTACTCTCAGAAACGAAATCGCTCATCAAGACGAAAAACTTACAGAATGTCAGCAATACGAACAATTCTTAGAATCTCTTACACCACCAGAATGGCGAAAAACACATCCTGGTGAAATGTACTTCAAAGATCCCGATCAACTTATTAATATCATCGCATCTCTTGAAGAACAGAACATGTTCTTAATACGACATTGCCAAGAAGCTGAAGAAGCCGTCGAGCGATACAGAACTAAGTTTAATGAGTTACTTGAGAGCAGAGAAGGCGGATTAAAACAAATGGCAACAAATAAAGAAGAAAAAGAGAGAGAATTACAAGTAACTCGCGAAAAGAATGGTCAGTATAAGATTGATAGCGAATTTAAGTACGGAAATGAGCTTGGAGACGAAGAATATAATCAAATTCAACAAGACATTATTAATTTCCATAAAAGTCTTGGATTTGATGTTTCCAGCTCAAATGATATAGCAATGATGCTCAGAAGAATCGAAAATCGCATGGAAGAACTAATTATGAGATTAGAAAAGTTTGAACAGTCAACGGTTAAATCTTTGGCTCTAGAAAAAGAGAGGGAAAGAAGAGATTTGAAGAGAACAAAGGATCAAGAAGAGAAACAGAGAGGACAAGCAGAGAAAGTTAAAAAGGCAATTGAACTGGCCAATAAGCCAATTGAGCGCAAACTCGGAAGACCACTCGTGGAGAGAATCATTCCGAAGAAGGGCCAGAGCAGGCAAGAAGAGGAAGATAAAGCGCGCCAAGAAAAATTGGAAAAAGAAGCAGACGAACAGCTTCTTTTTGGACAGATTTGGGATTGATAATAGATTTTTGTTATTCATGTTTGATAAATTTATTGTTTTTTCTTTCATTTACTGAATTTTTCTTTTCATTACCAACAAATAATAATTTGGATAAATTGGTCACTATTGTCATGTTATTTGATACATAATCGTCTTTATGTTAAAGTATTTTGTTTCATTCAATTGCAAAGAATCGCAAATTTACAGCATTTTCTCTTTCGGTAATACACTGTTTTCACTCGATCAAATTAGCGATATAATATCAAAGCAAATTAAATATCACTCATCCATGTAAAATTCAAAAAACGATTTTTTACAACTCTCAAAAAATGGGCAGCTGCGTGAGCCGCTCCTCAGTGAAGGTGAGCGCAGCGTCCAATGAGGAAGAGGACAAAAATGATAATAGTGAAGGCAGTCTTCTCCCCATGTTTGAGAATAACGATGATGTGGATGAATTTGTTTTTCAAGTAGCTGATAGTAGTTCAGAAGAAGAAAAACCTAAAATGGTCTTTGATGGAATGACTCCAGGACAAATAATTAAGTTTTTGATCTATAATTCAAGTTCACCATTTTTGATTGGCGGAAATCCTCCCGAAGCAAATTCAAAACCCGATGAAAAAGATGATAGTAGTTGTTCTGGATACAGATACGTCAAGCATATTGGTTCTGGTGCTTCATCTGAAGTTATTGAAATGGAAAAGGATAGTGTTCATTATGCAGTTAAGTCATGCACTAAAAACAATAAAAAAGTCAATTTCCTCAACCTTCAAACTCATGAACCTAAAGAGGAAGCAGCAATTCTTAGAAATTTCAACAGTCCTTTTGTTATTAAAATTTACGATATAATCGAGTCAGAAGAAAACGTAATGATCGTCATGGAATTACTTAAAGGCGGATCGATCTTAAAATTGAGAGAAATTCCTCAACTTAAAAAAGCCTTCGGACAATCATTAATTGCCTTAGAATATATTCATTCTCGTTACATAGCACACCACGATATTAAGCCAGACAATATATTACTGGATTCAGATAATAACATACGACTCGTTGATTTTAGTGTCTCCGAATACGTTGAAGACCCGGATGATTTGAAGTCTCATGTACAGAAAGGAACTGCCACATATTCTGCACCAGAAGTTTTTGATTCTCAGCCATATGATTTATTTAAAGCTGATATTTGGTCTATGGACATTACATTTTACCAGGTAATGTATAAAACATTGCCTTTTACTGGTAAAAACGTCTTTGCCTTGCAAAACAATATTGCAACAAAGCCAATTGAATTTCCACCAGATTCAGATCCAGATTTCAATAATTTAGTCTCTAGTATGGTTGAAAAAGAACCTTCGAAGCGAGCAAACTTTATAGATTTATGGAAAAACCCTTGGCTGAAAGGAGTAAGAGAAATTGCAATGGATGTTCCTGTCCGCTCTTCTGTACAGAAAATTTATCAGTCACAGACTGCTATTCGATTCTGCTCTGTCAAAGTATAATTTGTTTGTTAATAAATACCATTTAATTTTAACTAATTTAAGAATTTTAATATTTCAACTATTGCCAATCGTGTGAAGATCTTGAGCTTTATATAACTACTCATTAAAACATAATTAATCAAATGAATAATAAATTTTCCAGAAAATTTATTACGACTTTCTGAAAATAATATGCAACCTAATCATGCAATGCATATATTTAACGGAAATGATCATTATAATGCTTTTTCTTACTTCAATAAAATATTGTTTTTCAAAAATAAATACAATAGAATTTTACTGGACTTTTACAACAGTTCCATGTAATTCGAACTGAATTACACCATAAGCTCGACCTACTATGCTTTCAGTTTGCTGAATTCGGAAAGCTTTGTAATATTGATCACAAAACAAAGTATTAACATGCAATCCAATTGTACTAGGATTCAAATATGTTTTTCTTGCTTCATCTAAAAGAACCCAATTATCATCTTCGGTTAAACCATAAATTACAAAAGAAAATATTGGTTGATTTGATGACTCATTATATCTCATTGCGTAAGCAGTAGGATTTATTAGAAAATTATGAAAACTGATTTCAATCGGGTTTAATATTTCTGTAGTGACTTCTGAATTGTCGCCATAAAGAATGTCAAGAGAAGCTTTATCACCTGATGGCTTTTTTGAAATAGCTTTGACAATTTGTTGGATATTTATTTTTTTATTTTCGTCATTTTTGATTTGATTCATAAGACCTGTAAATATTCCGTTGAAATAATCACCTTTATATTGCAAATCTATATTCTGAAGCCTCGCATCATTCCTTTGCAGTCCAAAATATACTCCTTGATCTGTCATCAATAAAAAATGAAAAAATATGCCACCAATTATCAAAAATTAAGATAAATGCTACAATTATTAAACAATTTATTGAGATTTATATGGAAAAACAAAAAAATTACAATCGTATAAATGAAAAAACAAGAAAAACAATAAGAATAACGAACGCTACATCTGTAAGAGGATTAAATCTAATAACATGAGAATTCTCAGCATTGTCTGAATTCGTATTTTGCTCATTAACTACTTTAACAACAATATTATTGTTGAACAAATCTGATGCACCAATTTGTGTCTCAGTCTCGGCTTTAATATCAGATGGTATATCAGTAATAACAGTTGTTAAAATTTCAAAAGGAGTACGTTTTTCTTGGACATTTCCATTGGAATTAGCTTCTGAATCAGGAATTATGTTTTCTTGGCTAGTATTTTCTAGACTTTCTGGGGATGAAACTTGATTATTTATTTCATCTTGGTTTTTAACGTTATCTTCTGGTTTTTCTTGAGCTAATTCATTCTGTGATGGATTTTCTTGAACTGGCTCTTCTTCAATTGGAGTTTCTTGGGAAATATTATTTTCATTTTCGTTATTTGGTTGTTCTTGGTTGTCATTTTCATCATGATGAAGTTCCTCTTCTTCAGGATGTTCATGGTCGTGGCAATGATCTTCATTTTCTTCTGGCTCTTTTGGTTCTTCAGTTTTCTCTTCAGGAAGAGGATCTGGGTCGATATGGAGACTGCATTTAGTACATTTCCATTCTCTACTGGCTTTTGCTAGCTTTCTTACTGAAACAGGATCAGTATAAATTCCTCCAATTGCGCCTTCTGGATTTGTAGGGAAAAATGCGATCAATGCTGTAAGAGCAGTTCTAATGTCCCATCCAGGATTCCATTGTTCTGGATGATATGAAGTAAATGATAAACATAATCTTGTATCTGTTGCAAATCTTCCATTTGGAGTTAAGAAAGTTATATCAGGCGGCGCTAAAGGATAATTTAATGGAAATGTTAATGTGCCATGATAAATACCGCCTTCAAATGGAGTGTCTTTTGGACCTTTTACTGTGAAATGCCATAAGAAAATATCATCATCACTAATTGGACCTGCAACGAATAATCCGTCGTTATCTTTTTGTATTTTTTTAAGCTCTGACATCAGTCTTTTGGCTCCAGTCATTTTCCAAAATTTATTGTCACTTTTTTACCTAAAATATCGAAAAGAATCTCAAATTCTGCCTTAAATAGTGGTTAGATTCACTATGCATTCATATACAGGCAGATTTGTTGAGTGATACATCAAATTACAATGGAATTCGAATAGTGATTCTCTTTATCTTAAGAAATGTATCTTCTTTAATTCTGATTAGTTATAATTCATCCGCTCACTTAAGTCAACATTCATGAGAGATATAAGTTTAAATACAATGAACGCTTTTAATTACAATAATATAATAAACAATTTTTTATTTGTGACGTAAGTTAGCAACACTATCGGTAATAAAACCATGGGGATCTATATCAGCAGGTGGATGAGATATGCAATGCATAAATCTCTGTGAAGCTCTTTGCATTTTACCCATCCATTCTTCTTCCTGAGAAGATGGAAAATTCTGAACTTTCTTATTAAACCAAAGCTTTGCTTCAGCAGACATATGAGTGTAGAGTGCATCTTCTCCGTTATATTTTCTTGCATTATCCCAGATGAGATTTACATCAGATTTCCATGCTTCTATTGTGTCATACTTTCCATTCTTCAAGTTTGAGAGTACTTTTTGCAAAGCCATTGGTTCTTTAATAATTTGCAAATAATTTGGTGCTCCATCTCTTTCAGGATCCACCATCTCGACAAATGGTTGACATAATGGCCAAGCAATAAGTTTTTCTGTTAATGATTTGCATTTTTCGAGTTGATATTTTGTTAATGGCATTTTCGAGAAATTGACATGTGACATGAAATAGAAAATCACTTCATTGAAACTGATTGATTTTAGCTAATAATTATATGCATTGTAGTTGCACATTCATATTTTTAAAGTCAAAATGGACTTATATTCTTCCTAGACTCATTTTTTTGCTTCATAAATCTTCGATATTCAAATTTGACGGTTTGGTCCAATCAAACATCTATTTCCCTTCCTACCCAGTTGTCATTGGTATGCCAGCTAAGCCTGGAAGGGGTAAAATTACAGGTTGTGTTGGTGTGCAGATGCTTCCGTTATACCTTCAAAGGCCTGTCACAATTCCAAAAAATTTTTAGAGTTTTTTTCCTATTCACATCTAAATTACACTGAGGAATCTATTTTGAGCTTGCACAGTTCTTTTAATATTTAATTTAATATTTGCAAGTGAATAATTTCATTTTTTTTATGAATCAAACAAAATTACCTTTTATTCTACTGTAAATATATGACATATATAAGTGTAATAAAACAACGAAGCTGATGCTTCATATTTTTCCTCTTGAGCATCAGATTCTGCGTAACTATCAATATCATAACCAGAACAAGTTTCTTTGAACTCAAAGAGCTTATTCATATTATAAAAGTATTTGCCAATAGCTGCTAGACCATCATAGATCTCATCTTTCTCTATTCTTTCGCTCATTTGAAGCAAAAATCCAAAACATCTGGCGTAATTTTTTGGATCAGGATTTTCATCGCTGTCGTTTTCGTTGTAAGTCATGAATGAGTCTACGAACAAAGATGGGTTCAACTGTGCAACAACAGCTAAGAATTGGCCAGCTGCATTTCGTATTTTCATTGTTCCATTGAAGATCCTTGATGTTGTAATTGATAAAACATCATCAATCGAAAATGGACACTTCCAATCTTCGTTTTTGAGAACAAAAGCGAGTAATTCGAAGGCTCCACTCTCTGAGTTTGAATCATCTGTATCTAATGACTTGTAAATCGCTTGATAACCTCCATTTTCAAGGAGATTATTTAATACTTCTCTGGAAAGTCCGAATTGCATAAGAAGGAATAATAAAGAATTAATATCTGAATCGTCAAATGCCCAAAAATTATTGAATTGAAGAATTGCTTCAGAATAATCTTCAATTTTTCTTTCTTCTTCAAAATGTTCAATTGTTTTGCCGACAATTTTGATAACATAGAAACCAGAATCACGAATATATGGAGAATTTATAAAGATATTAACTCCTGCAAAAATAATATCGATACTTTCTGGATCAAACTTAAATTTCTGGTATTTGCAAATAAATCTGGCTACACTTCGATCTAAATTAGGAGACAAGCCAACAAAATTATAGAAAGGTTGTAAATTTAATTTATCTGGTAATTGTGAGATTCTTTTGATAAGTATTTCGAATATATTTTGATATATTTCTAATACTATACCATTTCTTGCTAACTGCTGATTATCTAAGAGAGAAAATAAGTATGAAAGCAATTCATCTGTAAGATCATGGTTTGTCATTCCTATTATAGCTTTTAATATGCAAGTCAAATCATTTATTATTGAGATATCGGTTGCATGAAATAAAAGGATCAATAATCTTTCATAAAGTTGAATTTGCTTAATTGATGGATGTGCTTGATTAAAAGATGTGATTTCCACTAGATATTTTAATGCATTTCTTATTGAGGTTTCATTTTCTGATTGAAGATTTTGAAATTGGTTTGGAAAATCTAAAATTAAAGTTCTAAACTGAATGTCCTCCTCTTTAGAAAGACCACGCGTAATGTAAGAATTCGAGTTTTGTAGTTTATAAGGGTTTTCTTGGTCTTTTCCCTTATGGTCAGATAAAGAAGGAATCATTTCAAGAGAAATGAATTGCCAAACATATGTTGCCCCCAATTGCTATCGAACACGAACCATATGAATAAATGAGGTTTATACATTATAATTCCAATTAAATAAAAAATTTAATTTTATCATCCACAATCTTAACTATATTGGTTAACATATGATAAATACATTAGATGATGAAATATACAATAAAGATTAAAAGTCTAATATTTACAAACAATTTATAATTAAAAATTAAAGCTATTGTTTCTTTCTTTTCTGAACATCCACGTTGAATTTGCAATCATATACTTCTACTTGGCATGACTTGTAGAGCACAATGATTTCTTTTGATTTGAACTCAGTGAAATAACTGTCTGTGATATCCAGAGCACAAGAATCGGATTCAACCAATACGGAACAATTCTGGTTATTAATGAAGGAACATTCTTCGATTTCACCATGAAATCTCATTAAAAATAAATTAATTCCTGCGGAATTATCAAGAGCGGAATTATTAATAATACTACATCCATAAAATGATTTAAAGCCAGGACTACTACTAAATTCAAAGACTGCACCATACTTTGTAGCAGTGTTTCCACCAAAAATACAATTTTTAATCTTTCCAGAATTGTGTTGAAGGCGGATACCACCAATCCAAGTATTTGCATTGCAGTTAGTAAAATTCGAATTCTCACAGAAAACTAGGCTTAACATGTTTTTACCGTCGAAAAAGCATGCTCCAATACGATTGGCATGGCAATTATCTATGGAGTTATATGTAAAATTGATATAGTCGGAATCTGTTATTTCAGCTGCGCCTGTTGCTTTTGCGATACAAGATTTGAAAATGGATTTTCGAATGGTCGCATTACAAGTCATAACATACAATCCTCCTCCAGAGCGTTGGAGATCAATACACTTTAAGAATGTGCATTGTTCTATTGTAACAAGATTTTGTTGTTTTAAAAAAATTCTTGAGCTATATGTTGTCTTACTAAACGATTTTTCTGAATCAATTCGAACAGGCGTGGTAAGAAAGTTTTTCATCGTAGTTTGGTATAATTTTATAATTGAGTTTTGGAATGATTGGAGTAACGGGCCAAACGAGTGAGAAAAATATGATTTACTGAGTTGAAATTTCATATTGTCTGCTTGAATTTGAGGAGATGTATGATAAATTGAAGCAATTGCTAAATTAATCAGAGAAACATTCTTCATTTATGAAAAATTAATAAGCCAAATCATATTCAGTGGTATAATGTGTTAATATTTCCTTATAGACTAGTCTTGAAAACATACATTTTCTATTATGAATTTTTTTATTATATGATGGTATCAATTCATTTATAAAGAAAACATGTTTTAATTAAATGATAAGTTTATTCACAATCATATCTACCAAGAAAACCTTGAATATTATAATATGGTCCTTCTTCAGCATTTGGATCACCAACTTCATATAATTTCTCAGGTTCTAAGAGCATTTCATTTAATTTATCAATTACAACTTCATCTACAAATTGTTGAATTAAATCAGATAATTCTTCATCTTCAAACATTTCCTGCATATAGTTAAGGTGGTATAAGAAAGACATCAAATCATCGAATAGAGAATATTGAATTTCTTCGAAATAGTCTGAAAGATAATTCAAGAAATTCATTTCAACTAAATTTCGAAATTGTTGATTTTGTGATGTCGCTCCAATGACCAACAAGAACTTTATCATTGATTTCTTGACTGTAAAACTATATTTCCCATCCAAAGAGTCGATTAAATACTTAGTTATACCTAATGATTCGCATTCTTCCGCAAAATTGGACAAATTTGATAAATTAGACAATGATTCAAGTACTGATTGAAATATATCTTCATTATCAACATATTTCTCTAATAAACTGTAAAAATAATCAAAAAGGAACAAATGATGATTTTTCAGAACTTCCTTTAAATTAACAACCTTAGATCTAACGCATGTAGTGTCTGTACCTGAGATCAACTCATTGTACTTCTTATCTGAGTCATCGAATGTATAATCTAATAATAATTCTAATTCAGGAATTATCATTGCAGGATCTTCTTTCTCAAGCATTTCCTGAAGCGATGGATTAAGTAGGAAGTTAAGCGCACAATTTTGGTCATACATGAAATTTGTAAGAGCTTTAAATGTATATTTTACTAAATGTGGATTAGCAAATGTAAAATCACGTAATTTATTATATAAAGATAACATATTATCGAAAGCAGTACCTTTGTAATCGGTCATTGCTTCAATAAAACATAAAACATCGACAATTATACTTTCATATGTTGGAGGAGAGTCGAAAAATTGATTTAAAGCTTGTACAACGTTCCATTGGATTAGACAATTAGCAATATATTCGCTGTGTATGACAAAAAATTGAAAAATAAATGGTGTACCAAAGTTTGGAAAAGCAGTAAATAGCTCACTAGCTATTGGTGTTTGAATAAATTGATCTGCTACCTTATCTGTTATAATAAGACGAAAAATTTGATAAAATAATGTTCGATATTCAGGAACTCGATCTGCATTCATAATAACAAATTGTAAAAATGGAAACATTTCTTGGAATCCATACGTGTATTTATATTTTGAATAAAAATCTAAGATTACTTGTAAATTGTCTGGTTGAGATTCGATGTTTTGAAGCATTTCGATGACTTGGCTTTCATGAAGATCATCATTTTCATCCTGACATTCCATATCTTGATCTTTTTTTCCAATACTGATTTGGTCAGGTGTATCATCATCTTTTCGTGGAATCATTTATAAAAATGGTAAATGTAAAACCATCATGAGGTGATAACATAAACATTTGCTATGAATTTATGATTAAAATCCTGAGAAACAGTAAAATAATATATCTAATTTTATTAAAAACAACACAAAATATATAGAATCTTTATTGATTAGTGGGATATCGGGAAACTTATCGGTCTGAGAATAAAAACAACAAATATAAGTAATAATTTTTGTAACATCTTGTAAAATCATTTCATGAACTTGTATTTCTAAAATATCATATTAATGACAATGAAAGTTCCATAAAGGAATGATTAAATAAATGAATATTCTATCAGGCAAATAATGAAGTTAAACTTCGACAAGATCAGGGCTATTCAAAAACTTCATAGCAACTGAATAAAATTCTTGGGGAGAATATGATTCATCTGATTTTCCAACGAAATATTGAAGCTTTAAAAATCGATCTAAATCGATTTCCGGAGATAAATCACTATCTGATACACCAATAAAAGCCATCAACCTTTTAATTCTTTCTTCCTCTTCACTAATTGGCTTTGGTTGAGGAGGATTTGGTGGTTTAACTTCTATGACTGTATTTTCTTTCTTGGTTTCTGTAATTTTTTGAGCTGCTTTTCGTTTTTTCTGTTCATCTTGCAATTCGACTAATTTATTAATTTCATCTTGCAAATCTTTTTGTTTTGACATCATTTCTTTAATTGAATCGAGTTCAGATTTGAAAGTTTCAATTGATACTGATTTTGCTAGCAATTTATTGTGATTTTTCAAATTATATTCTATTGCATCGAGAAGTTTATCAAGAGAATCAAGTTTACCATCAATCTTTGATGACACATTTCTGAAATCTTCAAGGATATCATGGCTAGCATCTTTTGCGATTCTAATGGCAACTCCAAATTTATCGTATTTTGACATTATCTAAAAATGAATGCTTTTATTCACAAATGATATTAAACATGCTATGAAAAAGATATTATGTTCCTTAAAATTAAACTATTCCTATTTAATTACTCAATATTCAAAAAATTTAGCACAAAAAGTTAAAAATAGTAGAGATTTAATAAACAATACATTTAAACATATTAATTTGCATCCTTATGCGCATTAGCTATTGATCTTAAAAATTCAGGATTTGTTTGAGTGTTTTCATTCCTCCATAAGCTAAGTTCATTCGAGAATTTAGCAAATGTAATAAATTGTTGATTGTGCTCAACATTTCCTTCAATAGCTGCAATAATTGGTGCTGAAATATGTTCTGGTGTTTCGCGCAATATTTGGCAAATATTTATCATGATATTTTGCTTTTCTTCAGGGAATGTCTCACATATACTTGATAAAATCCTAAATGTAAGAAGTAAAATTTTCGGATTTAATGAATTTCCGAAAATTTGGTAAATTGTATCAATAAACTGGGATGTTATCTCTTTCTTATATCTGATAAGCATCTGGATGACTAAAAGAGCATTATAAGCTATCAAATTGTTTGGTAACATCGATAATTCCTTTAATTGGTCGATTGAGAGGACACTAAGAGCTTTTTCAATCATTGAATCAGCATCCTTCTCGTAACTTAAGCTTAAAATCAAATTAAATGCGTTATTATAAGTTATTTCCTTATCTTCGCCTTCTACAGAAGAAATATACTGTACAAGTTCATCGCATGGCAATAATTGTGGGAAACCTATGAAACAATTAACATGAAATGGATGGGGATTATGAGTTAGAACAAAAATTAAGTATTCTCTATAGTTTTCTATTGGAATGTATCTTCCTATTGCACGGAATAATATTGCAATAGAACTTTGTGTAAAATTATTTGGAATTTGAACGTATCCGGAAATATTCGTAAAAATTGCTTCCGAAATATAAGACATAATGTCAATATTTGATACTTCTGTCTCATAAATTGCATTTGTTATTTCATTCAAGAATTCATTGAACGATTCTTGCTTATTTGCAATTTGATACTCAATCATTTCAGAAACATAATTAGAAACAGCATCTGTGATATCATCTTGATATTGAGGATACCAAAATGCTATAGCTATTAATGTTTTTACAACATAAATTGAATGAATATCTTTTATGTTGTTTAAACCAGTTGCCAGCCATGAAATCATATTAGAATTAATATAACTCCTTGAAGCAGGAACTCGTTCCATGATTTCACAAATTTTTTGGGCAGAATCATAAATTAATTCAATTGGAACGCTTGTAAGGATATTTATGAATTCTCTGATATGTGATTTATATTTAATACCATATGATGCAATAAACAATATTGAATTCAAGTCATAAAATGGATTTTCAATTAAATATTGAACCATTGGGTTAATTATTCGTTGAGGAATCATTTTAAACTTGGTAACAAGCATAAAATGGCCTGGCTGAAGGTTTGATGTCAATCTTTGTTCAAAATAAGTTACAATTCTGGATTGTAAATATCCTTCAACGAAATCGAATTCGCAGTCGCCAAATTGAACGCCATTGTTTGCGAAAAGAACAACGATATCCAAAATCAATATGTAAAAGTTAAATTTTTTGTCAGATTCGATTGGAACAGCACAAGAAAAAATAAACAGTTTTATGAGTTCCCTGAACATTTCGTTACCGAATAATTCATTTTCAACAAGAGTATTAAGTGTTCGGACGATAAATTCGAGTTCTTCAGAAAAATCAGGTGAAAATATGTAAATTGCGTCAAATTCTACGGCCATAGTAATCATAGCTAAAGCGTCATCGATATTCTCTTGTTGGAGATAAATATTGGCAACTTGAAAGGCAGAATGAAGGATTGTTTTGAAAAAGCTTTCATTTGTTTCATCAACGCGTGTATTGGAGATGCTGCATATTGAATCAATGATTGGTACTAAATAATCGATGGTTTCTGGGTTCGTTGACAACGAATATAATTCTGTCTCGAATGGAATGTAAATTGAGACGTTAACAGCTAGTCGGATTGAGTTATTAATTAAATCATATCTTTGCTTACCTTCGTAATTATCAAAATTATCAAAAATGACCTGTAATAATTGTGCTAAAATTTCATCAATTGTTTCTTGATTTCTAAAGCGTTTTAAGAGATTTTTACTTGAGTCGAATACAATGTTCGTAAGGAAATCGTACCTTAATTCTTTATCGTCGATGGAATCAAAATAATTTTGAGCAATATTGGGATTAAGTAGTACAATATCTGATAAACAGCAATTTAATTGCAAATATGAGTTGACTTTTTGTTTAACAAATTCAGTTAATGAATTGAATAAAGATTCTTGAACATCTGCAGATAATTCATCCCAATGGTTTTGTAAAAACAACTTAAATATAATAGAAAACATCAAATGTACCATCTGCGAGTCCGTTCTTGTGTAAATTTCCCTACAAAAATCTAAAACATTATGAACCTTGATGAAATTAAGGAAATACTTCTCGAAATCTGGTATAACTCCTGTTTTTAATGATGAAAATATATTGACATTTTCAATAAATTCATTAATTGCATCCATTTTTTTACACGAAGTTTTGAGGTCAATTGAAAAAATTGTCACTCAATTTCTATCGGCGATTCATATTAGAGCTGATATTATGTCTTAACTATTGTTGAAAACATCATTCTCATTTACAATCACATAGCAAAAATCTTAATTTAAGGTAGTATCATAACAATGTTTATATTTCAACCACAACAATTAAATATGCATCATGAGATACGTAAATACACAAAATACGAGTTATTCCGTTGTTGCATTTTGGAAATACAATATTTCGATTTTTAACATGGGGTTTTGGCAGGTGCAATATTATTCTTATCTAAGTACAGTGAGAATGCTACAATATGATTAAAATTAACGAAGCTAATCTTAAATTGAATAATGTTGTTGAAAAACTGAAAATGCAACTAATTGTATTATACAAGATAGTTGCCAATTGGAGTAATAAATTAGGCTGCATCAATCATTTCTTACATTACCAGCATGTCGAGCAGAAATGAAGCTAACAATAACCCTAGTAAAACAAAAGAAAAAGTGTCATTTGCAATGGTTTGGAAAAAGAATTCATAAATAAAACATTGAACATTTTATATAAAAATAAATCAAATAAATATTATACACCACCAGCTCTTGAGATCACTTGTCTCATTTCCTGTGAAACAGCTAGTGTCAAAGGTGTTGACACATGAGGAGAAGCCGGGTTTACATTACAACCGTATTTAATAAGTAATTTCACAATTTCGACCAAATCATTTTTGACAGCGATATGAATTGGAGCTCTTCCCAAATCATCCTTTTCGTCGATCAAACATCTTCTCTTTATCAAAGCCTCAGCGATAGACGCGTTCTGGCTTAACAAAGCAACATGCAAAGGTGTCATGTTATGGTTATCTTTTGCGTTTATGTCGCAATATTGTTTGATCAAAGTATTTGCGAGATTTTGGTATCCGCAAATTGCTGCCAAATGAAGAGGAGTTCTTCCATCACTGTCTTTTTCATTCTTCGTCATCTGGCCGCCATTCAACTTATCAATTGCATCCTGTTCCGATATTTCCACAGACAAAGGTGGAAATCCTCCTTCTGGATAATGAGGACCATTATGAGAATTATTATGATTTTGTGGATTATTGTGGTTTTGTGGATTATTATGGTTTTGTTGTTGTTGTGGATTCTGTTGGTTCTGGTTTTGGTTGTTTGCGGGAGCTTGTTTCTTCGGTTGCCTTTGTGGTTGCCGCGGTGTTTGTTGAACAGGTCTTGGTGTTTCTGTCAATCCTTTCTTTCTCAAAAATTCAACAATTTCTGGCACTTTTTGTTTAATTGCGCAATCCAAAGGATTATCGTTATCAAAGATTGTTGTCATGTAAGCGCCGCATTCAATTAATGTCTTGACAAGTTCGAACTTCTTCCTTCGAATTGCTGAAAAAAGAGGAGGAATTGATTTTCCAGAACCGCTCAAATTCGCTGAAGCTCCGAAAAGAACTAAAGTCTTGATAACTGTTGGATCTGGTTCAGGATCATCGAGAGCGATCTGAACAAATGATTTCTGGGCTGTCGGAGAGTCTTCTGGCTTCAATCCGTGCGTTGCAAGGATTCTTATCATTGAAACATTTTGTGTTCGAATACAACTTCTGAAAATATCGATCTTTTTGTCTTCTGGAATTGCTGATACATTGTATCCGTTATCTAGAAGAAGTCTGGCGGCTTCATCTCGACGTTTTTGAACACAAATTTCAATTAAAGTTGAATCACGGAGTTTTCCATCGAAAGAAGAGCCATTCTTGATAAGAAGCTTCATTATGTCGAGATCTGAGACTGCTGTGGCTTTAACAAGCGCCGTTTCCTTAGTTTTTAGTTTTTCTGGATCAATTGGCTGATTTTCACCTGGTGGAGGTGGTTTCATAACGGTGAGGTTCACATCAGCACCTTGGGATATCAGATACTCACATGTGGAGTAGTGTCCTCTGTATGCAGCTTCAATTAAAGCTGTTCCATGGTTTTCGAACACGTGATTGATGTCAGCACCATTCTGAACGCAAAACATGATCTGTCTGATGCTTCCGCTTGAAGCACAATCGATTAATGGCATTGGATATAAACCATAATCTGCAATTATGCGGTCAAATAGCTTATGATGACGGAAATTAAGTGCTGGGAACATTCCACGACGAAAATCAGCTCCACGTTCCCGTAAAAGTTCGTAAATTTCGATACTTCCGCCACATGATGCTTTTGCAACAGCATTTTTGTCTACTTCTGCTCCATTTTCGAGTAATACTTTAACACATTGAACACTGCCGTAGTATGCTGCAAAAGCTAATGGAGAAATGCCTCGATCTATTGCATATTTGTCAACTTTCTCGGTAAATTCAGAAAACATCGAGTCTTGGATATTCTCTTTAATAAAATCTGGATCTTTTTGAATCGTTTCGATAATTTGATCAACTTTGTCATATTTTAAGAAATAACTTGGAGTATTTTTAACATATCCGTATCCAATCAACTGAGAAAACAGTTCCCAGTCATTTGCTTTGAGGTTATCCCATTGCTTAAATACTTTTCCGAGATGTTGTTTTATAACTTTTTGTGAAGGAAGAATTTTTTCATCAGGTAAGAAGAAACCAACTTGCTGAGGAATTCTAGTAAGTTTTTCTTGCATTTCTTGCTCTGAAAAGATAGCTTTTTTGTATAATGAACGTAATAAACGTCCATGAGATTTAAGGAATAAATGATCTTTGAAATCAGGTATCTTAATTACCAGTTGCTGAGCCAGTTGCGAATATAGCTGCAATTTTTTGATTCTTATTTTTGCGTAAATATTCAGCTCTGAAGCGACCGTATTTAATTGCTCGTCAGATTTGAAATTGATACTGATCCAATCAGCAAGATCTTTGACTTGCTCTTCGACAAAAGTATCAAGTTTATCCTGAAGTTCAACAATGTTTTGAAATTCTGGAGCAATTTCTACTTCGTCAAGCGATTTAACCTTAAGAGGGATTTGTATCTCTGTTGGGGATGGTTCGTGTGGAATTTCCTCTTCTGTTTGCTCCATTTTTAATTTTTTTATTATCCCCCCCAAAAAAAATACTTATTGGGCAATCTAATTTTATCTTTTATTATGCACTCGTTCTAAGGGTTTCGTTTTGCGAAAAAAACGTACAATACGCAATTTCGCTAAAAAACATTTAGCTAGCAATTTCGACCTTTGACTCCACTCAAGACGTCACTTTTTTAATTTTGCGGTATCATATTTTTGGAAAATCTTTATGAATATTATATAAAAAGTCTCTTTAATATCTATATTTCATATTTTTATCGATTTTTAAAGTTTTTGCGAAAAGTATTCAATTATTTTTGCTATTTGGTCGGGTAAATGTCAGATTTGCGACATTTTCTGATATGATATTCAGATTCTACGTTGATAATAATGCTTATAGAACCCTCTTGCTATTGTGTCAAAATTGCGAAACCGATAGCAAAAATATCTCGCAATATCAAAATTGAGATATTGAGTGAATTATGCATTATAGAGATTAAAAATCTGATTTGTGAAAACATCTCATCAGTTTCTAGCTAATTCAAAAATCTTTACTATCTTATTCGATTAAAATGAAAAGGGAATAGTTTCATTATGCTTTAAATGACAGCCTTATAATATAATCATAGTTTTCGCTCAATATGCAGCATTTTTTTTTCGAAATCTATGGTCAATATCCTAAATACTGATTGCTTTGCATTCATATCTCTTACATTTTCTATACCCACATCACTATTCATTGCTATTCCTATCTTTTTCATTTTTGTTTGTTTCTCATAATTTCTCAAAAAACATGATAACTTGATATTTGTAAATATCATACTTTATAACGTAAATAAGAACTTGACCTATTAAGAAAAGCAGTAATGAAAAGAAAATCTGAAATTCATAAAAATTACAAGTTTCTGATGACAATTAGCTTAATTAAACCAGGTACAAGATTATATAATTGTATTTTCTATCCAATTATCCATATAATATCTTATCCAGAAAAAATAACTTGATCAATACCAAATGATTTTTTAACTAGTAAATAAAGTATTTTCTTTACACACACATTGTATATCATAGTTTTTTTTTGGTTTCGCAAAACATCCAAAAACAAATATGCTATAAAAGTGACAATTTTAGCAAAACGAAACCCTTACTCGTTCTTTCCAATAATATGTAAAAAGGATTTTATTTCTTGGAATCAACATGACTGGTATGGCTTCTTGATGAGACTTTCATGTTATATTATTTTACTATTGAAAAGAAGACACTATCATGAAGTGAGGAACAAATTTTCAAAAATATACGATATTAGTATAACGTTTATGGAAAATAAGCCTTATTTACCCGGCCAATCTTCCCCTCAATTTGGTCTTTCAAAATTGGCAGATGCCAGTCACTTTTTACTATGGTAATGATACATAATCATTAATATAGATTCAGGATAGTATGTTATATCATATTTAATCATTATTAAGCAACTTCTATGATATTTTTTTTCCATTCATATAAAAAGTTTTATGAAGTTAATATTAAATAAACTATTTATTTTCCCTTTTCTTTACAATTTTTATACAAAAATTAGTAATAAAACAATTATATTTATAATATGATGAAACTAGTTTATTTTCATTGGTATCAGCTCGAGATCATCTGACTTGGAGGTACTGAATATTAGTTTCTTATTGTAAAGCCATATCTGCGTTGTGATTTGAATTTTTTGCTTATAATTCAAAAGAAATGCAATCTGAGTGAATTTTATCGGCTATTTAAAACCCTTGTAAGAATTAGCATTCGACTCTTTCTGTGAGCAAGCACTGAGAAGCTGACTGTGAAGCCCGTGTCCTACCTAAAAAATGAAAACGATAGGGGTAAAAAGGGAAAAATGTGAAAGAAAATAAAACCCTCAAAAATATGTTATATATACAATAACAAATCGATATCCAAGATAAATTTTAAGGATGTCAATTTGGAAGAAAAGTGAGAAAATTCCTAAAATGCTAAAAATGAATTTTCCAAACATATTTTTTTATCTCATTTTTTTGATTTTGAAAAAAATTTGGAGAGAAGAACTCTTCGTTTTTGAATTTTATCACGATGGTTTTAAAGTATATTAGACACATGTATTGGTATTACTATTTTTGTATATTTTGAGAGAAAATCCCTAAAAAGTGAGAAAATCTAAGACGGTTTGAGAAAATATATAAACTATTGAAAATTTGAATTAAACTTCTAATTTGGAAAAAAGAAATTTGGAAAGAAGGAAAATTCAAAAATCGAGATTTAGACTCAGCATCAAATGGAGAACAAAATGTTTCTTCATATGAAGGAAAAAAATTTTCTTGTGAAGAAATAGAGTTTTTAAAATTTTATTGTATGTAATGAAATAAACAAATATTAAAATTATTTTTTGATAACAAGAAAATTCCAATAGAAAATATTTGAGAGAAAGAAAAAAAGAAAATTGAAAAATATTACTCTCCTTTATATTTCATGAGATTTTAAATTTATTCTCATAAAATTGACAATTTTATACCTTTAGATGAAAATTAATGATTTTGGTTGAAATAGAAATTATTATTTGCTTACAGCTATCAAATAGATTTTTGCTATTTTGATTAAAATTTGTTAATCAAATTAATAAATTTTTTCTAAATATCTTAAATATCTGGATCACTCACATATACAATGAATTAAACGATAAAAATAATACAAACTCAACTAAGTTTCCTGTCTTTCAACTAAAAAAAATTATGCAAATTAAATTAAATTGTTTATTCAAATATAAAACAAAGATGAAGTAATTACCGTTATCATAAACTTTATGAATAACTCTGTAATTGGTTCAGATTTTCGTAAAAATATTTTTATTAATATCGATAAGAATACGTTTACCTACTATCACAACATATCGATAAACAAGAGTAGAGTGATTTTTATCATCGAAACTTTTTAAAAGCTGTAAGCTGGAAGGAAAAATCTTGTTTTTTCTGAGTTAGTTGTAGAACTATTGATGCACGAGTTATCATTGTGATGTAGAAGGATGTCAATGTACTGACTGAAGGATATGAAGTGAATTGAATTTCATTGCATTTCAATTTGATCAAAATTTGTTGAAATGATATGAATGTGTCAACATCTGTATCACTCTCTTTCACTCCTTCCCTATTCTTTCGAGAACGAAGCTAGCTCAGCTTTCGCTGAGCGAATTGACACTTTTGATGCCCTAAACGTACATGCTCTCAAATTTATCGAAAAAATTATACCACCTAAACTAGTATATTCTTATTTTAAATATGATATTATCCTTAGAATCCACACTAGAATATATTTAAATCAACTTTTAAAGAAGTTCGAATCCTGCGCGTCTCACTTTTTAAATTTTCGAAAAGGAAAATTATATTCTCCTAAAATGGAAACAATTTTCCGAATTGACATCCTTATAAATTTTTTTAATTTCATGAGCGCTATATGGAATTATAATCCCTCAACTAGAAAAATAAATACTATATGCTATAACAAATCTATATCCAGCATAAAAAATATTACTCCATTACTATCATTCTGCATGGCAAAGGCAAATGACGGCAAAACCGCGTCAGAAACTCTCAAAATTGAGGGGATGATTGGCCTGGTAAATAAGCTTATTTTCCCTAAACGTTATATTATAAAAAAATTTATAAAGTTATTTATTTGCTGCAAAGAAAAAATTTTATTTCTCAAGGTGGGATCCAATTTTACTTGGATATATTAAAATTCTTAAGACTTTTCATAAGTTATAGATCGAACACTTGATTTGCTCATGGAATGTGAAAATTTATTTTGAAATAGAGTTTGCAAATTAAGCTGTAAATGGATTCTATCTTGATAAATATATTTCATATATTTCATATATATCTTCATTAATGTGTGCGTCTTTCTTGTTTTAATAAAGTTGTTTACAACTTTTTCCGTTGTTTACAACTTTTTCCGTTGTTTACAACATATTTCGCTAACTGTATCTTTAATTGAATAAAATTTCGGTATGATAATCGACACAATCAAATTTAGAATCTCGAAGCACAACAAGCTGCTGCTCTAGACTGTTGATCAATATATCTTTAAGTAGGAATAGATAAAAGGATTAAAAAAAAATGAAAAAACCGTTGTCATTTCTCTAAAAATTATAATCCAAGCACAATTTTAGTTAATCTAAAATTTTTGAGTATTGAAAAATGAGTATATTCGAATTGAATGCAACACTTTATCGTTTGAATAACCGTTGGATTTTTATCTGATATTATTATATACTAAATATTTTATGCATAATTTCAAAATTTAGCTAATCGAGCAAATAAATTTTGAGAACAACTTAATCGCAATTCTCTTGTTATAATATCTAAGGGTTTCGTTTTGCGAAAAAAACGTACAATACGCAATTTCGCTAAAAAACATTTAGCTAGCAATTTCGACCTTTGACTCCACTCAAGACGTCACTTTTTTAATTTTGCGGTATCATATTTTTGGAAAATCTTTATGAATATTATATAAAAAGTCTCTTTAATATCTATATTTCATATTTTTATCGATTTTTAAAGTTTTTGCGAAAAGTATTCAATTATTTTTGCTATTTGGTCGGGTAAATGTCAGATTTGCGACATTTTCTGATATGATATTCAGATTCTACGTTGATAATAATGCTTATAGAACCCTCTTGCTATTGTGTCAAAATTGCGAAACCGATAGCAAAAATATCTCGCAATATCAAAATTGAGATATTGAGTGAATTATGCATTATAGAGATTAAAAATCTGATTTGTGAAAACATCTCATCAGTTTCTAGCTAATTCAAAAATCTTTACTATCTTATTCGATTAAAATGAAAAGGGAATAGTTTCATTATGCTTTAAATGACAGCCTTATAATATAATCATAGTTTTCGCTCAATATGCAGCATTTTTTTTTCGAAATCTATGGTCAATATCCTAAATACTGATTGCTTTGCATTCATATCTCTTACATTTTCTATACCCACATCACTATTCATTGCTATTCCTATCTTTTTCATTTTTGTTTGTTTCTCATAATTTCTCAAAAAACATGATAACTTGATATTTGTAAATATCATACTTTATAACGTAAATAAGAACTTGACCTATTAAGAAAAGCAGTAATGAAAAGAAAATCTGAAATTCATAAAAATTACAAGTTTCTGATGACAATTAGCTTAATTAAACCAGGTACAAGATTATATAATTGTATTTTCTATCCAATTATCCATATAATATCTTATCCAGAAAAAATAACTTGATCGGTAAAAAAGGGGGTTGGCGTCCTAAGGCGTCCTAGTGTAAATTTCTCAAAATTGTGATATTTACATCACATTTTTGAAAGGTTTATGGGCGTCCTAAGGGAAAATTGAATAGCTAGGGCGTCCCGAATTTTCATTCTAAGATTTAAATATATTATATACTTAAGTATAATACAAGCAATATAAAAATTAAATTTTTATTATGTTAACTTATAAGAAATTTTTTTGAATTATCGTTGATTTATTGTAATCTTTCCAGGCTATACTTTTGAAATCAACTTTCCCTGTCATACGCATTAATGTAGTAGATGTCCAGGTGTAGCTATTATATCCCAGCAACATTGGTATTTTATCATTGTAAGATATCAAAATGAAGCGTTTTTTCAGATATAATTTTTCGTAAATTTTTCAAAAATAAGATGGTAAAAAAGCCTCGACTTGCTCGAAAAATAACAATTTTTTTACTTGTAAAAATAACCCTTTTACAGCATGGGCAGCTATTCAATCACTATTTCTTTTTCTAAAAGTATATTTTTCAAAAAAAATTAAGATCAAATTCGACAATTTCTTGATGAAAGCAAAAATATTACACATACTTCTAGATGCATGGGATAAAATATGCAATTATTCAATCAATTCGCATGATTTGAAAAAAAAATCTAAATTTGATAAAAATGTAGAAATTTTTTATTTTTAACTTGAGATTCGATTTTTTTTGATCCAATTTGTGAATTTTTTTTGATCGGAATTTCAATTAATTTGTTGATCAAAAATGACCTCACAATGTTTGATCATAAGTGAAGTCATCTTCATGGGTATTTAGAAATTCCAAGAGAAATTGCTTATTTCTCGCAGATGTAATATCTGAGAAAATCGAATTTAAATATTCATAGAAACCCAAATCATTCTCCGGTTCGAATAATTCATCTGTTGCTTTTTCTGTTTTTTCTATGAATTTTAATAATTTGATTAATAAATCTTCATCAGGAAGAATTATTGCTGCATTTGTGATAAAATTCCATATTGAGGTAATATGGCAATAATTACATTTATAAAATGTAATTTTATCCAAATTTTTTGGCAAATTCGCATAATAGCATTAATATTTGAAGCTGAGATTAAACCTGTGATTACTTCTGTAACTTTTGGAAAATCATCGCAATTTAATATCTCTTTATATTGAATTGAGAAATAAAAAAAATCAAATGGATTCATTTCTTCAATTTCAAGGAGATTGTAAAAATTGATAGAAGTGTTATTGCAACAAATTGTATTTGCAGCAAAAAATATCATTTGCTTGATTCCATTTTTGGAATAAATTTGCTGGAACAATGTTAAATTAAAACAGTTGCTTAATTTTTCTTCATTGTTTTCATAAAAAAGTAACAAGTTTGCAACTGAAATTTCAAAATTTTGATAATTGCCAGTTATTTCAGTAAATATATATTTGCTTTTCTTCATCTAAAAATGGCAAATATTGATTTGCAATATTAACTAAAGTTTGGGATAAATTGTTCCAGTTTGATTTTACAATTTGTGAGCACATTATGTAATATGTAAATTTATCCGCTTTGTAGGAATTTAAAATTGTTTGTTGTTCTGTTTCAGTTAAATTACTGAATTTTTCAAGATTAATATTGTGATAAAAAATAGAATCCTTGAAACATTCTGATATCTTTTCAATGTTTAAAACGGATGCTAAAAAATGTAAAAGAACTTCATCAGTCACTGTGATTTTTTGAAAAATTTATCCCAATTCAAGCATCCAATTGATCTTTCTGTCATTGTACTTATGCATTGATAAAGTTGATTTAATGAATCCGAAGAATAATCATTATGCTTGACTAGTTGAGTTAGTTGATACAGACTGTCGTCAGCCATTTTAAAAAAAAGAATAAAATTGTATAGTAAATTATATTTGTGAAATTTGTGACGCTACATTCAATCTAAGACCAATATCTCAAAGAATTCCTCATTTAAGTATTACTTTTCATTGTTTTTTTAAAAAATATCTTTGCTTATTTATTCACTTTTTTGACATTTATTATATGCTTTTTATCATATTTCCGATGATATGAATATATATTCTATATAAGAATGACGCTACATTCAATCTAAGACCAATATCTCAAAGAATTCCTCATTTAAGTATTACTTTTCATTGTTTTTTTAAAAAATATCTTTGCTTATTTGTTCACTTTTTTGACATTTATTATATGCTTTTTATCATATTTCCGATGATATGAATATATATTCTATATAAGAATGACGCTACATTCAATCTAAGACCAATATCTCAAAGAATTACTTATTTAAGTATTACTTTTCATTGTTTTTTAAAAAATATCTTTGCTTATTTGTTCACTTTTTTGACATTTATTATATGCTTTTTATCATATTTCCGATGATATGAATATATATTCTATATAAGAATGACGCTACATTCAATCTAAGACCAATATCTCAAAGAATTACTTATTTAAGTATTACTTTTCATTTTTGATTCAATTTTCGAACGGTTTTCGTAAATTTTGCATCATTTCATTTTTTAATGGGAAAATCATATATATTTAATCAAAAAAGAGCAAACTTTACAGACGAAAATAAAATATTTATCAGGGAACAATCTGATAAATACCAAAAATCAACATCGAGACATGAAAAAACGAATATAATCAAACAAGTTCTTCAATATTTTAATATTAAATACGCCGAAAATGAATCTAAAGCTGTCAGAAGATATTTTAGTTATATTGCAGTTAAAAATATTCCCGCAGTTACTGGAAAATATCCTGATACAATTGTTCGCAAAGATATGCTTTATTCGCATGATCATACAAATATTATTAATTCAAATAATATTGAACGTTACTACCGTTGCATCGATCATTCTTGTCAAGCACGTTATTTAGTTAAAATTGAGAACAGTTCAGTTTCCGAAGATTTACAAAAGGAACATATACCCGAATGCAGACAATTTAAAAAGTTACAAAATGAAAAAAATGATCTTCATAAATCAATGACTCTGACAGAAATATACAATAAGGCAATGGCAAAATTTTCTGAAGACAACGGCACTTTTCAGCAGATTAAAAAATTTATGACAGAACTTGCTGTTGGTACTGATGAAAACCCATTAATTAAAGATTCATTGGTCAGGGAAGTTTATAATAAGTCCAGAAAATTTTCTGTTGGAGAAAAAATTACAGACGATGAAATTGCTAATTTTTGTTTAATAAATGGCGAGCAGTTTTTCATTGGCCATGATTTTCAAGCAAATTGTGAGACGATGTTTTTTGGTTTTGAGAAGGCAATTCAATTTGCAAAAGAAGCCACAGATTTATTTTGCGATGGAACTTTTAAAATTACACCAAAACATTTTCAAAAAGGACAGATGCTAACAATTATGATTTGTGAACCTTCAACAAATCAATATCTACCACTTTTATTTATATTCATGAAAAACCGCACATTTGAATCTTATAAGAAGGCATTTGAATATATTTTTACTGTCAAGGGTATTCAATTTTCAAAGCTAATTCAAATTCATTGTGATTTTGAAAAGGGAATGATAGAGGCACTTCAACAAATTTTCCCTAAAGTCCGTATAATTGGATGCCTATTTCATTTCAAACAAGCTTTACACAGGAAACTTGTAGCACTTTATACAAAAAATTTCAATACTTTACAAAATTCTTTATTTAAGCTATATTCTATTACTCCATTCATGTCTCATGAAGAATTTGTACTTACAATGCATATAATTAATCAAAATAAAGTTGATTCGATCAAAGATTATATTGATTATTTCAACAAAGTTTGGTTGCCGCACTACAATTTAATATCTCAATATAATAATGCAACTGCAATATTCACTAATGATTGCCTCGAGAGTATGCATTCAGAATTTTCTTCGTTAAAACATCCAAACATTTATGAAGCTATTAAGAAGATATCTCAAATCCAATTAGATAAATATAACGCCATCAAAAATAACCAGAAGATCGAGCGCCATATAAAAACCGTTATCACTGATAGCTACAAAAATTATATTCTTGACTGCTTTCAAAAAGAACTTGAGAAAACAATTTTTTCTATCAAACAATACAACGTAAGTGATCTTTCTTTGGCTCAGAACGAGATTTCTCCATATGGTTCCATAGAATCGAGTTCATTGTTCGAAAATATTCCAGTTCATGATGCAGATATACTCAAATCGATCGATCTAACAGATAAAGATACAATGATCACTAAGTTTATTAATGAAAAAAGAGAAAAAATTATGGCATTATTTAATGAAACATTAAATCATCCAGATTTTAATTCATCCACTCCAATTCAAACTAATTTTGAGCAAGCCGATACAAATCAAGGTTCAGATGCTCCAATTCGCTCCGAAAATTCAAATATTGCAGACTCTACAGATTTAGAACCAGAAAATCAAAACCATCCTTCTACAAATCAAATGTCTAGTAATCTAGAACATAAGCTGGACCTTCTTGATCATATTGAAAAACAATTATCGAAAATGCGCTCGTTATTGGGAATTCTTCCTACTACAAATGCTATTGTTGGGCCGTCAAAACAAGTTTCAGTTAATAGCAAGCAAAATTCTGAAAAAAATAAAAAAAATCTTCCATAACAACAAAATCAAACAATAAAAAACAAAATTCATCCGACAATCCTCCTAAACGTAAAGCTCCTATTTCGGAAAGGATTCTCAGCGATAATAACTTATATTTTCAAGTTCATCGAAAGAGATCGAAAAGCAAACGTTCCACATCTACAGAGAAAAAGAATTGATATATGAAGTCTAATTCCTTTTATAACTACTATATTTTTATTCTTATGACTAAAAAATAATATATTATTTAACAATTTTCATTTTTTTCTTTTAACAATTTCGTTTTATTTCCATTTATTGTTAAATGATTTTTAGCATACACCTTTCTTTGTTCATCTTCTAAATACAATTTATTTTTTCTTAGATATAATTCTATTCATTCAATTCGATCGTCATTTTTCAGTACATGATCGTAATTTTCAATTATTGATCGCGATTTTACTTCAGAATTTGTTCGCAATATTGCTTATCAAAATTATATCTCTATTCTCTCATTTCTGTTTAGTCAATATCATTACACTCCTATTGTCTAATAACATGCTATTAATTTTCTTAAAATTAAAAAAAAATATCAACTTTTAAAAACAGAAACTTAACATCCTTCGGTCAATGGATTTTGATGTGAGATACATTTAATCTGTTTTTCTTTTTTTATTTTAAATAATTGAATATTTATAGTTGTTATGGGTCTTACATCATGTAAAACGAATTTTCTTAAAGTAAATTTACTTTTTCTTCAATCTTTCTTACATATTTATTAAAAAAAAATTATCCAAAAAAAGATTTTTTTAGAATGAAAAAAAATAGAAAAATCTTCATTTATAGTCTTTCTTGAATGTATACGTTTTGATTTTTTTCTTTTTTAAAAAATTCAATTTCTAGAAAAATCGAGAAAAAATCATTTTCTTCTATTTTTTAGGACGCCATACCCATTGAAATCTCCTCTCAGGACGCCATAAACTATTCAATTATAGTGTAAACTTCTCAAAAATTGAATAGTTTACATCAGGACGCCTTAGGACGCCAAACCTTTACGCGCCCAACTTGATCAATACCAAATGATTTTTTAACTAGTAAATAAAGTATTTTCTTTACACACACATTGTATATCATAGTTTTTTTTTGGTTTCGCAAAACATCCAAAAACAAATATGCTATAAAAGTGACAATTTTAGCAAAACGAAACCCTTACTCGTTCTTTCCAATAATATGTAAAAAGGATTTTATTTCTTGGAATCAACATGACTGGTATGGCTTCTTGATGAGACTTTCATGTTATATTATTTTACTATTGAAAAGAAGACACTATCATGAAGTGAGGAACAAATTTTCAAAAATATACGATATTAGTATAACGTTTATGGAAAATAAGCCTTATTTACCCGGCCAATCTTCCCCTCAATTTGGTCTTTCAAAATTGGCAGATGCCAGTCACTTTTTACTATGGTAATGATACATAATCATTAATATAGATTCAGGATAGTATGTTATATCATATTTAATCATTATTAAGCAACTTCTATGATATTTTTTTTCCATTCATATAAAAAAGTTTTATGAAGTTAATATTAAATAAACTATTTATTTTCCCTTTTCTTTACAATTTTTATACAAAAATTAGTAATAAAACAATTATATTTATAATATGATGAAACTAGTTTATTTTCATTGGTATCAGCTCGAGATCATCTGACTTGGAGGTACTGAATATTAGTTTCTTATTGTAAAGCCATATCTGCGTTGTGATTTGAATTTTTTGCTTATAATTCAAAAGAAATGCAATCTGAGTGAATTTTATCGGCTATTTAAAACCCTTGTAAGAATTAGCATTCGACTCTTTCTGTGAGCAAGCACTGAGAAGCTGACTGTGAAGCCCGTGTCCTACCTAAAAAATGAAAACGATAGGGGTAAAAAGGGAAAAATGTGAAAGAAAATAAAACCCTCAAAAATATGTTATATATACAATAACAAATCGATATCCAAGATAAATTTTAAGGATGTCAATTTGGAAGAAAAGTGAGAAAATTCCTAAAATGCTAAAAATGAATTTTCCAAACATATTTTTTTATCTCATTTTTTTGATTTTGAAAAAAATTTGGAGAGAAGAACTCTTCGTTTTTGAATTTTATCACGATGGTTTTAAAGTATATTAGACACATGTATTGGTATTACTATTTTTGTATATTTTGAGAGAAAATCCCTAAAAAGTGAGAAAATCTAAGACGGTTTGAGAAAATATATAAACTATTGAAAATTTGAATTAAACTTCTAATTTGGAAAAAAGAAATTTGGAAAGAAGAAAATTCAAAAATCGAGATTTAGACTCAGCATCAAATGGAGAACAAAATGTTTCTTCATATGAAGGAAAAAAATTTTCTTGTGAAGAAATAGAGTTTTTAAAATTTTATTGTATGTAATGAAATAAACAAATATTAAAATTATTTTTTGATAACAAGAAAATTCCCAATAGAAAATATTTGAGAGAAAGAAAAAAAGAAAATTGAAAAATATTACTCTCCTTTATATTTCATGAGATTTTAAATTTATTCTCATAAAATTGACAATTTTATACCTTTAGATGAAAATTAATGATTTTGGTTGAAATAGAAATTATTATTTGCTTACAGCTATCAAATAGATTTTTGCTATTTTGATTAAAATTTGTTAATCAAATTAATAAATTTTTTCTAAATATCTTAAATATCTGGATCACTCACATATACAATGAATTAAACGATAAAAATAATACAAACTCAACTAAGTTTCCTGTCTTTCAACTAAAAAAAATTATGCAAATTAAATTAAATTGTTTATTCAAATATAAAACAAAGATGAAGTAATTACCGTTATCATAAACTTTATGAATAACTCTGTAATTGGTTCAGATTTTCGTAAAAATATTTTTATTAATATCGATAAGAATACGTTTACCTACTATCACAACATATCGATAAACAAGAGTAGAGTGATTTTTATCATCGAAACTTTTTAAAAGCTGTAAGCTGGAAGGAAAAATCTTGTTTTTTCTGAGTTAGTTGTAGAACTATTGATGCACGAGTTATCATTGTGATGTAGAAGGATGTCAATGTACTGACTGAAGGATATGAAGTGAATTGAATTTCATTGCATTTCAATTTGATCAAAATTTGTTGAAATGATATGAATGTGTCAACATCTGTATCACTCTCTTTCACTCCTTCCCTATTCTTTCGAGAACGAAGCTAGCTCAGCTTTCGCTGAGCGAATTGACACTTTTGATGCCCTAAACGTACATGCTCTCAAATTTATCGAAAAAAATTATACCACCTAAACTAGTATATTCTTATTTTAAATATGATATTATCCTTAGAATCCACACTAGAATATATTTAAATCAACTTTTAAAGAAGTTCGAATCCTGCGCGTCTCACTTTTTAAATTTTCGAAAAGGAAAATTATATTCTCCTAAAATGGAAACAATTTTCCGAATTGACATCCTTATAAATTTTTTTAATTTCATGAGCGCTATATGGAATTATAATCCCTCAACTAGAAAAATAAATACTATATGCTATAACAAATCTATATCCAGCATAAAAAATATTACTCCATTACTATCATTCTGCATGGCAAAGGCAAATGACGGCAAAACCGCGTCAGAAACTCTCAAAATTGAGGGGATGATTGGCCTGGTAAATAAGCTTATTTTCCCTAAACGTTATATTATAAAAAAATTTATAAAGTTATTTATTTGCTGCAAAGAAAAAATTTTATTTCTCAAGGTGGGATCCAATTTTACTTGGATATATTAAAATTCTTAAGACTTTTCATAAGTTATAGATCGAACACTTGATTTGCTCATGGAATGTGAAAATTTATTATGAAATAGAGTTTGCAAATTAAGCTTTAAATGGATTCTATCTTGATAAATATATTTCATATATTTCATATATATCTTCATTAATGTGTGCGTCTTTCTTGTTTTAATAAAGTTGTTTACAACTTTTTCCGTTGTTTACAACTTTTTCCGTTGTTTACAACATATTTCGCTAACTGTATCTTTAATTGAATAAAATTTCGGTATGATAATCGACACAATCAAATTTAGAATCTCGAAGCACAACAAGCTGCTGCTCTAGACTGTTGATCAATATATCTTTAAGTAGGAATAGATAAAAGGATTAAAAAAAAATGAAAAAACCGTTGTCATTTCTCTAAAAATTATAATCCAAGCACAATTTTAGTTAATCTAAAATTTTTGAGTATTGAAAAATGAGTATATTCGAATTGAATGCAACACTTTATCGTTTGAATAACCGTTGGATTTTTATCTGATATTATTATATACTAAATATTTTATGCATAATTTCAAAATTTAGCTAATCGAGCAAATAAATTTTGAGAACAACTTAATCGCAATTCTCTTTTATAATATCTAAGGGTTTCGTTTTGCGAAAAAAACGTACAATACGCAATTTCGCTAAAAAACATTTAGCTAGCAATTTCGACCTTTGACTCCACTCAAGACGTCACTTTTTTAATTTTGCGGTATCATATTTTTGGAAAATCTTTATGAATATTATATAAAAAGTCTCTTTAATATCTATATTTCATATTTTTATCGATTTTTAAAGTTTTTGCGAAAAGTATTCAATTATTTTTGCTATTTGGTCGGGTAAATGTCAGATTTGCGACATTTTCTGATATGATATTCAGATTCTACGTTGATAATAATGCTTATAGAACCCTCTTGCTATTGTGTCAAAATTGCGAAACCGATAGCAAAAATATCTCGCAATATCAAAATTGAGATATTGAGTGAATTATGCATTATAGAGATTAAAAATCTGATTTGTGAAAACATCTCATCAGTTTCTAGCTAATTCAAAAATCTTTACTATCTTATTCGATTAAATGAAAAAGGGAATAGTTCATTATGCTTTAAATGACAGCTTATATATAATCATAGTTTTCGCTCAATATGCAGCATTTTTTTTTTCGAAATCTATGGTCAATGTCCTAAATACTGATTGCTTTGCATTCATATCTCTTACATTTTCTATACCCGCATCACTATTCATTGCTATTCCTATCTTTTTCATTTTTGTTTGTTTCTCATAATTTCTCAAAAAACATGATAACTTGATATTTGTAAATATCATACTTTATAACGTAAATAAGAACTTGACCTATTAAGAAAAGCAGTAATGAAAAGAAAATCTGAAATTCATAAAAATTACAAGTTTCTGATGACAATTAGCTTAATTAAACCAGGTACAAGATTATATAATTGTATTTTCTATCCAATTATCCATATAATATCTTATCCAGAAAAAATAACTTGATCAATACCAAATGATTTTTTAACTAGTAAATAAAGTATTTTCTTTACACACACATTGTATATCATAGTTTTTTTTTGGTTTCGCAAAACATCCAAAAACAAATATGCTATAAAAGTGACAATTTTAGCAAAACGAAACCCTTATAATATCTTATTCATTATGATGATACTTATAATGAATTAAACAAAATCAAGGAAAAGAAAAATTCTGTTAAATTTTACATCATTAACCGCCACATTCAAAAGTCATTCTTATAAATGTTTTTGCTAACTTGCTTTGCTCGATCTTTCAAGGATTCAGATCCTCTTATAACACAAGATATGGTTGATGCAATTAACAACGATCCTAATGCACCATTCAAGGCAACACTTTATCCAAAGTTTGCAAAAATGACTGTTGGTGATGCTAAGCGTTTCTTGTCACCAGTTCGCCCACCACCACAAAACCACGGCTCAGCTGTTCCAGTTGGTGCTAACGAAGAATTCTTCAACTGGGTTGATAACAACTACATTACAGGTCTCACAAATGTTGTCGCCTTTAATGGATGGAATAATGCTTCGAACCAAGATGCAGATCAGAGTCATATTTCAGGAGGCAGATCTATCCGTCCTAATACCAGCATTGTCAAATTCCCAGTTTTTGATGTCACAAAGTTGTGCAGCTCATGGGCACCAGCAGTCACATCTGCAATGACAATCTCTGTTTCACGTTGGGCCGGTCAATTCGTCAACTTCTCTCTTCAGTACGTTCTTGATTGTGACATGCTCGGCGATTCATGCATTGAACGTACTCCACTCAATGCATACCAACTCTTCTGGACATACCATCCTCCGGACTTCGATAGCTGGGACAGACCAGGCGATGAACACTCAGAAAGAAAAGAATCTATGCAAGCACCACGCTCTGATTTCAAGAGAGCCAACTGTGCTAATAACAGATGCTATCCAGGCTTGACAGGCTGCAAGCGTCACTGGGCACTCACAGGAAGCTGCAACCCAGGTGATCCAGAAACAGGTTGCCCAATCTACTTCCTTTATAACTGGCGCTGGATTAAATCTCATCTTTGGGAAGTTGGTGCAGTTACTTCTTCAATCACTGTTTACCAAACTCTTTTCTCTTATCAGGATGGTGTTTACTCAAGCTATTATAAATCAGCTGGAGGAGATGGTTTTGATAATCAGGGAATTCTTGGTATGCTTGATGTTACAATTATTGGATGGGGCCAAAAAGAGTTGAATTTATCCACTAACAATGAACTTTACACTAAGGAACTCCAAAGATATTGGTGGGTTATTCCACACTTTGGAGTTAAATTTGGTGTGAAATATGATCCATGTGATGTCAATTCACACAAATGCGTAGATAGGGCACTTGTTGCAGAAAGTGGAAAAACTAAAGTTACAACGAAAGACGATCAAATCAGAATTGATACATTAAATATTGCTGGTTATGGTGGTGGTGTACAATCTGATTCAGTTAAAGGTTTCATAAAGTTCAACCGTAGATTTGATGACTGCAACATTGAATCACATGCAGTTGGTGCTGTTCCATACAACTTTGTTCCACTTCCACACAGAACACCATCTCCAACAGATGATGAGACAACATAAATGAATAAACAATAATTTTGATGCGTTTAATTTTGATCAAATCACAAAAGTCGTAAATATTTAAATTTGTAAATTTGTTGTAAAATGTATTATTTGCAAGAGTATGTTTGGCGTTGCAATTCTTGCTGCTTATATAATTCCACAAGTATTGTAAACTTTTGCAAGATCAATATTTAAATTTCATTCAATATATAATTATAATATATAATTTCAAATTTACATCTCATCAGCTATTATCCATTTTACAAGAGCATCAGTAGCATAAAATTAATAAAAACTCAAAACAATTTTAGCGAAAATTCATTTAATAACTAAAATATTCACAGAGAATCAGAGTATTTTAATTTTCTCTATCTATTTACTAATCTTATGCTTGCATGTGGGCAAATGGTGGGAAAAGATATGGGAGTAAGATAATCGAAAACTATCTAAAAATATTAAATATCATATTTAAACTAAGTAAAATCGATGTTTATGATTATTAGGTTATCGAAACCACCTGAGGCCCCAAATTATTTTTGATCAAATATATATTTTCATACTGCAGATCAATAAATCATATGATATGCTTGTTATTATTTTATATGATTATGCAATATCAAGTCATAGTATTATATCAGACCTTCAAACAATCTATGATTTGAACTTCTTTTGTCAAAAAATTATTTAAATGTGCACTTATGCCCCTATAACATGATTTTCAATTCTTCATAGGTGAGGCTTATGTCTCAAATATAGGTGTAGTAGACACTATCAATTCCAATAACGTGGGTTGGACCATTACATCAAATTTTCTGTCTTTACACTTTAATTCAATTTTGAATTGTTTGAAAAATTAAATAGTTGTAAACTAATATTTGAAGCTCCTCATGATTTAATTTTTCGTCTTTACAATAATTGATTTCTGATATTATATTGTAATAAACAGAAATTCATCAAAAGTGACAGCTCTCAATTTTTTGACATTTGTAAATTCTAAATTGAATGAGAAAAATGAAATAATACTAAGCATAATACAATATTCTAGATTTAATTATAATTAGGAAAAAGTTAGTTTTGAGAGTACTTTTCATAGGCATATAGAATGAAATCTTCTGAAAAATAATATCACATAAACTCATATTATTTTCTAACATATAACTATTTTATATAAAAATCAAATTCAATGATCTTAAAAGCGAAGGATAAACCTCAAAATTTACGAATATAATGAGTGGGAATATTTCATATGGTTTTTATGATAGATAAGCATTATATTCCCACTCATTATATTCGTAAATTTTGAGGTTTATCCTTCGCTTTTAAGATCATTGAATTTGATTTTTATATAAAATAGTTATATAGTAGAAAATAATATGAGTTTATGTGATATTATTTTTCAGAAGATTTTGTGTTCTTCTTCAAAATTTTATTTTTTTATTAAAAAGAATCTTTACAAAATATACATTTACTTTAATTAATATTTAAAAACGTGCTCTATCAAAAGTTCCAAAAATTCAATATTTTAGCTTTTCTGAGGTGTCACTTTTGATGAATTTCTGTTTACAACAATATTTTCCTATATATCATTTTAAAAACAGTTTTAAATGCAGGCTTCTTGAAACAGATATTGACAGAATTTTATAGATTTTTCAAAATTGAATAACTAGAAGGTTATAATAAGTCGAATGAAAATTAGCATAAATACATCCAAAAGTTAATAGAGGTTAAACTCTTTTGCAAGCAGATTTTTGTATAGTAATTATTTAAAAAAAAAGTTTACATTTAATTCTATTAATTTCGATTCATGCTTTTATTATTGTGCTTTGTTCGATCTTTCAAGGATTCAGATCCTCTTATAACACAAGATATGGTTGATGCAATTAACAACGATCCTAATGCACCATTCAAGGCAACACTTTATCCAAAGTTTGCAAAAATGACTGTTGGTGATGCTAAGCGTTTCTTGTCACCAGTTCGCCCACCACCACAAAACCACGGCTCAGCTGTTCCAGTTGGTGCTAACGAAGAATTCTTCAACTGGGTTGATAACAACTACATTACAGGTCTCACAAATGTTGTCGCCTTTAATGGATGGAATAATGCTTCGAACCAAGATGCAGATCAGAGTCATATTTCAGGAGGCAGATCTATCCGTCCTAATACCAGCATTGTCAAATTCCCAGTTTTTGATGTCACAAAGTTGTGCAGCTCATGGGCACCAGCAGTCACATCTGCAATGACAATCTCTGTTTCACGTTGGGCCGGTCAATTCGTCAACTTCTCTCTTCAGTACGTTCTTGATTGTGACATGCTCGGCGATTCATGCATTGAACGTACTCCACTCAATGCATACCAACTCTTCTGGACATACCATCCTCCGGACTTCGATAGCTGGGACAGACCAGGCGATGAACACTCAGAAAGAAAAGAATCTATGCAAGCACCACGCTCTGATTTCAAGAGAGCCAACTGTGCTAATAACAGATGCTATCCAGGCTTGACAGGCTGCAAGCGTCACTGGGCACTCACAGGAAGCTGCAACCCAGGTGATCCAGAAACAGGTTGTCCAATCTACTTCCTTTATAACTGGCGCTGGATTAAATCTCATCTTTGGGAAGTTGGTGCAGTTACTTCTTCAATCACTGTGTACAAAACTCTTTTCTCTTATCAGGATGGTGTTTACTCAAGCTATTATAAATCAACTGGAGCAGATGGTTTTGATAATCAGGGAATTCTTGGTATGCTTGATGTTACAATTATTGGTTGGGGCCAATCACAGCTGAATTTATCAACTGACCATGAAAAATACACTAAGAAACTCGAGAGATATTGGTGGGTTATTCCACACTTTGGACCAGGTTTTGGTATTAAATATGGGCCATGCAATGAAAGTGGCCACAATTGCAAGACTAAAGCATATGGAAGTGATGGACAATTTACCAATACTGCCCAAATCGACATCGGCAAATTGACTGTTGTTGGTTTAGGTGGAGGTGAGCAATCTGATTCTATTAAAGGTTTCATGAAGTTCAACCGTAGATTTGATGATTGCAACATTGAATCACATGCAGTTGGCGCCGTTCCATATAACTTTGTTCCACTCCCACACAGGACGCCATCTCCAACAGATGATGAGACAAAATAAATTTTTATTTGATATTTTTTTTACTAATGTTTGATATTTCTTATTTGAACGAAGAGAGTTTCTATCATAAGAATTCTGAATGAATGTTACCTCGAACAAGATAATATTTCTGAAGATCAGATAAATCTATCATATTTTTTGTTATTCTACAATATCTATGTATATATTTCACAGACAAGTATGTAAGTTATCTTGTAAGTTGTGCATTTAAATAGCAACGTAATTTAGGCTGAGCCCACATTTGGAAAACTTTTTTTTATTTCAAAAAAATTCTAAACAGACGTTAATAAATGCAGACGATTGGGCGCTTTGTTAAGCTCTCACTCGATGATTCCGCTCTTGATCGAGCATTTGAGCAGATTAATACAAGGATCGACCGTCAAGAAGAAATGATTCATGAACTTCAGCGACAAATGAAAGATCGACCTACTCGAAGTGAGTTAAAAGATGTTAATGACAATTTACAGAAACTTATAGATGATAAGAACAAAGAAACTAACAAACAAATTGACACACTGATTGAAGGCCTCGAAAACAAGTTGAAAGACCTCGAAACAACATTAGAAAACCGCATGCTTGATACAGCTAACATGATGAACCTCACAATTCAACAAAAATTCGACGAACTCGAAAATCGCAACAATAACGGAGATACCAAAATGTCTGATTTCATCGAACGCTTGCAAGCACTTGAAGAAACAACTTTTAACAATGGTAAGAAGCTCCATCTTACACGCGAAGCCGTTCAACAAATCGCTTCATCTATTTGTTATCTCAATAATACAAACGCAATCTTAGACAACACACTTCCAGACACACTAAAAGCAGCTGTTGGAACAGTCACAACAAATTTCAAAGATATCTTCGATCAACTCAACAAACTTAAAGATCGTGTTTCAAACATTGCACTCAAAGAACGACGAGCACCTCCACAAGTCATTGAGAAACCAGTTCAACAAGGCAATCCACTGGACATCGACATATCAAACATCCATCCATATCCAAGTGTTACCGCGCATTGGCGAGATGCACCAGATTTACCACCGATCAATCAGTTTATGAACATCGGCGAAGTTGTTGACTACATCTACAGAATGGTTCCTAAGTTACAAGCACATCTTACGGCCATGCAAGGCAAGATTGTCGAAAATGCAAACGACATTCTCGGCAAAGTTGACAAATCACTTGTTGAGAAGATGTTTGAGAAGTTCCAAGCTGTCATTGGCGAAATGGCAGGTCGTGTTGATGAACTCAAAGACTGTATTGAAGAAACAGCAACAAGAGATGAAATCAACGCTATGATTGAAGATATATTCAACTCAATGACACAAGGCGGACAAACAGCAATTGGAAGAGTTCGTTGTATTGCATGCGGTAGAGAAATACCTCAAGTTACTGGTGCAACAAGCGAAGAAGATGCTACAAGAATGCTTGGACAACCAACAAATAGTTATGCAGGAAAAGGTGGAACAACAAATCTCGGACTTTTGTACGCGAAGAAGGATGGTATGGATTCTGCAATTATAGAATCTCCAAGGTCTATTAGACCATTCAAGCCACAGACTGCTCGTCCAAAGACACCACGTTAACTTTTATTCTATTTTATAATATTATTTTTGTCATGACATTATTTTTTTGATATAAATAATTCTAAATTTGCTGTTTAACAATTACATATGTTTATCTTTTCAAGTTACAAACTACCAAATCATAATTATTATTTGATCAAATCAATTATCAATTTCCCTCTGAATAGCTTAAGTGCTTCTTTCTAGCCATCTAAAAAGATCTATAGGGAGTTTAATATTGCAACATGCACCAATATAGATTCATATATATAAATGATATGCATACATTGAATGAAAGCAAATAGATCTCAGTGAACAAAGGAAATTTAGCTTTCACAAATAAATTCACATTGATACTGAAATTCTGAGTTATAACTTTGAAAACACATGCAAATTAAAATCGAGGAGATAGATACAATACAATCTGAAACCAATTTATAGCACCCAAGAAGACGCGGAGATTGGTGTAGTCTGCTCACTTTTTATTAACAAAAGTATTAATATCAAGAAATTATAAAACATTATAATCTATCATTATTCCAAATATTTAACCATAACCATATAAAATTTCTCTCATAAGAAAGTAAAGATCAATTGTTATTTTACGCTATAGAAGTAAAGATTTTTATGTTAATTCTAAAATACCAAAAAAATATGTCAATTTAATTTGCATTCTTGAGTTCGTTGAGGAGTTTGATTGTTTCCTGAACGACATCAGCCTCTGGAACTACTCTCTCTATTGGTTGTCTTTCTACACCCTTTGGTGTCATCTCTCTGATCTTAATCTGACCCTTCTCGAGTTCATCTGGTGCGAGCAACACGAAAACTTTCGCTCCGAGTTGTTCAGCAGCGAGAAGCTGTTGTTTGATATCTGGCTTCTCCTTCGGGAAGAACTCTGTTGGAACACCGAGTTCCCAGAACTTAGAAGCGAGTTCGAATCTCTTCTTTGTGTAGTCAGAGAAAATACCTGCGATGTAAACTTCAGTGTCACTTTCCTTGACTTCCTCATTTGCCTTGAGTCTCTCGATGAGTGCGAAGATTCTTTCGATACCGAGGGAAACACCGACAGCAGGAACCTGTCTTCCTGAGAACATGCCGATGAGGCCATCGTATCTGCCACCACCAGCGATGGATCCGACATCTCCTGATGTTGTTCCTGCCTCGTAAATGACGCCTGTGTAGTAGTCAAGACCACGAGCGAGGGACAAGTCGAAGTTGATGTTTCCAAGGCATCCTGTTGCTTCGAGGTAGTTGAATAATACTTCCATTTCATCAAGAACCTTTCCAGCAACAGCAACGAAGTCTTGTTTCTGTCTGAGAGCGGCAAGAACTTCGCGTGGATTGCCTTGGATGGAAACAAACTCTCCAAGCTTGTCTGCAGCTGCCTGTGAAAGTCCCTTGACGTCAACAAGTTCGCGGGAGACATCGGACCATGGCAACTTATCGAGTTTGTCGACTGATGAGCAAATTGTCTTGAATTTCTCGTCTGGAACTCCGGCAACTTTTGTCATCGCGGAAAGTAACTGGCGGTGGGAAACTCTGATGCTGTAGTTGAAGTTGTCGAGACGGCAGAGTTTGCCAATGGCTGTAAGTAACTCGCTGACGATGGAAATAACTTCGGCATCAGAAATCATGAGACCAGATGTACCGGCAACATCGAAATCGCACTGGTAGAATTCTCTGAATCTGCCGCGCTCGATGGCTGGCTTGTCTCTTCTGTAAACTTTTGCGATGTGGTAGCGTTTGATCTTTGTGATGCCGTGAGTAGCAACGAATCTTGCGAATGGAACTGTAAGGTCGTATCTGAGTGAAAGAAGTTCACCACCTTGGTCTTCGAGGTTGTAAATTAACTTGGATTCTTCACCGTACTTCTCAGTGAGGACTGATCTAAGTTCGAAGACTGGTGTATCGATGGCAACACCACCGTGTCTCTTGAAGATGCTTGTGACCAGCTGGATGACTTCCTGACGGACTTTCATCTGCTTTGGAAGAAGATCGATGCAGCCTACTGGTTCCTTTGGAAGAACCTTCTTGCCGGCTGGTGGTGCGTAAAAGTTCATCATTGTAAGGGCGGCTGGACCGTTCTCAGCAACGGCGACGGCAATTTCCTTCGAAATTGTGCCGACTGTAATGCGCTTCTTCTCAATGGACTCTTGGACCTTTGGTGCGAGGCCGGAAATCATTGAAAAAGCGGCTGTGGCGAGTAATTGAGAGGCATTCTCAACAGTGACGTTGTCTGCTGGCTTGCCGAGGTACTTGCAGATCTCGACTGTGGAGTAGACAATGTTGGATGTGTATGAGAAGAGTGTAAACTTGTCGAAGAAGTGCTGTGGCTTGACAACAGCTGTACGGAGCTGAGCAACAGCGGCGAAGATTGGAGCAAAGAGCTTTGGAAGGGAGGAAAGGATCTTTGAGCCTTTCTTGCGGAGGTTCTTTGAGTTGAGAGCGATATCGAAGATACGCTGAGCAACGATGGAGACAAACTGTGGAGCAAGTTCACGGGAGAACTCTTCGGATGAAAGAAGAGCAGCACCCTTGAATTCAGCATCAAGAACAGCGGCAATAAGGGCATAGTCGGAAACAAGCTCGATTGTGGAGACAAGGAGTAAAACTTGAGCTGCTGAGACGTATGGCTCTTCGAAAAGCTCTAAAACTTCCTTCTCTGCATCTGGATAGATTGCTTTGAGGAAGTTTGTGAAGTCTTCATCAGAAAGAGGAAGGCCTGGTGTGAAATCATATGGAGAGTTCTTGAATTCTGGTGTTGTGTTGTAAGCTGGGCCTGGAAGTTCGTTGAAAATTGTGATGAGTGTCTGAGCAACCTTTGGAGCTGGAACAGCAAGGTGGGCTGCAGCAGAAAGGAGAGCAACACGATGTACTGGTGAGAAAATTTCAACACATTGGCTCATTGGGAGTTTCTTGAGCTCTTCAAGTGAAACAACTTTGGCGCCTTCGGATTTTTCTTTGAGATCTTGTGGGAGTTGCCATGTTGTCTTACTTAGAAGAATGCTGCGGACTTCATCGAGCTTCGGAACTGGAGACGCGAGGACAGTCGACATTCTTTTTCAAAAATAGTGGTCAATCGAAAAAGTGACAAATTTTAATGCTTTTTTTTGAGAGCTAAGTTCGCCTCAAATTGAATGCATATGAAGTTCGATTTACTGAAACAAAATTTTGGAGCCATTTTAGATATGTCTCCAATATTCATTTTAAAAATATATGTTCTCCATTGAAAATGTATGAATAAGCTCAATTCATCACAAATAATAGGATTAATCATTTAATTCATCTATGGATATATTGTTTGTTGTAACTGGGATTCAATATTAGATTGCCTTTATGAAATTTTAAGTTTCAGATAATATTTTTTTTGATCTCATATTTAAATGTTAATTATGAATTGACAGATTGTGAATATTGTTCTTTGAACATCTCTAAGGTAGAATATCAAGAAATAATTACCGCATTAAAAAAATTCTCTTCAAAATGCAATTTCAATGATAAATTAGGTAGTGCATGAATTTTTAAATCTTAATTCCTCCTATAGAAGCTAGATATTATTCAAATTAGAGAGCAAAATTACAAGTTCCAAACTCGTCGAGGAATAGAGATTTATATTTTAATTGTCAAATGGCAGCGAAATATTCCATTTTGAAGTTATATTATTCTTGATAATTGAATCCGAAATTAATAGTCATAAGAAAACAATCAAGCGGCTTTTTTCATAATAGCTATGATGAAATCTACTTAAGTGGAAGGTATTCATCTTCTTAAGATTACAAAATTTGTTATTTTTTCATTATCAAGCTCAGACTAGTGATTACTGACATATGTTTTAGACACAAAGGATTCTGCATGAAAAACTGTTACATTTAACTATATGCATACATTTTGTTTATTCTTTATAAGTAATTTCCTTTGACAATTTTAATATATTCTTCACTTAAATGAAAAATTTAAGGTCTAAGAGGCAAGCCTAGACGATGCTTAAAAGTTTTCTGTTCTCTGAGCATGAAGAATAACTCTTGGACCATTTGTGCCAAGTTGGACCTCGCGTGTGCATGGAGAATTAGCATCAAAGTTATCAAGAGTGATTTCTGTCTTGCCGAGTTCCTGATCCTCAGACCAGAAGTTCTTACGGTTGTACAAAGCAATGACAATGGAAGAACGCTTCGCGTTTGTGTAATTGAAGTTGTATTGTGTTTCCTTCAGGCGCTGGCCAACTTTGAATTCTTGAGCGTTCTTCTTGAAGTTCTTGTGGGAGCCAACGCAAAGTGTATAAGTGCCTTCACGAGTGCAGCCATTTGGATTTACTGCAGAGACAGAAAGCTTGAAGTTGTTCTTGTCTGAGCTGAGGAGCTTTTCGTACTGGGAATCAGCGAGCATTTTTAAAAATGAAGTGTTTTGTTAACATCGTTCGGGTCGTTATCGTCTTTTTGTAATTGAATCGTTATCGTTATCGATTTTGTAATTTAATCGTTATCGTCTTTTTCTAAACGTGCATTTTCTTCATATTGGGATAATGAACATAACTTGTTCTGAGCTTCCAATGCACAAATCGTTTTTATTCTAAATGGATTCATTCCTACAAGTTTGGCAGAAATCAGTGAATTTTATAAAATAATGATAAATATGAAAAGAAAGAGAATGGCATAAAATGATGATTAATATGTAATAAACAGAAATTCATCAAAAGTGACAGCTCTCAATTTTTTGACATTTGTAAATTCTAAATTGAATGAGAAAAATGAAATAATACTAAGCATAATACAATATTCTAGATTTAATTATAATTAGGAAAAAGTTAGTTTTGAGAGTACTTTTCATAGGCATATAGAATGAAATCTTCTGAAAAATAATATCACATAAACTCATATTATTTTCTAATATATAACTATTTTCTATAAAAATCAAATTCAATGATCTTAAAAGCGAAGGATAAACCTCAAAATTTACGAATATAATGAGTGGGAATATAATGCTTATCTATCATAAAACCATATGAAATATCAATTTTTGCTTTACGCCTAATTTTTGACGACAATTAGCAAAAAATGTTAAATGTTAACACTCAGTCCATTTGAATATGAAAAATAAAATTGACTTTGATTAAATGTTTTTATTTATCATGCAATTCTTCTTGCGACCAAAGATTTGAATAAAACTTCAAAAAATAAGATAGCTTAAAAAATAATATACGGTAGTGTTTACTAATAGATGAATAGTATATAAATTCTATTAAAATGGATTTGATCCAAAAAAATATATAAAATTTGATCATAAATAAAATCGTTTTAAATTACTTCTTCATTTAAATATAACAATTATTTTTGGTTTTATATTTTTTTGGATAAAATCCATTTTAATAGAATTTATATACTATTCATCTATTAGTAAACACTACCGTATATTATTTTTTAAGCTATCTTATTTTTGAAGTTTTATTCAAATCTTTGGTCGCAAGAAGAATTGCATGATAAATAAAACATTTAATCAAAGTCAATTTTATTTTTCATATTCAAATGGACTGAGTGTTAACATTTAACATTTTTTGCTAATTGTCGTCAAAAATTAGGCGTAAAGCAAAAATTGATATTTCATATGGTTTTATGATAGATAAGCATTATATTCCCACTCATTATATTCGTAAATTTTGAGGTTTATCCTTCGCTTTTAAGATCATGAATTTGATTTTTATAGAAAATAGTTATATATTAGAAAATAATATGAGTTTATGTGATATTATTTTTCAGAAGATTTTGTGTTCTTCTTCAAAATTTTATTTTTTTATTAAAAGAACCAAAATACATACTTTAATTAATATATTAAAAACTGCTCTATCAAAAGTTCCAAAAATTCAATATTTTAGCTTTTCTGAGGTGTCACTTTTGATGAATTTCTGTTTACAACAATCTTCATGTAGTCAAATAAAACGGAAATGCGAAAACAAACTTTTATTCGATATTACAAAAAAAATTATATTGATCGCTAAGATTTAAATACGTATAGTTTAAGTATATGTGGTATCATTATGTGCATATTCTGATATATATACTTGAATGATATCACAAAAATAACAGAAATACAAATCTTGAATTAAATTATATCATAGAATACAATTTTAATAAACGAAAAATCAAACCCTCTCGCAATACAGCCATTTTTAAGAGTAGTTCTTTCAAGATCTTCGAAGATTTGGAAGATCTTGGAAGAACTGCCTCTAAATGGCTGTAGCTTCGGTATTGTTACTATCAAGTAGAAAGTTACGGTAATTACTGCCATTTTAAGAGTAGTTCTTTCAAGATCTTCCAAATCTTCGAAGATCTTGAAAGAACTGCTCTCTAAATGGCAGTAGTTTCGATGTTAACATGATAATATGAGTGAAATTTTCTTATTTGAAGTCGGTTAAAGAGCAGTTCTTTCAAGTTCCTTCAAATCAGGAAGGGTCTTGACAGAACTGTCCTCTTATTGATTGGAATACCGGTATTTTACGTTGGTAAATGCTTGATTTGAATTGGGGGCTGAGTGTTGGAGAAAAAAAAACATTAAAAAAATAAAAAGTGCCAAAATAAAAGAATTCAATCTACATATATATAGTATTTCTAGGCCTGTCCAAACTTTTAAAAAAGCTTACCACGTGGAAGGAAGAGACCAAAAAAATCGTGCCTCGGCGGCTTCGCCGCCTCGGCACTAAAAACAGCATATCGTATTTAATATGTCCTTTTTTCTTTTTCTCTTTTCCTCTTTCTCTCTCCTTCTTTTCTTTCTTCTCTTTTTCCTTCTTTTCTTCTCACTTTCTTTTTGGAGCTGCTTTACTTTGAAATCTCTCATCAATTGATGAGAGAAATAATAGTAAAGTAGCTTCAATGTAAATACGTACATTGATTGGGTTATGGTTAGCGGTAATGTCTGTATGTAGTTCGATTGGAGCTGCCTCATCTGAGATCTCTCATCAAATGAAGAGAGTTCTCAGAGTGAGGCAGCTCCAATGTATATGTGCGTATTGATTGGGTTGCTGTAAGAAGCAGTGCTTGTGTGTAGTTCGATTGGAACTGCTTTACTCTGAGATCTGTCATCAATCGATGAGAGTTCTCAGAGTAAAACTGTTCCAATGTGTAATCTTGTGCTAGCTTGTCTGTTCGATTGGAACTGCTTTACTCTGAGTTCTCTCATCAATTGATGAGAGAAATAAGAGCAAAGTAGCTCCAATGTATATATGTGTATTGATTCGGTTTGGTTAGCTGGACTGTCTGTGAGTAGTTCGATTGGAACTGCCTCATTCTGAGATCTCTCATCAATAGATGAGAGAAATAAGAGTAAGGCAGTTCCAATGTATATAATCGTATTGATTTGGTTGCTTTAAGTTGGAGTGTTTGTGCATAGTTCGGTTAGAACTGCTTTGCTCTGAGAACTCTCATCGATTGATGAGAGTTCTCAGAGCAAATCAGCTCCAATGTGTAAATTTGTATTAGTTCGGGTACCACAACTCAATTTGTGGTCACTTCATCTTACCACGTGGTAAGTTTTTATAAAACTCTTTATTTACCATTGATTTCTGATTTAATATCAATATCTTGAATAATCAAGCATATCTATCGCTTTAAATTTTATTCTCTAATTCCAAAAAAAATTCAAAAATCAAAAAATGAAAAAAATATTTAGAATTTTTTCCGTCAAAAATAAAAAATGTTCCCACTGAGTGGTTTCCATGGAAAGTTACCACTGGGTCCCACAGGGATTGGCCTAAGTATTTCTTAATAGAATGTGAAATATAGTAAAATTAACTATATTCAAAATGGAAAAAAATCCAAAAAATTTTTGAAAAAAAGAATTTCATGATAAAAAGCGTAAATTTTGCATCAGAAAATTAAATTCAGGTATTTTTGAATAGAAAGAGTCCTAAAATTAGTTAAAAATCATTTTTTATTCAAAAGAAACGCTATTTTTAAGGAATTGAAAAGAATTTTATTTAATAATATTTTATTTATAGAATTTGCATATATCATATGCATAGACATATTGAATTGTAAACATGAGAACACTAATTACATTAACTTGTCGTTCAAATTATTGCATCGAGAAAAAAAGTGCTATAAATTTACTCAATTAGTTTACAAACGTAAATATTTGGCATAAACTTTACGTTTGTAAACTAATTTGGTAAACTCGTAGTTCAAATTATTGCATCGAGAAAAAAAAGTGCTATAAATTTACTCAATTAGTTTACAAACGTAAATATTTGGCATAAACTTTACGTTTGTAAACTAATTTGGTAAACTCGTAGTTCAAATTATTGCATCGAGAAAAAAAGTGCTATAAATTTACTCAATTAGTTTACAAACGTAAATATTTGACATAAACTTTACGTTTGTAAACCAATTTGATTAAATTTAGTAAATTTTAGTTCGAATGCAAGTTTTCTCGGTAAATCATTTTTAAGACCTCAAATGAGATGTATGATCATATGAGTCACATATGATTTAATCCGAATATGTGTGAGAATTGAGTTTAAAACGAAGTTTATTTTTTGGACTATATTTCGCCATTTTAAAATGTGTAATAATGATATAATTCGCATGAAATTGAAAAATATTGACTGGATGTGTAATGGTTTTATAATTGCAATGTTGATTTGATCGAATTTAAATGAATATATAACGCGATGAAATTTCGAATTGCTCAAATGTCTGTAATTCATATATGGTGCACATATTAATATTACATTTCGTTGATATTTACCACATAAACCTTTAAATATTAAGTCATTTTAAAGTTATATGCGATTTAGTTCCAAAATGCACGTTTAGAAAAAGACGATAACAATTAAATTACAAAATCGATAACGACCCACATCGTTCAAATCAATCGTGAGTTCTCAATATCGAACAATTGGGAATTTTAATAATTAATTCAAAACTTATATTTTCATCCATGTTCTGAATCAACATAATATGATGATTTTAATAATAAAAATGCATATCATAATTTGAATGAGCATTGAAATTACCAATCAAAAACGTTTGAGTGATTGTCATAGGATAAAAGTTTTACAGGAATTAACGATTCTCTATTAATTACGCCACCTGACTCAATATGATTTATGGAAACTAATTTATTGAATCGCGCTATCAAAACTTCGTTACAAAATCGAACAATTGAATAAAGTCAGATATAAACAATTAAGAGCCATTTTTATTCATTTTCTTATTTGATGAGTGATTTTCTTTAATGAGATTTTTTGTATGAAAAAAATTTTAAAATCATATAAAATTTATTAGATTAGTTATTTATCATATATCAATATTTTAAAATCCAACGAAATTTATTATAAGAAAAAAACGTATTCGATTCAATTTTGGCTGACCAAATTTGAGCGATCAACGAAAGTTTTTATTTTATGATCATAATAGTTATTGCTTATCATTTAAGATTTTAATCCGTTTCACATCAACATTTTTTGAATGGTTTACAAAATAAATTATTTTTTGATAACTTTCAGTTTCTCTTTCAAAATTTAGTTTTTAGTCTCGATCAATAATTTGAAATATTTCTGGTTTATATCTTTGCTATCTGATTGCTATAGATTATAATTTACGCAACACTTGGCAAAATAACTTTGAAATTCTTCAGCTAACTTCCTAACAGACCGGTTAATCAATCAATATAATCAATACTGTAATAATACATAAACTGTATCACTACCGTCAATTGAGAAACAAAAACAACAACCTCTCAATTTCATTTCTGACCAATCAAATTGAAATATTGTCATCGTCACTTTTTAAATTTTCAAATCCAACAACGTTGGAGATTCCTTTTAACCTATATGTACTTATTTATTTTGCGGTATTTGTAAAGCATTCACCATATACACTAACATCCTACTCCCGATAAGAGCTTTTTCTTTTCCTTCATCTCAAAATCGAACAATCACTCATCAGTTGATATTCATTTAAACTAGCAATTCATTCATGAATTTCTTTTTTGTGAACATTTGGAACTCCTCCCAACAAAATTAGCTCATATAAACATTCTTTCCAGAATCTCAATTTTTAAATTTCAATTATTTTTCTTAAAAATTGGCGTTTTCAATCAGACTCTATGTGAATACTTAATTTCTTGATTCTTTACTCCAAAATAAATAATTACTAAGAGTTTCAAATTTAAATTTACAAGATGACTCATTGTATTTCAGGTGATTCAAACATCATAGCTTACAATCAAGACAGTGACTTAATTCTATGTCTTAAAATCCATTGGATAATGATATAAATGACAAAGTTTTGAGGGTATTTTTTCAGAAGTTTATGTTCCCGAAAAATCTTGTTTTTACCCCCTTATCTAGCAACCGACCCAGGAAAATTCATGAGTTTCTATTTGCCTGGCAACTGAGAACTTTAAGCTGATTGTCTTTACCACCATTATCATGTCCATAATTCTCAAATCTTCGAGATTTGATTAAAACGAAGTATTTTGATCTTTATTCAAGTAAAAAAGTTCGTATCATGATGGATTTTAATCGTTCGCATAGTTTCAATAAAATTCTTATGCCTATCGTCTTCGATATTTTTTTTTATATGAGCGATGAGATTTTAGATAGAAAACAAAATGTTCCACCTTTTGTCGCTCCTAACAAAATAGATCCTGTGTACAATGCGATTCATAACTTCTTCAATAAAGTTCCAAACTATAAAAACGCAGATTTTCTGAAAATTTTTAAGGAACCATTAAAACCATCGCCACTCGATCAAAAAAGCAAAGCATTTCTCACCAATGCCAAGAACACCAATGATTATGATTCGATAATTTCATTTTTCAATCAACATCGAGAATTAATTCCTGAAGGTGTAAAATTAATCACATCTGAATCTTTAGTTGAAAACTATAAGACAAAATATTACTTCGATTATCTTGGTATAGCAATAGATTCAAATAATATTCATTTACTTTATGAAATTCTTTTTAATCTTAAGCAGAAAACATCATTATTCCATGGAAAAGACTTATCTGCAATTACTGAGACTCTTAAACAAACAGAATATATAACTCCATTATTTTTCGACTATACAATTTCTTCCTATTATGGAATAGAGCATAAATTACCTCGTGACATATTGGCTAGTGCAACTTCCATAGCTTGTAACGAGTCTTCAGTTTATATCGGCACAAAAAATAATACGATTATTGTTTTTCAATCTCCTGGATGCCATCATCATTTCCAGCCTTACCAAATTAACTTAGAAGATATCAAAATGTACAAACATTATTCATTATGTCTTGTCGAAAATCATCTTTTCATAGTTTCTCCAAATCAAGTTGCCGATTACAATACGGAAACCAAGAAATTCCAACAGATATCTTACAAGCGTCAAAAAGATAATCCAGCTTGCATTGATGGAAAATTTTTGTATGATGTTAACATTAACACCAACAAAGTACATGTTTACAAGTTCGAAAATGGAACTTTTGCTCAAGACAGAACAATCAAGCTCCAATTCCCTCAATATCAAAAATCAACAATCAAAGAATGGGAAATTCCAATGGCAACGAACGGAACTTTCATGGCAATACTTCTTCCAGGCGTTAACCAGTACGTTTTCCATATCTTTTCATTGATTACTGGCGAATTATTGTATCTTAAGTCAATTCAGTCAGTTCCTGAAGTCCAAGCCGTTACGATCTGTCCTATTTCAGGTCGTACAGTTGTACACACACCAACAGAACTCACAATATTCCCTTCTCCCCATAATATGCCAAAATCTCATTTCAATACTAAGTATCCATCGAATCCTGATCCGAAAAACATCATCGACCAACTATATCTTGCATTGTATTATGGTCGTGAAATGTTTTACGAAGCAGATCCCAACTATTCACTTGGCATATTAAATAAATTTATCCAAGACAACAACGAGAAAGGAATCAACATTGCATTACAAATCCTTATGAGGCAAGACTTAAGTCACAACCCAGATGCCAATGCTTTACTCTGTGGTTTCTGCAAAAAACAGAGTTCACAAGATATGAAAAGAGCTGCTTTATCTGTTTTCTTCTCTTGGATCCGAAATAACAATGGAAAAGACAAGAAGAAAGTCCCACTCCCTAATATCTGTAACGATATGTTCAAGGAAGGCCAGAACTTGGACATGGTCTATCCTTTCTTCGATTGCATCAACTTTTCAACTTTCAAATTATCAATGAAAGCTATTGAAAACATGATCGTTTATTTATCAGACAAAATTGATAAATATCCAATGCAATCGGAGCATATCATCAAGCCATACTTGATCAAGTACGTTCCAAAGCATTTCTTGAGAGATTACAAACAAATCATCAACACTCTCCAGAAAATTTTGGAAAATACCAAAAATATTTTACAAAAAGTGACAAAATCAGAAATTTTGGGACAAGATTTCATTGAAACAGTACATTTTAGGATCTGGAAAGTTCTCATTTTCATCTTGTATTCCATCAAAGACAAACTAGTTGAATATATCCCTGATTTCGTTCCTTATTTGAACTTTTTGTCGATTGAAGGAATTCCTGAGAATCCTGCCACTTTTTCAATAATTCAAGTTATTGATGACAGTCTTTATTTATTGCTTTGCTTGTTATTTAGCAGCCCGCACAAGCGCCAAAGCAAATTGTTCAAAGATATTGAAGAATTCTATCAAGAATTCGAACATCCTTTGAGCAGAAAATATCCTGATGTCGATAACAGATTATTTGAAGTTTTAAACAACTGTTATGATGTATACGACAAAAAGAAATTCAGTGAAGTTCTGTTTAGTCTCAGAAGATATTTGGTTTTCGAGAATCCTGGCGCGAAACAAAGATTGAAATACAGATTCGAAACACACAGTTATTCCCTCAAAAACTGTGAATTGTTCTTCATGACAGGAAACTCAAAGAACATGTTTGAAGTATCAGAAAACAAAATCATCAAAGAGTTCGTTGATTCAATCACAAGAAAATCACAAGTTCCGTTTGGTTTCGAAGTAGCTTTCTTCGGATTTTTACCAGAAATAAAAGAAAGAGTCGAAGAATTTACAATAGATATCGAACGCCCGAAACTTGCAAAGTTCATACAACTCTTCAGATGGCCTTACGCTTTCCCTTCTGAGATCTTAAAGTCAGCGAGAATCATCATTGACGCGTCAACATTAAGTAATTTGCCTCTTGAAGATTTAGTAAGTAAAGGTTTTTCAATGGAGAATCTTCCACCGATAAATGATCCGAAGATTGCTATCCAAGCACTTGCTGATGATAAAGAACCGGACATGGAGTTCAGGAACTCTTTGATTTGGTTGTATGGCTGTCAAATAACAAATGAAAGTATTTTTGACAAAAATTTGTCAGAAATTTTCATTACAAAAGTTTTGACAAGCGACATCAAGACGATTGAAGTTTTAGTTAATGGATTGACTTATGATAATTGTGATAATGAATATTCTATATTTGTTTTCAAGAATTTGTTGACAATTTTGCAAAAATATTGTGAAGGAAAACAAAACATTTTAAGAGGAATCAAAGATTTGACTAATTTAACAACTTGTATCCTTTACATTGTTGACTGCATGAGAAAACAATTATTGAACGAGAAAAGCAAATTCAAAGAATTATTATTGAATTTTTGTAATGAAAAAAGTGACAATTTCAGTACAATTTGCTTGATTCTCCAGAATTCTATTGATATCGCAAGAAAAGGTGTCAAAACATCTATTGTTATGGAGTCAGGTGAACTAATAAAAGGTGAAATAACGTTCATGGACGATAACGGAGAAGATATAACGGTTTTGACAAAAGAAAACACGGAAAGAAAGATTTCTCTTCTAAATGTGAGACATTGCTGGTGTTATCCGAAGACAGAAATCAATCCTCGCATGTTTGACATGGATTATTTCGTTCAAAAATTCAAAACTGTCAAACCATCGTCAGAAATTTCTGAAATTTGGATTACTGCTTCTTTCATGTTCTTCGCATCATCAAAGAGGTTCAGATCCAAATGCGATGATGATTTAATCAAAAGATCTTTGACAGATGATTTTAGTCACTTCACTTTTCGTAATTTGATTCCACAACTTCTTAATTCGATACCGAGTTATTACGATGGCAATCTTCCGATATTTGCTTTCACGGAAGCAAATGATGAAAGTGAAATACCATGTGACATGAAAGATGGATATATTTCCACACATTTCTTGAGTGCAACTTACATTTCTACACCTATTTATCCGTTTTCTGCTCAAAGAATAATAATGAGAGTAATGTCAAACGATCAAATTCAACCTGCATTAGGATTGAGAGTTTGTGGTTATTCCTCTGAATTAGATAACCGTTTTGAAATGTCAAAAGTTGACATTGAAATGTCAAATTTAATGGAACGAAAGATTGTTGTCGAAATTCATCCAAGCAGATCAGAAATCATCGTTGACATTGACAGTGGTGCTCAAACAATAAGAAATTGTTATTCACCAAGTTTGGATGTGATTTATTTCATATCACATATCAGTCGATTTACTGTTATTGAGTATCATTTTGAAGAATTGGAAGAAGAGAAGTATTCCATTGATTACAACTTCAAACAGAAGATAATGAACATAGAAACAACTGATTACAATGTTCCTTCAGTTGAATCTAAACTTTATAATCGAAAATTGTTTGCAGATAGAAAGAGATTAATCATCAATTCTATCAAACAAATAATTACGGCATTATTCAAGATCCAATTGAATCCTTCCCAATTCTTCGATGTCTTAAGAAATATCAATCATTTCCCATTAGAAGAAGTCATTGACATCGAAAAAATGTCTTTGTCAGAATTGTGGCTTGACAGTTCTGACATTTTTGTCAAAAATATTATTTCTTCAATGAATAATCTTGATATGGAGCAAGTCAAAGAATATGTTTTGGCAAAGATCAATAGGATAAGTATTTTGGATGGAAATAATCGTTCAGCTGTTTTGATTCCACCAAATAATCCTGTTTTATTATCAAATACTTTTGTTTTGTCAAAGGATTCTTCCGTTCCTGTCAAATATTTGACAGTTGAAAAAGTTGGATTCAAAACAACGAATGCTTCAATATCTATTCCTTATGATGATGTTGAAGGAACAGTATTTGATTATCTTTTGTTGTTGAGACATTGTTGTTTCATTCTGAAACCGAAAATGATTTGGGAAATCAAAGAAAAAATTTTAGAGAAAATTAGTTCGATTCCTTTATTCGATTTAATTTTCTCTAAACTCTTGAATCTCATCAATATCTTGTATCCGAAAGTTTCACCGAAGAATGGAATAATTCCTATTTGTAACGAATTATTCTTACTTCATAATGAAATAACAAACAAACGCCTTAATCAACTATTAATACTTTATTTCATGAATGAAGGAAAAACTGCAAAAATCGATTCTAAATCTGTCAAAATTGAATTGAAGGGCAAAATTGTTATCGGAATCAAATGTCTTAATGAAGAAGAAACAAACCTTAAATTCCAAATCAACGATAACAATGATAAATACGAGATATCTCCCAATAGTTTTATTGTTCTTGAAAACGCAAATAACCCTGTTGTTAAGACGAAATCAAGTATGTATGATTTATCAAATTACGAAGTTGTTTATAATGTTTTGCCTTCTAATTTCGAAACTCTGATACAAGATATCGAAAAATGGAATGTAAGACATTCACAACAACTCTTACAAGTATTCCCAACTATATTTGATAAATCTATTTATCAAAAGATTCCTCTTTCTACATCATTTTCTGTTGGAACTGCTCAGTTTATGTTTGATTTGCTGAAAAAGATTCCGAAATCGAATTTGTATTCGATTTCCAGACATCTTACGAACTCGATACAGAACACGAGAGAAGAAGAAGGAGTTAAGACACGTTTCCCAACGAGAATCAAAGGAAACAACCTGGAAAGAATCGATTTCTTGAAAGTTACAAAACAAACTTTGTTTGCGGATGATGATTACAGGACACAATTGATCAATAACTTGCCACCACAGAACTTTTCCATAAAGAGATCCATTGACAATTTCGCAATCATGGTTGATGGAACAAGAGAACAAACAGCGTGGATGGACAGATATTTGAAGTCTTTGAAAGATTTTCCTTTCTTGATTTTCACTGAATTCGCAACTGGTTCATTTAATTTGTCGAAATTGAAGAATAAGAAGATTTGTATAAGATTTGTGTCACAGGAGAATAATATTGATGCATTCCCTGATGATATGCTTGTAAACGTCGGAAAATTCGCTAATGAAACTGAATTTATTAACGGGTTCAACAAAGTTCTCCAGAAACATGATGAAAACACGTTTTAAACCAAATTTTATTTATTATTAAATTTTGAAATTATTTTTATGAGTTGAAAAAATTATTAATATTATATTTATTTATGATGAATTAGTTATTATTTATAAGGATGATGTAATAAATTGATAGATAATAAGTTAAGGGTGGCTTCCGACCAAATTGTCACTTTTTAGCCCAAGTGAGAAAATTTCGTAATTTATAACCAAGTTTTTTTAAAATCTATATTTAATAAAGATTCTATTTTTCTTATTAAATTTCAAAAATGAGGGGGTTCGGAATCGTCCACAAATTGCCGAAAGGGTTTTTGCCAGTTTTGAATCCGCTTATTTTTATCGACCAAAATTATAATAAATATAATTTTCGATAAGTATTCTACCCAAATGATTCTTCAAAAAATTATTTTTCGGATTTTATTTCTTAAAAAAACGTTACAGAAAACGCCTAGAAAATTTCGAATTTTCCCTAAAAAATTCAGTGCAGGTCGATTTAAGAGATTTTTCAAAAATAATCATATCAGTAGATAGGGTATAATATAGAGGAGCTTTATGAATAACTAAAAATCCGGGAAACTCAATATTCAACGAGAAAAACGCTTAACGAATCTCACTTTTGGTGTAAACATCACAAAAAATTGAGAGAGCTTTCTGGTCGGAAGCCTCCCTTAAAGATGTAATAATGGAGAAATATTTAATATCAATTGATTTAAATTGGAAATAAGAAATTGAATAAACACAGTGTGAGAATATGAACTCAGAGTACTTAAGTGAAGATTTTGATAAAATTAGAACAAATTAAAAAAATAAATCACAGTTTAGATAATATTATTCAGCTTATTTCTTCTTATCTGCTGGTTTCTTGTCTGCTGGAGCAGCAGCAGCAGGAGCCTTTGCACCATCACCAGCTGGAGCAGCTGCTGGCTTGCCTTGGCCTGCGTGGCCATGAGCAACTGGAGCCTTCTTGACTTGGATTTCCTTGTGTGATGTGTGGAGTGGATCTACACCATGAATCTTCTCGTGGTGGTTTGTCTTCTCGTCAACTTCCTTCTGGTGGAGGGCGAGGATCTTGCGGGAAGCGGAGTTAGCACCATGCTCGACGGATGACATCTATTCAGAAATGAACTGATATATCTAATCTCAAAACGTTCTTCAAATTCTTCAAACTCTCAAAATCATAAAATCGCAATAATTATGCAGCATATGATATACATGTGAATAATACTTCCAAAATTTATTTCCTAAATCGAAAATCAAAATCTCAGTGAAGCTCTCAGAATTTTTCAATGAGGATCGAAGCGATTTTTCACAAGTGAAATTTTCGTTTTTTCGAAAAAATAAGAAAAACAGAATCTATGTCATGCACAAATCACCACAGACTAGTTTTCCAAATTTGCTACTTATCGTCGAAAAAACCATTTCTTGATTGAAATTTGCCAAACATTTACAGATAATATCGAAATCGTTACGCTGTCACAAATGTTAAATCATATTTGAGAATTGAGAGAAGAACGAAATTTTGACGATGAAAGAAATTGTGAGAGAAATTTTTTTTATGAAAATCAATTCCGATGATTTTTATCAATATGTCATTTATTGCATATTTATATTCATATTTTCATAGTAAAATCGAAATCCATGAATTCAGAGAGTTTGAAGAATTTGAAGAACGTTTTGAGATTAGATATATCAGTTCATTTCTGAATAGATGTCATCCGTCGAGCATGGTGCTAACTCCGCTTCCCGCAAGATCCTCGCCCTCCACCAGAAGGAAGTTGACGAGAAGACAAACCACCACGAGAAGATTCATGGTGTAGATCCACTCCACACATCACACAAGGAAATCCAAGTCAAGAAGGCTCCAGTTGCTCATGGCCACGCAGGCCAAGGCAAGCCAGCAGCTGCTCCAGCTGGTGATGGTGCAAAGGCTCCTGCTGCTGCTCCAGCAGACAAGAAACCAGCAGATAAGAAGAAATAAGCTGAATAATATTATCTAAACTGTGATTTATTTTTCTAATTTGTTCTAATTTTTTCTTTTTTCTTTTCTAATTTACATTTACTATCAACACTAAATACAATACAATATAAAGATGAATTATATTCTCAAAATATGTTATTTCAGAAATTCTATAATTCATAATTTTTTTTTTTATCCAGATAAAGATTGACATGTTCATCCAAAATGAGACACAAATCGTCTTTGCCATATGATTATAAGGATGCAAACTTGGCAATTCTTAAAAAATTTCGCCCAATAAGATACATATATCATAGTTATTAGTATTTGGTTTTAGGACCTATTTTTTTCTCCTTTTTCTTCATTTTATTTTTAATTATATTGTATTTTAATTTCTATGTGAAAAATAAATCACACTCTGTTCATTTTGATGAGATTCCTCTGCTATATTTTGTGAGCGGTTAAAAAAATTATTTTAAAAAATTATTCGAAATATAATAACAGAAATGCATTATCTTATTGAGAATTGAATATTAGTTCAACAAATGTATCATATTCACAAAAGAACTCCCCAAAACAGTTCAAATGATTAATATTATTCCAAAATAATCAAAAATTTACATAATAATTCATGTAAGAAGGTCATCTCAGATGTAAGAAAGAATTTAGTCTTAAATTCATGTTGATTAAACAAAACAATAAGTATAAATATATTGCATTTTTAATAAATGAGTCTGATTTGATTTTACGTGTAGTTAAATATGTTTCAGTGTCATTGTTTCAGCTTTCTTGAAGCTTATGGCAATTGGGCAATTCTCAATAACGTACAATTGCCAAGAAAGTTTAAGGTTTGGCAATTCACTCAAATCACTGCGAAAAAAAATAACGTACAATTGCCAAAATTGCCTTGGCAATTGTACGTTATTTTAAAAAGAGTTTACATTGAGTATCTCTAGTTTCGCTATAACCTAATACACAACATCACAAAAAACATAAATCCTTCGGCAAAAATATCAAATGATTCAATTTCAAATATCAAATTTCCAAAAATCATCAATAATGCCACCATTTTATTTCAAAAATATATAGAAACTAAAATATAGCATTCTCTTGCTTCTTTCAGACTTAAATAATGCAAAATTTACTATTTTTTTTCAAAACTTCGCTCATCTAAGAATTGCCAAGCTTGGCAATTCATGATGAACAAAATTTGCGCTTTTGGCAGTTCCGACATCCTTAATGATTATTAATCAAAATTGCATTATTCGCTTTCATTTTATACTTAACAGAAATTAACAATAAGTCACATATATAATCGCATAGATTGACATAACTATAATGCAACACATACAGACATATAATATTCACATTCACAGTCTAATATGAATACTCTAAATTTAAAGATGGTATATTTTTATCATCTTTGTCTCCAAAAGATTTTATACTCAATGATTACTCTCAATAATTAAAATATTACAAGATGAAAGAACATATTTGAATTTTGCGTCACTTTTTAAGGAAAGTATTGAAAAAAATTTAAAAACCAGGATACGTAGACCAAAAACCAGGAAATTTGAATTTCATGAGTTTGGGGGCTGAAACTCATGCTGTGATCAGAGCAGGTATATGAGATAATTATATCATTGTTACAAAGCCTAATTGAGTTTGAATAAAAAGATTATTTTTAATTTAGAATATATTTTTGAATTATGAAGTGGTTCAATCTCAGAATATGTTGATTTTGTTGTTTTTAGAGTGAAATTGATAAAAAACGAGTATTGATAAAGATATGAATTAGAATTAGGTTATTTTTGAGTAAATGAGTATAACAAATATATTACATATATTGATAACAGATAGTGATTAATGTAACATGATTATAATTGAATAGATATGATTTTTGAATAGAAAATATAAATGGTGAATTAAAAATATGACTTTTATAAGGTTTTTTAATAGTATATAGAAGTGAAAAGGAAGGACTATTGTAAATTAATAAATGTACTTGTGAAACTAAAGAATTTGATATGGATTAGAGAAAAAAAAATAGTATATAGAAAAATTGAATTGAATCAAAAAAAAGACAGATTTTGAATATCAAAAGGAAAGCTAGTATTTTGAAAAAAATTGTGTAAAAAAATTCTAAGTTTTCTTGATGGTTTTGAATTTCAATTTTTAGTTAGAATAGATATTAACGAAAGAATACTATTATTCTATTGTCTTTTAAAATAAATATTTCAATTTTTGAAAGTAATTCATTTTTTCATGAATAATGCCTATTTATAATATTACAGATGTTTTTATGATATTTAAGTAAAAAGAAATTGAATTTGATTTCAAAATTTAAGTTGCACAATAGAATTGAGAATAAATGTAATAATATGTCGTATTCAAGTTAAATAAAGAATATAAGAAATCTTATCTGAATTGTAAAAAAATATTGAATATTTTACAAAACGATGAACATGTATTTTATTATATAGATTAGTGAGTACAATTGTTTGTTATCAAAGATCAATAATCGATTATATTAAAATTTTGAGAAGGACTATTATGAATAATATTAAATAAAGTATTTTATCTATATTTATGATCGCAATGTGATTTTCCCGATAAACTTAGTATTTTTGCTTAATTTTAATTTTATTTAATTTTGCAAATTACCTCAGACTTTTCAGAGGATTGAGTTGCCACTCAATCCTCTGAAATAGTCTGTGGTAATTTTTAGTCTCTACACTATTTCAATATAAGCTCCATTTTTAAACAGTTTTTAAAAATCGAACATTGAAAAGTGTGATGAGACTTGAAAATTTTGCTTTTCAAGTAAGTTTGTACGAGTCTATATTAAAAAGTGACTTTTTTTTAATACGACCTCTCAATTTATTATCACTTTTTCATCTTTTTTTATGTGATTTGTCTATATAATGTGGGATTGCACATATGATCAGAACTCATTCTTGTGATGATCATATTATGCAATGGGCATACTATTAAAGTTATATAAAAATCAATATTAAGCATTTAGCAATATATTAATGTTTACTATAACAATTAAATTAGATATAATTAGGGGAATATATATATAAAATGGTAATGACTATAATTGAGTTTTGATCAAGATGCTAATTTGAATTAGAATGAATATATCGAATACACATATTTTTATTATTATATATGCGTTATATTGTGTTATTGATGATTATTGTTCAGTAAATATAGTCAGATATCGGATATTTTGCAATTGAAATTAAATTATTAAATGATTAATAGATAAAAATAGGATTTGATGATAGACGTTAGATATATATTATGATATACTTAGAAATACATGTATTTGGATTCATAATGAAGGTAATTAAACATATTATATGTTTTTGATATGAAAAGAAGAGTTAGTAACGTATATAAATTAATATATGGTTACATATTATAGAATTAATATTCAAACTGATAGATAAATGATATTAAGAGTCAAAAATTCAAAGAAATCTTACTTTTTTGTATCATTCAAAATTGAATGTAATAAAATCATATTGAAAATAAATTAAGGATTTTCGCCATATTTTTGATATAATATATTATTGAACTCTTTATTGTATTTTTATTGCTTTCAATTTTGAGACAACTTTTGATAAAAAAAATCTTTTCAAAATTACTAGATATTTATTTTGTTATTCAAATAATGTTCTTATAAAATTATTTGTTATAAAATTATTGAAGGAGATTTCAAAAATTCATTCCTTATTTAATTTAGTGAGACCTTATGTTATTTAAATAAATCAACCGATAAATTTCCTAATAGGTGTCAAAAGATTAATTCACATCCAAGTCAAATTAGGCTATAATGTATGTAGATGAGGACTGTCTTCAAGGCAGTCCTCATCTACCTACATTATATAACCATGTCTCCCATATTTTTATTTGAATGTGAATGTGTAATTCTCAATTCCAGGACTGAGTGCATGGTTGCAGCGGGTTACTATATGCTCTTGCATCCATGTAGTCAGATCTGGAAATTGGCTTACTTTTCCTTTCGATGCGAATGTGACAAATACTTTTCCAATTGTGCACATATAAGTGCAGGGTACATCGATTTTTTAGAATAAAGAGTTTTTTATTCAGCTGGAGAAATGAATATGAGTTTGAATTGCTTGAGCTGATTCTCAAATAACGTTTTTATGCACATCTACTGGTATATATATGATAGTAAAAATTTATATACAATATATTCACTGTGCCCTATTCCAAGTAATTATATCTGAGGGATCAAAAATAAGAAATTGAGATATAGAGTTAATCAACTAAATACATTTGAACAGCAGATTAGTTCCATTCAAGAGCTTCAAGTAGTCGATACTAGAATTGTGACTGTATAATCCAAGGGCGAAACTATCCCTGGAAAATCATAAGAAACTTGATGTCTGATATTTCAGACTAATTAGTACTATGATTCTATCAAACAAATCATTTAAAATGCCCTGCAATTGCATATTGCAAGCGATAATATTTCTTTAATGAAAAACACGTTGATTAAGAATGAAAAAGATACAAATTCATAATTAATACTTCTTCCAAATAATGCTTAGAAAACTATTTAACATTGACTATTCATATTTGAGGGTGAATGTGAATATTATATGTCTGTATGTGTTGCATTATAGTTATGTCAATCTATGCGATTATATATGTGACTTATTGTTAATTTCTGTTAAGTATAAAATGAAAGCGAATAATGCAATTTTGATTAATAATCATATGACAAAGACGATTTGTGTCTCATTTTGGATGAACATGTCAATCTTTATCTGGATAAAAAAAAAAATTATGAATTATAGAATTTCTGAAATAACATATTTTGAGAATATAATTCATCTTTATATTGTATTGTATTTAGTGTTGATAGTAAATGTAAATTAGAAAAGAAAAAAGAAAAAATTAGAACAAATTAGAAAAATAAATCACAGTTTAGATAATATTATTCAGCTTATTTCTTCTTATCTGCTGGTTTCTTGTCTACTGGAGCAGCAGCAGCAGGAGCCTTTGCACCATCACCAGCTGGAGCAGCTGCTGGCTTGCCTTGGCCTGCGTGGCCATGAGCAACTGGAGCCTTCTTGACTTGGATTTCCTTGTGTGATGTGTGGAGTGGATCTACACCATGAATCTTCTCGTGGTGGTTTGTCTTCTCGTCAACTTCCTTCTGGTGGAGGGCGAGGATCTTGCGGGAAGCGGAGTTAGCACCATGCTCGACGGATGACATCTATTCAGAAATGAACTGATATATCTAATCTCAAAACGTTCTTCAAATTCTTCAAACTCTCTGAATTCATGGATTTCGATTTTACTATGAAAATATGAATATAAATATGCAATAAATGACATATTGATAAAAATCATCGGAATTGATTTTCATAAAAAAAATTTCTCTCACAATTTCTTTCATCGTCAAAATTTCGTTCTTCTCTCAATTCTCAAATATGATTTAACATTTGTGACAGCGTAACGATTTCGATATTATCTGTAAATGTTTGGCAAATTTCAATCAAGAAATGGTTTTTTCGACGATAAGTAGCAAATTTGGAAAACTAGTCTGTGGTGATTTGTGCATGACATAGATTCTGTTTTTCTTATTTTTTCGAAAAAACGAAAATTTCACTTGTGAAAAATCGCTTCGATCCTCATTGAAAAATTCTGAGAGCTTCACTGAGATTTTGATTTTCGATTTAGGAAATAAATTTTGGAAGTATTATTCACATGTATATCATATGCTGCATAATTATTGCGATTTTATGATTTTGAGAGTTTGAAGAATTTGAAGAACGTTTTGAGATTAGATATATCAGTTCATTTCTGAATAGATGTCATCCGTCGAGCATGGTGCTAACTCCGCTTCCCGCAAGATCCTCGCCCTCCACCAGAAGGAAGTTGACGAGAAGACAAACCACCACGAGAAGATTCATGGTGTAGATCCACTCCACACATCACACAAGGAAATCCAAGTCAAGAAGGCTCCAGTTGCTCATGGCCACGCAGGCCAAGGCAAGCCAGCAGCTGCTCCAGCTGGTGATGGTGCAAAGGCTCCTGCTGCTGCTGCTCCAGTAGACAAGAAACCAGCAGATAAGAAGAAATAAGCTGAATAATATTATCTAAACTGTGATTTATTTTTCTAATTTGTTCTAATTTTTTCTTTTTTCTTTTTTTATCACCATATACTATCAACACTAAATGTGATACAATAATTAACTACAATTACATGCTCAAAAACTATTATTTCTTACTTAATAAAATTATAATTTTTCTATATCTACTTAAGAGTCACAATAACAAATAAAATAACTTTTCTAAATGTTATATTCTCTAAATCTGTCAAAATCACTTGATCAACAAGCGCTGAAATGATGATTGGCGCTTACATTTTACTTTTATAATAATGTATTCAAATTATAGTTAACTATCTCCTTCTTGAAATGATATCAGAAAAGGTAAATTCGGGGAATTATTCCACAAGACTGGATCGAGTTTTCACTATTTTCAGAAAATTTGATTTTATATTACAAGAAAATCAAAAAGATTTGCACTCACGAGCATAATTATTAAGTGAATTTTTGAACATTTGGTAGGAATATCTCAGATAGTGTCATAAACATGACAGTTTCGAAATTCAAGAAAATCTTGATTTGAAGACACTGATTTTGGTGATTGATTTAAATACAAAGTACCATCAGGAAGTTTGCACTTCTCAAGATCAAAACTGGACAAACTAACTATTGATATAATATCTGCATATTTTTTTTTAGATTAATCAAAAAATTTTCATAATGAGTTCTGACTATTCTAAACAATATGAGGACTTTATAGGGGCGCTTGAAAGGCTCTTCCACATAAAATCTAATGAGCCTATCGAAGATATGTGTAATATAATTACAAATACTTTGATTTAGAAATATCAGCTTTCCATCAAGCATCTTACAAAGTTAATTCGTGAGGCAATTAGATACAATTATGCATCTGGTTCGAATTACACGAAAATACTCAAACAAATCGGCGTCGATTTCATATTTGCGGATTACCAATTTGAAAAAGAAGATTCTATCGAATATATAGTTATGCATGATCAAATTGATAAGTTCAAGGAATACGTAGCTCAGCATTCAATATCGGATGATAAAGATTTTCTCAAAATTACTAATTTCAGTATCGATGATTTCTACCAAGATAATGATGTAGGGTTAACACTAATCGAAGCTTGTGCCTACTTTGGATCAGTTAACATATTTTATTTCTTAACTTCAAATGATATTAGTAAAATAACCGAAAACTGTCATAGCTACGCAGTAATTGGAGGAAATCAAGACATCATCAATGAATGCTTGAAAGAAAAGAAAATGGGCATTGATTGTCTCAGAAGTATTATAAGAACACACAATCATAAATTGTTTGAATATGTTTTAGATAGAAGTTTTTACAGGGTTGCTGATTTATACGGAAAGAATTGGAATTCGCCAAAAGAAAAGAATTTGATGCATGAAGAAAAATATAAATCCATTTATGAAGATATCATCACATATCAAAACCTTAATGCTGTATTTATTCTATTCAAAAGGAACAAAAAAATTATCTTTCCGTGGGCTGCTGCATTTCCGCAAACTATAGATATTTTCAAAAATAATACATTTTCTAACAAAGATAATCGCACTAATTGTGGAATTATTCATTTTGCAAGTAAAGCGCAAAATTCTGATATTTGCAGATTATTACTTGAGTCATACAATCAAATTATAGTCGACACTAATGAAGGAGATGAATGCATTTCACATGGTGTTAATATCAATAAAAAAGATAAATATGGAAATACAGATCTTTATTATGCAACATGGAATAATAATAAAGAAACAATCGAGCTTCTTATTGCACATGGTGCAAATGTCAATGAAAAATATAAAATTGGAAAAACCGCTCTTCATGTTGCAGCATTTAATGAAAGTAAAGAAATAGTTGAACTTCTTCTTTTACATGGTGCAAATATCAACGAAAAAATAATAATGGAAAAATCGCCCTTCATTTTGCAGCACTTAAATATTGTAAAGAAATAGCCGAACTTCTTATTTCTCATGGTGCAAATATCAATGAAAAAGAAAATACTATTAAGCAAAGAACAACTGAATTTTGACTTTGTTCCTCATTTAAGATACATGTTGACATATATTTCAAAAAATTGAGATATGACATGATAATATCTTTCTAAATATGACGAAATTGGAATGAAATACATAAATGTTTTGTATGCTGATATATATTTTGATAGTTTACTTGACTTAACACACTATAATTCTTCATCACAAGTATCATTTTTAATATTGAGAAATCATACTAATACACATTCTAAATTCAGTTTCATTTTAATTTTATGACCATTGCTAGCTTTTATGATTAAATCCTGCAAATATTGAAGTAAATATTTTTCTTGTCTTGTATGTGTCAATTGATGATGTGTTAATATTGTTCATTGTAGCTTAATACATTTGAAAACAATTAAATGATTTCAAATGATGAATACTATTCTTTAATATGGGCTATCATAAAATGCATGAATGTTTTATTATAGATATAACGAGTATATCCATTTAATTTCACAGCCTTTATTCAATAAAAGCAAAAGAGTTATGATTTTTATCATCTGCTTGATTTTCAATTCTTTGCTATTTCTCAGTTCAAGTTAAATAGTATAAATCATTAATTTGAAATTATTTGAATTGCTATATGTTAGACTATTTGCATGAATGAAAAATTCGATGAGTTATTCGTGGGTTTTATTGCAATAAGGTCAGGTAAGTGGGGCTTCCAGGGGCTGCGCCCCTTCTAGCCCCTAAGAAATTTTGCCCAAGACCCAAGAGGAGGACCGAACCCCAGCCGACCAGCCGGTGACAAAACCAAAACCGTTGTTATTTACATCATATTAATGGCGTCACTTTTAAAAATGTCACTTTTTGTTTCACTTTTCACAAATTATATATGTTTTCATGCTTTGTCACTTTTCTGTCACTTTTCGGGTAAAAACATTTTTATTATTATATATAAATGAATTTTACAAAACCACCGTTACCGTTCTTTGGAAATAAGAGTAGATGTAAAGATATTATATTGAGAGAACTTAAGAAACTACCGAATGGTCTAACATTTGTAGATTTGTTCGGTGGAAGTTTCTATATATCCCATTTATGTCATACCGTATTTCCTGACTCAAAGATTATATGCAATGACTTCGACAACTATATGGACCGTCTCAAACATATTCCAGACACAAACAATATATTGAAAGAGTTAAAAGAAAAGATACCTATAGGTAAGATGGAACGTATACCATTATATAAGAAAAATATTGTGAGAGAGGTTTTGAAAAAAGCAGAATATATAGACTGGGATAGTATATCTGCTAGACTATTATATAGTGGTGCTATAAGAGTTCATGACATTGAAACACTTATGTCAAAAGTTTTATATCTTAACTATACAAATGTTTTCAAAGAGGACATAGAAAAATATATTGAGGGTATAGAGTTTGTGAGATGTCATTGGACAGAGTTGTATGAAAAATATAAAGACAAGGAAAATGTTTTCTTTATAGTGGACCCGCCGTTCTATAACACATGGGATTTTCAATACCAAGTAGACTGGACTTTGAGAGACTCTTTAGAAACTTTAGACGTTATACATAACCATCCATGCTTTTACTTTACATCCGATAAAAGTGGTTTGGAAACCGTTATGAGATGGTTAGAGGACATACATGACTATGAGTTTAGATATGACAAGATAGAATATGAGAGAGGTCCTATAAACTGGAGAAAGTGTCACAATAAAGAAATTTTATTAGTAAGTAAATGTGGTTTGAAATAGGACTACTTGTTTTAGGTTTTTTCCATTGTGTCATTTATTTATTTGACGTGGCAGAAAAGTACAGAGAATATGAAGATGAACCAATGCCTGCAAATGTTCAGTATATGTAATCGTAAGAGATATTTTTATCTAATATTAAATGGACGCACAGAACTTAGCGAATGCACAGCAACCTGGACAACCAAACCCAGAGAATATTCCAAATGAAGTTAGAATACAAACTGCAATGGCAAACTATGGTCAAGTGCCAACAGATGTACAAATGCAAACTGCCATGTCAAATGACGCTGCGTTAGGTTTGCCACCATGGTATGCAAATATGAGATGGAAAGAGTTTTATACAAACCCTGAAGTGGGATATAAACAACTTTATGCAGATGACGCGAACACAGGAGTTGACCCAGAATATGTTTTCTACCAGAGGAGAAACAGAATGTATGAGCTCCAGTTAAAGAATGCTATGGAACTCAACAGGAAACGCAAAAGACTAGGCGGACATTAGATTTTTACACGTAGTAAAATGGGTTTCTTCAGTAAGATAGGAAACTTCTTTCGAAATGTTGGAAGAGGTATATGGAATGGAATAAAAACCGTAGGAAGAGGAATTTGGAACGGAGTCAAAAATATTGGTAAAAGAGTAGGTCAGTTTATTGGTATTATACCTAAAGACCCTGAACCAGAAGAACAAGCTCCTGTTATACAACAGCCTGAACCTGCACCACAGTCTAGTTGGCAACCAAATCCAACACCTCAACCGTATTAAAAAATTATATTTTTACCGTTCGATAGTAGTTGTATATGAAACTAAGTTCTAAGTAAAACGCATGGTATAATGGAATTATTCTTTTTCTTCCATCTGTAGTAAACCATACTTGAAAGTCTGAAATACTTCCACTTGGTGGTTCGTATAACTTTGTAGGTTTTTCGTAAAAGTCATTTGCCAAGCATAAGAAAGAGTTTTGGGCGCCAGAAAATGAAGCATGAACTATCACAGCATCTTGGTCGAAAACATCTTCATATGTTCCATTAGGGTTTTCGACTTCATAATAGTCCGGGTGTACTGGATATGCTGCAGGCTGATTTAACATCCTCATAAATCTATACCATGCCAAGTTGTTATATTTTGTAGAAATATAAACGTTTTCTCCAAGGTCTTCTATTTTATTGATTTTAACAGTTGCATTTTTCCTGTCATAAATAATATCGAGATGGTATTCTCCTTCGTCAATGTTATACTGGTTTGCATATTCAATATAGATATCGTTTATTTTTTCTTGAAAAGCTTGAAGAGTTGTTTCTAAGTTTACAAGCAAACTAACTTGTAAAAGTTTTCCCTGTTCAAATTTCTCATACATACGTTTTTCTTTGTTATAGTATCGAACTTCAAAACCGACCGTAAATGGGAAACCATGTATGGCTTCTGAAATGAACTTCATTCTTCGAAAGCCAATAGCTTTTGTGACAGATGGGTCTCTTAACCATCTTAATGGGTAGTCAAAACGATAGCCTTCATGCTTTACGGTATCTGTCTCAAACTTTTGACCGACATTAGTAAAAAGTTCATCTAATGGTTTAGTTGTAGCAACTCTTGAATTTTCTTTTTCTATTGGAAGCATATTTTATCTATAATAAAAATGTCAAATGAAACAGCGTCTATGAGAGAAATACAACACAACCGACAACTCATTATGCAAGTTCTAAATAAGAACACAACAAACTTTTCAAACTATTCTAAGATATCTGAGTCATTGAAAGAAGGAAACTTAAAACTGACATTAAACCCAATGACAGATGAGTTTCTATTTCAAGACAATAAGAACCATACTGTCTGTATAAATCCAACAAAAGGAACTTTAAACGAGAAACCTATAAATGAACTTCTTTTGAAAGCAGATGTTGACAACAAAGCTGACAAAGAATATGTAGACGATGCAATAGCAAAAGAAGAAGAAAGAGCTAACAATGCTTATGCAACAAAAGAACATACTCATCCTGAACTAGCAGACAAAACATATGTTGACAATAAAATGTCAAGTGAAGTGACAAGAGCTGAAAACGAATATTCTAAAAAGACTCATATACATACCATTGCAAATATTACAAACTTACAAGAAACCTTAAACAGGAAAAGTGCCGTTGGACATACACATTCTATATCTGAAATAACAGACTTAAACGTTAGCCTTGAAAAGAAAGCGGATAAGGAATATGTGGCTAGTAAGTTAGAGAAGAAAGCGGATAAGGAATATGTGGATGAAAAAGATAATGAAATTAAAGAAAGGGTTGAATGGTATCATGAATGGACATCGAAGATTTTAAAAACTAAAGCCGATACAGGATGGGTTTCAGGATGTTTAGACCTTAAAGCAGATAAAACTTATGTTAACGATGAGTTAGAGAAGAAAGCAGATAAGACTCATACACATACAAGTTTTACAACTTTTACAGCAGATGATATTACACTAAACACAACCTTGCCAAGTAAAGGTCCAACAATACCACCGGCAACAAGTCTTGTAGATACTTTGATATCTAATGACAATAGTATTATGCATCTAAGACAGGAACTCAATGTGCTTAAACAAATTTTGCCGAATCTTATTTACCCGGTTGGCTCATTATATGTTTCAATGAACTCTACCAGACCAGAAGCAGTACTTGGTTTTGGAACTTGGACTCAAATAGTCGACAGGTTTTTGTATTGTGCAAACTCTTCAAAGGAAACAGGTGGAAGTAAAACGATTTCAGGTGAAAATTTACCTGCACACAGTCACTACATAGATTTAAGTACATCTCAAGCAGGTTGGCATAAGCATAGATATTGGGATTGGTCAGGAATGACAAAAGGTAAAGGATATGATGTTAAAGACGACGTTAAGTTTGCTATAAATTGTTACTGGAGTGACACTCAGGGAGAAGGAAACCATACACATTTCGTTTCAGGATATACACAAACAACGGGACAAAGTAAAGAATACATGCCACCTTACATGACTGTATTCGCATGGTATAGAATTGCTTAGTCGTCATTTTCAACTTCTTTAGCATATTCGTCAGGAGTTGTCTTATATTTGTTAGGACTGTCTTTGAAAGTATACCACCTTGAACTTTGACAAGTTTGAAACGAGGTCTGGCAATAGTAGTTTTATCTTCTGCTTGCAGTGTGTACATTTTGCCATGTTTGCCTAAAATTCAT